TTATTAATGGCCTATATAGCCTTCTCTAGGTTACGTCGTAGATCGGCTAGTTACTTTTCCTGTTTCGCGATTGTCTTATCTCTCTTATCGTCGGAGTCCGGTTCCTCTTTCTTAGGTTGCTAGACCGGAGCCTATACTACTCTCTTTTCGATTTGAGATATATTATTGTTCGTTTAGACTCGAGACTAAGATCGAGATAGTCTTCAATATATTACGTACTAGCTAACTAGTCACGGTTAGGTTAGGCGGTTTAGGGTATAGTTACCTTAATATACCTTAGGTTTCCCACGTTAACGATATATCTATTATCACTAAGCTATTACCTTATCTATAGGCCTTACTATAGCCTAAGTCCCTAGAAGTTATATCGAGGAATCGATACTAGGTAGAGCGCCGAGTAGATCTATACCGGGGTATTAGTCTGGCTTGTAGTGTTTGTCAAGTTATATCTTAGTCAAGAGTCGTAAGTCCGTATAGGTATATATAAGTAATAATGTAGGATTGAAGACAAAGAACTAGACTAAGTATATAAATGAATATCCTTATATATCCTCCTATCTTCCTGGGGGTAGTTGGGTAGATAGTAGCTTGGTAGATTTGTCTTAGCGGAATCTATCGTTCTACCGTCGACCGGTCTACTACCTATATAATCACGTGACACGATTTCTGGTTAGCCGGGGTATCCTTTGCATATGATCTAGGTTGATTGGCTCTCGATAGCCTATGATGCTAGTGGGGTAGTTTGGGTCGTTGGGTGCCTGATAGGTCCGTAACAATAGGCCTTATATAAGCGGGCGATAGGCACTATCTATATACCTATAGACAGGCCCTACCCTTAGGGCCTATTATCTATAGACACCGTAGGCGCCTATAGGCCTTTTTAGTAAGTAGAATTTCTTAACCTCGTGACCTATATTATTTATATATTTTTTCTCTATATTTTTAAGTAATTCGATTATATATATAATAACTTAATACTACTATTAATTTTCTGACCTTAGTTAGAAATAAGCTTTAGAAGCCTTTATATAATAACTTAGATATTTAATATATTTATATATTCACACTAATATAATATAAATTAATTATTATTAGGTTTACTACACTTCCTTACTTCTCTTAAACTAGGGCGCTTTTAAGTACTACCCTTATCTCTATAATAAGGGAGATAAGGACTACTCTTATCTTCGCTATTAACTAGCTTACTTCTCTATCGCTTCTATATACTTAGTACTATAGAAGGATAAAGAAGCTAACTCTCTATTATAAACTTATACTTAATTAGTCTAATAGGATTATTATCCTTAGAATCCTTACTATCGCTAATTAGTTTAGATATATTAGTAGTAAGCTCCGCCTCTCTCTATTTATCTACTTCTTATATTAAATCTAAGGATATATCCTTATTAGGTAGTTCTTCTATTTTAATATCAAACTAGGTTTTATACTAGAATATTATAATATCCTAGACTATCTTTATACTTAGTAACCTATATTAGTAGTGGTAGATATCCTATACTAAATTAAAAAGATATTTAACTCTAGTACCTATTATAGGAATAGATAGAATATCGCGAGTAACACTTAAAAGAATTAGGAATTTATTCTTATATTCCTTCTAGAATTATAAAGGATCGACCTTTCTCTTTACTATTATAGGTATTAGTATTCCTACTTATAATAATAGTAAATATAATATACGCTTTTTAAGGTATCTAGTAAGTTTATACTCCGATATTAATAGATTAGAGTAGATATAAGGTAGAAGGTTGAGGATAGTATCTAGGTTACTTATACTAGCTAAGTAACACTTAGGGGGTTACTCTTCTTATAGGGACTATATCTAAGTATATCTTTAGGCGTAAGGAGCTATAAACTAGCGAAGTGTTTCCTTATACTAATCACTCTAGTTTATATTATTCTCCGATATACCCTACGCCTTACTTAAGAAGAAATAAAGCTTATACTAGGGTATAAGAATTATTCTAATTATATAGAGACTACTATAGATCTCTTTTGTCTTTATATAGTAAGAGGTAAGCTTTACTATCCTAGTATTAAGGGCCTATAGTATTGCCTTCTTCTAAGGTATAGTTTTCGGAGTGAGTTATATAATCGATTCCTTAAAGTACTTAAAGAGGGTATTATAAATACTAAAAATATAATATACTATTATCTCTTTAGTCTTTAAAAGCACTATAGTAAAGCGGTAGGATAGCTCTATAATATATAGAAGGTAGTTAACCTACCGCTATTCTACCTTACTAAGTTTGTATTTCTAAGTCCTAATATTATTATAGTATTTATTATAGGGCTTACTAAGGCGTTTTATATAACGAAGTATTAAGAAGGTAGAATTCTAGTAGGTATAGATATCTTAGATTAGTGTAAGTTTTACTCTATTAGTCTAGAGATAGAAGAAATTATCGCGATATTAGGGGCTTATATTAATAAATATAGTAAGCCCTCGAATCTAGATATTTATTAGATATATTAAGTAATAAATAAAGTGATATACTTACCTTAATAAGGGTTTATATAATAACTTATTTACTCTATAAAGTATAGAGCGATCGAGCTTAGGCTTAGGCTTAGATATTAGAAATATTCCGATCTATAGTATTATTCTAGGGATTAGCCTTTACCGATCTAAGTAGCTCGCGAAGGCTTAGCTAGATAATATATATAAGATAAGGGATTTAAATAACTACTAGGCTATTTAGTAGTTTAAGGGAGTTAATAGAGTCTTAAACTACCTATACTAAAGTTATATTATTTAACGCGTTATCTAATATAATCGCTAATATATAATTAGTAATATTAAGCTTCTTAAAGATCTCTATAAGTACTTTACTTAGATTCACACTAGAATATACCCTATTAAGTGGTTCGAAACTAAGTAGGAGCTTATAGTAATTCTAGTCTTAGTTAATAAAGTACCCTATAATTACTATAAATACCTACTAAAAAGGCGATATCTAGTAGTTAAGGGCGATTAAGAGCTTTATATTTTATAGTAAGGTAGCGAGAATTATATATTACTCCTTATCGACTAATTTCTTAAGCTAGTGTTAAGTAGTGCGAGGATAGAGTAAAGTAGGTTTAGCTAGAGCCTTTTATACTATTCGAATTAAGGAAGTAAATTACTTCCTCTTAAGTATCCAGAAAGGGAGGTTTAGACTAGTAAAATATTTAATCTACTCTCTTTCCTATTTATTATTCGAGAATTTTAAGTTATAAGATAACTCTAGTGCCTAATATATAATATATTAGTTATCTTAAAGGGTATAATTATATAAGACTTACTAGTATACACTATATAGTCTCCTTAATCGACTATTATATAGACTTACTTTTACTACCCTTTTAGTATTTATCTAAGGCTAGATACCGCTTAAGTGTGTTAGTACCGCTTTACTTTATACTTAGATAAGGTAATATAACCCTATATATCCGATATATAACTAAAGGTTCGCCTATAATATAATATACTACCTAGTCGAAGTTCTCCTAGATATCTAATATATATTTTGTATCCTACTATAGCTTTTATTATATCTTAGTACTACTACTACTTAATAAACTTTACTTTAGATATATTATTTATTATATTATAGAGGATAAACTACTTTCTCTAATTAGGGCTAATATATTTAAGAGAGTAATTAAGAATAGCTAGTTAAGTAAACTTAGACTCTATTAGTAAGATAGAAGTCTATTAGCTATTAAAGAGACTAGGATTAATATTTAGATTAAGGTTAGAATTAAATATATCGGCGATATAGGAGAGGTCTAGTTAGGAGCTTAGAGGAAATAAAGAAGGCCCTATAGTATAGGTACTAGGTTAGGATATAGTTTATATAATATAAGGGATAATATAATAACTATAGGAGAGTAAGTGATCTAAACTTATAATAGATAACTTATAACTATATAAAATAAGGATTACTAGTAAAAGGGGTACTTTATATAGATCTAATAGATTATAAATTAAGTATAGACCTACTATATATTATAAGCTAATTAGCTATAAGTATCTTTATCTATAGATATACCTATAGGTATACCTATAGGAATATACCTAAATACCTATCTTAAGTTATAATCGAAGGATTTAAAACTCCTAGAATAATAATATAAGTCTTTAAGTAATATAATTAATAGAATTTAGTAATATAAGCTTATAAAATAAGAATTATACTAATTATCTTTCGATCTACCTATAAGAAATATACTAGAGTGAGAGATAAAGTAGAATCTATAAGTAGTATCTTACTTATAGAAAATACTAGATATATACCACTAACTTAAATATATATCTTTAAGCTATTATAGTATAATTTAATAAGTTAATAAAAATACTATATAATATAATATATTTTAGTTAAAATTTTATTCTAATTTATATTATATATATACTAGTTTCTTATATATATAGATATTTTAGTAAAATTTATAGATATTATAGAATAAAACTACTATTTTATATAGAGTTAGTAAAATAGGTATAGATAATAGTTATTTATTATATAAAGTTAGTGAGTCATATATCTATTTTAGGTGACTTTATATAATGGTAGGTATTGTGGGTATACCCACTGTAGGTATACCCGTGGGCCTTAGGCGTTATAGATAGGCACTCGAAAATCCAAATATCCAAATAGCCTAAGGCCCACCGTGGACAGGCCTTGGGCACCTCCCAGGTGCCTATGGACGGGCGATGTCGTAGTCTATGTAGATAGCTATGTCGCTACTCCGTACTGTACAAAACATTACACACTCCCCCTTTACTCCTGCCGTGTTTGTCTTGTTTGCCTAGATCGTTGTTTGGTAGTCTTGTATAAGTAGCTTTCTCTGGCAGTGCTGGAGCCTTCTCGCTCTCCCCAGACGTCCAGAGTACAACGTGCTCGCATCTCTTTCGCTCTTCTTCTTTTTGATCACACTACCCTTTATGGCTTAGGGTCTTCGACACTGCTATCAAATACATCTATTCTTGAAACATGAGCTCCATGCGTCGCCCTCCTGATTCCACCTGGGAGCTGTTTCATCACCTCAAAACCCATCTGAGCTGGGGATATGTCATATATCGTACAACCTACACCCCTGAATCTGAGCCACATTTCTCTGCCGTGATCAAGTACCTCGAGGCCTGCATCAAAGAAGAATTTTTTGAAGAATGTGCAAAATATGCTAGCAACGGGGGAGACCCTGCGATATATGACGGAATATGGGCCCAGCACAGTTCAACTGTTATTGAAGATGCGGCACAGTTCAATGGGGCATCGATTGATGCAATTCGCGCTCACTTCGAGGCATGGGTAGATGCACAGGGCCAACGTGATAAATTCAACAAATATCGAATGTGTATCGTTATTGATGAGGAATGCCTCCAGACTCTACTTGGTGCATCGGTAGAGACCCTGGACCAGGCAGCAGAGCTGACTCAAGGTGATACTGTGCGGTATGTGAAGGTTGTCGAAGCGTGGCCGAACTTGGCCGACTTTGAGCCCTTTCCGGGATGGATGAAGTGTTGGCCACTCGCCTTATGGGATCTTTGGACGATGATGTGTGATAGTGATGACATGGGCCTGTCTTGGAGCAAGATCGATGATTTTTGCCCAGAGGTGTATTGTGGATGATGAGAATAGAATTCGAGCAAGCACAATAAGATTTGAAGAGAGAGCGTCCACTCTGTACTGGGGTATACTAGCTTTGTGTAGAATTCCTGTTTACAAGGGAACCTCCTTAGTTCTGATGCAGACTCGACCGCTCTGCACCTCTGTTCTGAGACGTGCACTCTATATTGCTGTAAATGGGGGAACATCAGCCTTACTCGCCTCTATAGCAACTTGTGCTGGGTTCGATTTTCACCGCCCGCGACCAGAGCGCCAGCAGGCGGAACGTGACTTCTAATATAGAGTATGCCAATTGAGTAACCAAATGATACATAGACATTGTGTGGATGGAAACACATTACCAAAGGCTAAGAAGGCAAACATTTGGCCGAAACTGGCAGAGTACCGAAGTGATCTATGTAGCGGACAGAGTAAGGTCTAAGTTTCATGACATTTCGAGACACATGCTTGACCCTCAGACAGGGAAAAAAAGATTGCCTCAAGTCAATCCAGACCGACCGATTTCCGCATCTGAGGCGAGTGCGAAGGTGTATCCCGGCCAGGGGTCGGAAACTAATATTAGTAATATTTATGCCTGAATATGCCTGATGATGCCTGATTATTTGCCGGCAGAAAATATGAATACCTGAATTACCATAACAGAGCCCTTAGTAAGTAAAGTACATGAATTCTTACCTAGGCAATTTCCAAGGTCAACAATATTGATGCCTTAAGAATTAGGCCTAAATGTGACGCTATTCGCACCCATACAAATCCTGGAATTCCCTTATTCCTAGGCGTTGAAGTCTTCCCACTGTGTACTCCGGTGATATATGCGGTCAGGGGGCAGTGGAATAGATGAGATTGGCGATATGTATGGTTGGGGGGGTTTAAAATTGTTGAGAATTTAGTATGAGAGGCTTCAATGCCTAGAAATGGGAGAGTTTAAAGATTTGTATGGTGGGAATAGCTTCAATATTACCCGGGAAGGAGGCTTCCATTTGAGAGCTTTATTTACAATACACTGTAAGAGCGGTGCCAAAAGGCGGTATATAATCAGGCATCATAAGGCATTTTAAGGCACCGATATTAGTAATAATTAGTTTCCGACCCCTGGCCGGGATACACCTTCGCAGGCGAGCCTCCTCAGACTCGCCAAGATATTGTTCACTTCCTCAGCTTGATCGCCCGTCCGAACCGCCCAGAATTGAATCATCTCTTTCGCCCACTTCTCTACCCACGCGCGGACCTCCGCAGCACTGTGTTTAAGGCTGTCTCGGATCCATTCATCCCACCAGTCCTGGACATATTCGACAACATCCCCGGCATTCTCCCAGGCTTCCCCTGCCCGGCCCCATTCTGCCCGAACTATGTTTGCCGTTCTTACCATGTGGGAATTGACCAGAGGATGATTCAGGTACGCGATGATGGTGAGAGGTTCCCGAAGCCATATAAGTGCTTGCGTGGGGTCGTCGGCCTTAATAGCAGCCTTCATTATTTTATCGGATGTGACTGTCCCAGCGCGCCAGACCTGGACAAAACAGTAATTAGAACACACCCACTTAGCTGAGCAGATTCACCGGCACATACCCTGGATTTGACGTTATTCAAACGGCTAAGCAGAAGGGTGAAGTCTGCTCTGTTTTGAGTACTTCCCAATGCCTGCATGGCGCGCGAAATGGGCACCGCGGACTGGTCGCCGCCTATCATGACGGGGGGATTTGTAAGGATTGGTGCATTCAGTGCCTGCCTGATGAATGTTGCTGAGAGCCGGCTGTTTCTCGCTGTTGCTCCGGAAGGAAGTCTACCCGCGTGGGCATCCCGCAGGAATCTAACTATTGTATTCAATTCCAATATATGCTCAACTATTGCTAATCAGTAAGAAAACCGGATATAAGGGCTGTGATTGAAGAAGGGGGGGAACATACTCTGATACCTCGTGAGTCTGGAGATGGGAATCTGAACAGTGCCAATATCGATAACCAGGCAGTTGTCTTGGTCTAAGTACTCATATCCTGCGTTCAGAATGGGATCTTTGGCCTGGATATCACCGCGTTTCTGATACTATTACTCGGGTCAGAATGCGGCTGTCGAGTACGTCTTTGGGAAGAATGAATATCTTACAACCCAAGAAACAACGACAACATTCCCATTACCATCATCAAGCTCAAGGACGTTCTCGCGAGCTCTTTTGTCGAGCGATCTCTTAGCATCAACGACATCATCGTCCTCTGAGCAAGTTTCGGGATCACTTGGATCACAGCAATCGGCTGTCGTGCACTTGCAGCTGACCACATGAGACCCCCCTAACATGTTGTTGAAAAAGGCCATGTTGCAAATGAGTTGATCCACAAAATTCCATGATCCTCGAGACATCCATTCAAGATCCGTGCTCATGTAGGCGCGGACTGTTTCCACGTTGAGGTTAGGATATACAGAGACCACATGCGTGTTCCAGATCTCCCGAGCGGCCGCAGCTGCCTTGGGTAAAATGTAGAGTTCATAAGCAAGGTCTTCCATGATCCCCATAGGTCTGCTGTTTGTGCGCCGCTCAAGGGTAGGCAGAGAATGGGGATAACTTGGCAATGAGAGGTTGTTCGAGAAATAGTTAATACCAACTAGATCCCGTTTGAATGAATAGTCATCAAGCCCACAGCTAGGATTTTCCATGAACTCCTTCACACCCTCTTCTGTTCGGGTCTCTGCATCATTGTAGGATCTCTTGCTCACTGTGGTGTACTTAGTAATACAACATTTGGCTCGGCCTCCGTCACCCATGCAATGGCCACCATGTTGATCCAATGCTATACGCACTCGATCTAAAGGACAAGCATTATCACAAAATCCGACCGCCACCATAAGGACATTTTCGGAGCGGCCGCCGTAATCATACCACTGGCAGTCACTCCATTTGGCGTTTTCATCCTCCTCGCAGCAATACTTTCGCTCAGACCATATGGCTTCTTGGCCCGTAAGAGTAAGCGTGACACTCAAGGCGTTACAGTAGTTACCACCGCTACCAGTGGACGACTGTGCCACGAGTGACTAAGTGTCTTTACACTAGCCATCTTTGCATTTCGGCGCTTTTCCTACCCAGTCACACCTTTGGGAAGAACCAAGAGTATCAATATAAAATCATAGAATGCGGCGCCTAGCTAGATTATCCCAGTAATTCTGCTCCTCGGCGGCTGCTCCATTCCCTAAGGGAGAACGAGCTAGGCGTCGGATCGAGCGGTATCTCCGGTAAAATAAAAGGGGCAGTGCGTCGGGCTAAAAGTCAAGGCGCAATTATCGGTGGGGGCCGGAATGGAAGAAAGGGGGCGGCGATGAGTGTAAGATAGAGGAGTTGACGGAAGGGAGAGGGAGGGAACAAGAGGTCGAGAGGGCAGACCAGGTCTTTTATGTCGGAGGGATAGGGGGAGAGGTGACAAAACAGTGTATTAGGGCGCTAGGCCGGGAACGGCAAAACTAACCCGAAGTAATTCACAGGTCCCAATATTACAACATACACATGTATATAGTTGATTGCAATACAGTGCAGCTTCGAGCTAAATTTGATGAATAAAACGTGTTTCTATTGTGTGAATGGGGTTTATCCTCTGGGCGCTCTTCGTATCTCCGAAATAGCACGTCGCCGGTAATCGGACTCTGCAAACAAGGCCTCGATCAGGTCAATCACCTCCTCAGCAGAGAACTCTAAGCCCAACTCTCCTTCGAGCCAAAGAAATTTGATATCTGCGAGGGAGCTCTCCAGAATATTGATCATGTACTGGAAACGGAGCCAGCTTGGAACGTAGACGGCAGTTACGGGCAATGCCTCGGCACCACCATCTGTCTCGGGCATGAAGAGGTCCTCCAATTTTGAGAGTTGGTTACAGAAGGATACCAGTTGCCGCGACTGATCCTCCGATATATCACCCAAATCTTCGATGTCAATGACCACCTTGTTGATCACGGTAGACAGGAGAGATCCCACTGATTGGAGCAACGCGGAATGAGACAGTATGGGCTGCCATTCCTTGTAAACATCGCGAATCCGGTCAACGGTTGCGCCAACAGAATTCTCACAGTCTGTCTGGAATGGCTGCATAGAGCATTGTCCAAATCCCTGGGCTCCGTCAAGCAGATCTGTGACGATCGTGCGCTGGGTCTGCATCTCTTTGCTATACGCAAGTTTGCCAAATTTCTCCAAAGCTTCAACATCGGGCTGAAGTCTGGAGAGATCATGTTCCTCGGCCAGTTTCCGAATTTCGTCAGCAAGGTAGAGACTATCATTATAAAGGTACATCTGCCCCGAAGTAAGCTTCAGCGAGTAGAATGTGGATGATGTAGCTTTAAACATCGCCAGGATCAAGGTTGGCAGTGCAAGAAGACCAGCGCCAGAAGAAGCGACGCGAGAATTGGCATGACTGATATTTAGTTAGCCTGATGCCACACGAAGAAGAGGAATCCGAAAAAAGGCATAATAAAGATGGCATGACTTACGCAGGCTGCAAAATATTCTTTGAGTCGGTGATTTGTTGCTGAACGACCCCAAGAACAGACTGGGGGATATCGGTGATTGTGAAAACTTCCTTCAGGGTGACCTCTTTTGATGAGACAGATCCAGTTGCATCTTTCTTGTCGATTTGTTTTGTCGCTGCTGTGTTCTGGGGCTGCGGGGGCTCATTATCTACTTTATGGTCATCTTCATCCTCGTCGCCCCAGCCCCAGGCATCATCAGCATCATCGTCTTCTGTAGAAGCTGCCGCGTCTGGTTTGGCCTGATCAGGAGTCTCTTCAGTCTCCTCCTCCTCAAGACCCCACGCACTAACGTCTTCCTCTTCCTCTTCCTCGGGCTTGGTTGTTCCTGCTTTCTTAGGCTCATCTTCTTTATCGTCATCCCAGTCCGCATCCCAGTCATCATTGCCTTCGTTCTCCAATAGATCACCCTCCGCCTGAGAGACCTTTTCCTTTTCAATTCGTTCGACCTGTTTTGTTGTTCCTTGACTGGCGGCAAGGACTTTGCGAACGCTATCGAGCGAGTCGACTCTACGTCGAGTCAACCACAGGCGTGGAGCTTGATTGACCCACGAGACGAGTTCCTCTTGGCCAGTCCAACCCCAAGAATCTATCTTCTTTGCGAACTGCAAAACATGGTCCAGAACGTTCTCAAACTCAGCGAGGCCATCTAGATCCGTCGGGATAGCAGGTGACAGCCACTCGGAGATCGCCTTCGAGGAAATAGTCACAATGAACGTTTCAGAGAAACTTGCGGACACCGATGGCGGTAGATTCTGTCGCAGGTAGCCCAAAACACTGGAAAGGCGATCCAAGATCTCCAGTGCAGTTGTTTTTGAGGCCTCGGGCTCAATGCGAATGCTAGTCTCCGTCACCACCACACCATGACTGGTCCTATCAGGGCGAGGTAGCAAGATCGGATTTACGATCGCAGACATGAGATCTTTTTGTAGTTTCTCGTTGGCAGATGTAAGTATATTCAGTCTGGCCAGCGACGTAATAGTGCTTTCAAGAGAATCTGTATCTGCATCTGCCCTGGAAACGTGGAATTCGCCTTGTTGTCGGTCAACTTTCAATTGATCAGCCCAGCGTGAGCGAAGCGCCTCGACAATCTCCAATCGCAGTGATGATACCTCGTCTGAGAGTATACCCATCACATTTGTATTGGTAAAGAAGGCATCCTTTCCAACAGCTGCGTCGGTAGACTCCAATTGTTCAATCGCGACAGTGATCTGGCCATTTCTGAGGGCAGCTCGCCCCGCTTCGAGCTGCTGGCATAGACGGTGCACCTCCTCTAAGGTACCGGCTACGGCCTGATTGAAGGCAATCTCCGTCTCGACCAACGCGACCTTTGCCCTCGCATCTTCAACCTTCGCCTGCAGGGGTTCAGTATGTTCATGCTGAGCGACTATTTCTCGTGCAGTCACTCTTGAGCGTTCTATGTCGGCATGAAGTTGCTTCGCTTGAATAATCCAGTCATCGGCATCGAAGGTGGTGTTCTCGCGACTCAAGGAGCTAATCTCATTCTAATCAAGCAAAGCATCGCTGGTCAGTAATCATTGGCGAGCATATATGTGCACTGGATATCCCGTACCTCTACCTGCTCACGCGCCTTTGATATAAGCTCGAGTTCCCTGGCGAGAGCAGCTGCCGGAAATTTACCAGCAACTACATTCTCCTCGGGATACGTGCCCTCGGTGACGAAGCCTAGCACGGCTTGACACAGCTCCTCAGAATTCCCTGGCATGATGCCAACTTTTCCAGCTGATAATAAAGCACAAATTATCAGCGGATACAAGCCTTGTAGCTTGGAAAGTAGAGGGACACGTAAAGGGAGTGTTGAGCTATAACCCGTGACTTTGGGCGTCACCGCCCCCACGTGGTGTATACTGTATGTTTATAGAGCTCTAAATTCAAGAAATTTCAATACTATAAATCCTTTGAATTGGATGCGAACGATTCGAAATCTAATCTTTCTCTTCTTTGTTATATAAATTCTTTCAGTTGTCCGCTTTGTAAGGGAAACGGGAAATTCTCCCCCAACATTGAAAACTCCGGGTCCAACACACTTTTGGAGACATCTTAGACTCACCGTGTCTCGTATTCTCCCAAGTCTAAGTCGGACAAGAACGTGTTCTCTGTAAGTCAATGTGAATTACAGTCTCAGTTATTATTGTCTATGGAGGGGTATCGACGACCTTCTATCCTCAAATCTCTGCTCGCCACCCCACCTATGTCATTTATGCTTGGCCATATGTCGCATGTCTGCTGGGTGCTTCCTGAAAAAGACATGATTAGGAAAAGATACACTTGTTGCTGCTTTGTTTTGCGTTTTCTCCAGACTCAACTCGGGGTAAACATTCTTCTCTCGTCCGAGTTGTGATGGTCGTACTTGTTATCAGACTATTCCTCATCTTGAAATTACGAACTCACGATTTTTGCCAAAATTCAATCAAGGGAGACGAATTGCTAACGAAAACCATCAGACTGTCAAGCTTACGGCGAAGTATCTTCACTGGGTCTGCCCCATTGATCAATATGTCGCCCTCGGTGCAGAACAGTCACTTCAAACTGCTCCAGCAGTTCAAACCTGATTACTCACCGAGCGAGTTCACTCAGTATGAATCACAACGCACCGGGATGAGAGTAGTCGTTATCGACCAGCCAGGTCCCAAAGTGAATGGTTATTTTGTGCTTGCCACCGAGATTCACGACGATTCGGGTGCCCCTCACACTCTGGAGCACTTGTGCTTCATGGGTTCACGTAATTACCGCTACAAGGGCTTCTTGGACAAGCTGGCTACCCGCGTGTACTCCAGCACCAATGCCTGGACGGCAACTGATCACACTGCCTACACGCTCGATACCGCAGGCTGGGAAGGCTTTGCTCGTATCCTACCAGTCTACCTGGAGCATGTGATTGCTCCTACTCTGACTGACGAAGGCTGTTATACTGAGGTCCACCACGTCGACGGCTCTGGAAATGATGCCGGTGTCGTGTATTCCGAGATGCAGGGTGTACAGAACAATGCCGCTGAGCTGATCGACCTGGCAGCCCGGAGATTGACCTACCCACCTGGTGTGGGCTTCCGCTATGAGACGGGAGGTATGATGGAACAACTTCGTGTCTTGCCTGCGGAACGAATTCGCGAGTTCCACCGAGAGATGTATCAGCCCAAAAATCTGTGCCTGATCCTCACCGGAGAAGTCGACCAAAAAAACATGCTAGAAATCTTGGACGAGTTCGAAGACACCATCTTGGATGTCATTCCTAGCCCAGATGCACCATTCAAGAGACCCTGGGTGGATTCCAAGCAGGCTCCCTACCTGGAGAAGTCCGTGACTCAGAAGGTTGAGTTCCCCGAGGAGGATGAATCATTTGGTGAAATCGAAATTCGATTTATGGGACCCGACTGCACTGATCCCATCTTATGTAAGATTCAAACCCGCAACATTCGAGATGAAATACTTACGGTATCATAGCTGGGGCTCTCAATGTGACACTTTTGTACCTGGCTGGTTCATCTGCAGCTCTGCTAGAGAACATCATTGTTGAGAAAGAACAGCTCGCCAGTGCCGTTTACTATGCAACCGAGGACCACCCTAGCATGGAAGTTCGTTTCACGTTGACTAGTGTGGAAACAGAGAAGCTAGAGAGCGTTGAAAAGAGATTCTTTGAGATCCTTCAAGATGCCATGGCCAAGGAATTGGATCTGAAGTACTTGAAAGAGTGCATCGCCCGACAGCGCCGAACCTGGAAGTTCTCGACTGAGTCTTCTGCCTCTTCATTCGCAGAGTACGTTATCTCTGATTTCCTATTCGGAAAGCGTGATGGCTCGACCTTGATGGACGTCGCATCTCTCAAGGAATATGATGTCCTTGAGACCTGGTCCGAGGACCAGTGGCGCGCTTTCATTAAGAAATGGATCTCAGATGCGCCCCACGTCACTATCTTGGGTATCCCATCCCAGAAAATGTCCGCCTCACTGAAAAAGGACGAGGAGGACCGGGCCGCTGCGCAGAAGGAGCGTCTCGGCGAGAAGGGCCTGAAGGAGCTTGCCGACAAACTCGAAAGGGCCAAGGCAGAGAACGACAAGGAGATTCCGCAGGAATTACTCGAAAAATTCGCTATCCCCGGAACTGAGTCAATTCACTTCATGGAGACCAGCACAGCTCGTTCGGGTGCTGCTTTGAAGGCTGGACGCCCCGACAACAAGATCCAATCCCTTGTCGATGCCGACAAGTCTGATCAGTCCCTTTTCATTCACTTCGAGCATATCCCTAGTAGCTTTGTCCAGCTATCAGTTCTCATCTCTGCTGATTCCGTCCCCGTCCAGTTGCGTCCATTGTTGTCCATCTACACCGAGGCGTTCTTTAACATTCCGGTGCAACGCGATGGCAAGACAATTGACTTTGAGCAGGTCGTGGTTGAATTAGAGAGAGACACTGTCGGATATTCGATGGAGACTGCTCGTGGTCTTGGAAACTCGGAGATGCTCCGCATCTCTTTCCAGGTTGAGCTGGAGAAGTATACTCATGCCGTCGCCTGGCTGCAAGAGCTTTGCTGGGAGTCCGTCTTCGACGTGGAGAGACTCCGGGCTATCAACTCCCGTCTGTTGGCCGACGTGCCCGACTCCAAGCGCAGTGGTGACGACATGCTTGCTGCTGTACATGTGATGGTTCACTACGCAGATGAGTCGATCACCCGTGCTCGTTCCACCTTGGTGAAGGCTCGCTACTTGAAGCGTGTCAAGCGTCTGCTTGCTGAGAAGCCGGAGGAAATTGTGAGCCGCATGGAGGAGATCCGCAAATCTCTCTTCAAGCCTGACAACGTGCGCGTCATTGTCATTGCCGACCTTGAGAAACTCCAGAACCCAGTCTCGGCTTGGAAGCCCTTTGCTGAGACCCTGGGTACCAGCACTGAGTTAATTCCCATCACTGACCGACGATCCCGGCTGAGCGATGCTGGCAAGAACATTGGCGGCAAGTCTTACATTGTCCCCATGCCGACTGTCGACTCGTCTTTCGCCTACGCCACCGCCCGTGGTCTGGACTCGTACGATTCCCCGGATCTGCCCGCATTACTGGTCGCGATTTCGTACATGAACGCTGTCGAGGGTCCTCTCTGGGTTGCAGTCCGCGGTACTGGTCTGGCATACGGTACTAACTTCAGTTACAACATCGACACAGGCTTTGTCAACTTCGATGTGTACCGGTCCCCGAATGCCCACAAGGCGTTCGAGTCTAGCAAGCAGATTGTTGAGAATTATCTGTCTGGTGCTACGCCTTTCGATCCTTTGATGCTGGAGGGTGCTATCAGCAGCATTGTGGTCAACTACGCCAATGAGCAGATGACTGCCGCGAATGCTGCCCAGGGCAGTTTCATCCGCCAGGTCATTCGCAACTTGCCCAGCGACTATAAGGAGAAGATGCTCAAGAATGTTCGCGCTATCACCACTGACCAGATCAAGGGTGCTCTACGTGATATCATCCTGCCGTTGTTTGACCCGAAGACTGCAAACATGGTCATCACCTGCGCAACTGTATTGGAAGATGTGAGTTGTTCCCCGGTCTTCACTGCCGATATGGATTGCTAACTTTTGATTACGAATAGACCATCAAGCAAGGCTTTGAATCTTCCGGCTTTACTCCCACAGTCCAGCCTCTAAAGGAATTCGAGGATGACTATGGTCTGAAAGTTGGTGACGAGGAAGAAGATGAGGACGATGATGAAGATGATGAAGATGAGGACTCTGAGACTGGATCGGAGTATAGCGAGGATGAAAGTGACGACGAGTGATACGTCTGATGAACAATCCATACATGGGTAGCGAGGAGGATCACGTAGATGGAACTGTAGTGTCGAGAGACTACATATCTTAGACAGTGATGAAACTACTCTATTACTTGCTGCAAACAAGCTGCAACTCAGTAGAAACCGGAATCTCGAGTGAAACAAAACAAAGCTGAAAATTTTGCACTATAAATATAGTCACACACATCCTCAGGAGAGTTAAATATGGTACACGCCAGACAAGACCCGCCAACAACCGTCTTGTCTGAACCCGGATCCAATCTTGAAAACCGTGATAGTCCCAAGTATGGATAAATCGGTAATTGACCCCTGATTCCTTTCCACCATCACTATGACACGATATGGATTGCAATCAATCCAAACCACACTGGTCCTCTATGGTATAAATCCCGACATTTTCCACGCCAATTCCCGAATAATTGAAGGGTCAGGCCCGAAACGAATAAAACTACCAACTCAACTCCTTCCGGCCCTTAAGGGTTCTCCGGATAAGAGTCTTGCGGCCATTCCTGTCCTTCTTGCGCGCCAAGTATCCATGGCGGCGCTTTTGAACCCGTCGTGATGGGCGGAATGTCACACGACGCACACCTAGGGAGGCACTTGCGGAGAATGAGCGGGACTGCGAGGGTGCCTTCTGGGAGCGGAGTGATGACAGAGGTGAGAAGGCGGAAGCGGTTGCGGTTGTGATTGGCGAGGAGAGGCGGGCGCCGAGTGTTCGCGATGGTTGGAAGCGAGTTGGGGTTGAGAGGAGGGAGAAGGATCGGGATGAGAGCATTGTGGAGGGTGTGCTTAGCTGTTGCGGGACTTGGGCGAATCTATTTCCGGTGGAGTAAAGTGTTAGCTGTTTGGTTGGTTTCGAGGTTGGGAAGGTTGCTAGTTTGGGGGGGTTGCGTACCTGTTCATTGGAGTTCGCATGGCCGATGTGGTGGCCCGGAAGGTTGAGGGCATGGCCCTGGCGCGGAGGCAGAACATTTTAAGGACCCTGACTGTGTTTGGAGGGCGGTTGAGGCGGGATTGAGGAGCTTTCTAGAGTTGGAGATCGAGCGAGGCCTGGTGGACAAGACGCGGCGTCGGAAGACAGAAAATTAAGCGCGGAGCCGCTGGCACGGACCCGCCTAGAGATGTATGTCTACAATTATGTACGATATTTTTCTTGGGATATATAGTGGATGAAAATGGATTAATTTTCAGTGTGTGACTATCATTTACACCTTATAACTATCATATAGCTATGTTTTTAGCAGTCAATAAAGATCAAACTATAGTTACAGCGCATCCCGTTAAGAAGACATACCCGATTGGGACTAGCGTCACCGAACTTTTTTGATCTCGAGATGCGAAATGCTCAACGTCGCCCGTGCAACTTTCCGTCCTGCTCGCCAGTCTCACTGAACTTGAGAGAAACTGCCTTCCCAGCTCTGTATATCCCACACCGAGCGAATCAAGTCCATAATCGCCCTCACCCGCCACCTTTATCTTTAAAAAACCACCCTATATCCCCGACGAAGAATACCAATTCCACCGAAATGGCAACTCAAGGTCCCCAGGCCCTCCCCCCAGTCACAGTGCAAAGCACACAGACAATCAGCCAGTCTGCAGCGCAGGAATTCCTAGCCGCCTACCTGGACCGCGCCGCGACAGACCCATCGTTGCAACCCAACGCCAGCATCAGCGAGCACGGCCCCGTCTCCCGGACGACCGCCGCAGCGCCGAACTTGATCCTGCACAACCTGAAGCGCGTGCAAGCGGGTCTAGCTGGCGAGCTCCTCGGTCGAGATTTGACTGTCGCGAAGCAGAACCCCGGAGAGGACTATCTGGATGTTGCTGCGGGGATTGCGCAGACCAACAAGCACGAACAGCTGGACGAGAGTGATGATATTGTTATGAATGACGCTGAGTTCGGCGTAGAGGCTGAGGCTTTTGCGAATCAGGAGGCTGGTATTGATAAGGAGGAGCGCAAGCGGAAGAAGAAGGAGAGACGGTTGGCCGAGAAGAAGGGTAAGGCCAAGGCCAAGGCTGAGGCTGAGGAATCCGATTGAGTGTGGTGTGGGTTTATATTTGGTTGTGGGCGTTGCTGCATTGGGTCGGAGTCTCTTTTCTTTCATTCGTTCTATTGCTCTATTACTCTGGGCTGGGTTGGGTTTTGGACGTACAAAAAAAGTACTGCTCGCATGTCATGTCTGGACAAAAAGTGTCATTTAGAGTTTAGACGGATTGCTACAATCCAATCAATACATAATGGAATCTTTCCAAGCCTCGCTTTTGCTTCTCGAGATTGGTACCTGGTACCCCAATATGTCACTAATACAAAAAAAAGGTCATAGCAATATCATATGAAAATCGCCAGCACAACAAGAATCCGATTTACAGCTCACGGTCCGCGGCCTTGGCGGGCTTTTCGCTGTCCTCCTCCTTGCTGCTGGTGACTTTGCCGCCCTTCCAGCCAAGCGCAGCGAGACGCTCGGTGAGAATCGGGTGGGAGTAGTGGTAGCTAGCGTAGATTGGATCGGCATCCATGGTGCTCAGGTTCTGAATCTGGAGTTTCAGGAGCGAGGAAGCAAGCTTGTCAGAGTAACCAAGGTTCTGGGCAAATGCATCTGTGTGATAGTTTTAGTAAAAGTGAATATATAGGGGATATATCGAAACGGAACATACCAGCCTCAAATTCGAACTTCCGGCTGAGGATGTTCATGAGGAGCTTCACAACAGCATCCATAGGAGCCAGGGCATCGGAGAAGAGCAAGAAACCGATCATGATAGGCTGTTCATTCACGAATCCAAATGATTGGTACAGCGACTTGTTGTTGACAAAGACAGAGAAGAGAGCGAAAATGTAGAACATGTGGGCCTAGATTACAGAGTTAGTGATCATTCACCAGAAGGGAAACTGAGCAGATTCGTACCTGGGCAATGCCGAAAAGTTTGGTGGTGTGGCTGAGGCTCCAGTGGCCAAGCTCATGGCCCAGCACAGCAACGACCTCCTCAGGCTCAGTCTTCTCAATCAAAGTATCGTAGATGACAATGTGCTTCTTCCATGGTAGACCGTAGAAGTAGGCATTGCTGTGGGCACTACGCTTGCTGCCATCAATGACGTGCAGCTCAGAGAGAGGGAAGTTGAGTCTCTTGGCCAGGTTCTCGACACCGGTTTTGAGTTCGCCGGGCTGAAGAGGTGATAGCTTGTTGAACAGAGGCAGAATCGCAATGGGGTAGATAGTAATGGCGAAGACCTGGAGGAAGACACCGAAGAGCCAGAGGTAGTAGTAGAACGAGGTGTCGAACTTCTGAACAATCTTAAGAATGGCAGTGATAATGGGAGTCCCCAGGACAATTCCAAGCATCTGACCCTTGAGCATATCCGTAACCCAAAGCTTGACCGTCTGCTTGTTGAAACCGAACTTCTCCTCGAGCACAAACGTGTTGTAGTACGAGATGGGTAGCGAGAGGATAGTGCTTAGAATGTTGAAACCGAAGAAGAATACCAATGTTTGACAGATTTCACCTTGGAACCGACCGGGGAGGTACCGAGCCAGCAGTAGACCGCTGAGGCCCCAGATCTTGGGGAGGACATCGCCGTAGATGAATGCAAGGTTTTGGATTTGACCGTAAAGACCGGAGACGAAGCTGAACTTCGCCTTTGCGCGACCGTATGCCTGTAATGATATTCCAATCAGCATCTGTGAATAGTATGATTTCGTCATCAACGAGTTCATACCTGGCTCTGGTCAAAGACCTCCTGGGTAACCTCTCCTGCGAGGACCTGTGGAGGCTTCGTCCGTTGCAAAAACTTGTATTGCCGAAGTGAGAGGAACCCTTCAAGAACAAACTGGCCCAGTGAAAAGCCCACAAGCACGTTCTTCCATGGGAAGAGCGGGCGATCGAGCAAGCGCGCCAATTGCTGGAGGGAAGCAGTCATTAGCGACATGTCCACGGGGATAGGCAACTTCACCATGTAAACATGATGGGATTCCATTCACTTCAACTTACCTCGAGGATATACATTATTGGAATCGCGCAACTAGGCGAAGAAAGGGGATGTTGCTCAAGGCAGAAGATGCTACTTTGTTATTATCGGCAGCCTTAGTCAGATTCCATGCATGATCTCGGGACTATGGGGCCTAACGCAACATCAACCTCAGGAATTACGCCTATTAATTAACTGGCGTCTTGTTTATTTTCCTATGAATATCTAAGGTATGAGGCAAGGAATTAATTGGAGTTTACTAGGTCTTGTCTACTAACATTTGACTGTAAAGGACTTGTGCTAATGCCATTGCTGAAGTCTTTAGGAGCCCTGTAGAGGTCGAACAAGACAACACTCGAAGAATCGAATATCATCTGTCAAAATCTTAGCATCATTAGGGCCTTCCATCTAATTTTCACAGAAAAATACCCGGTGGCTTGGAGCACATAGTCATTCCTCTGCGGGGTGATAGTACTCATAACTCCCGTGGGCGTAGAATATATACATCTAGCACGCGGAGCATCTATTGTGAGCATGTACTTGCAGAAGATTTACATATTTTTTATCAGACGAACAGCCCAGTATGATTAAACATGCGGAAGCTCTTAAATTTTGCTGGGCCTAGTTTCCCTGCATTTTTGACCACAGACCTGTATATCTACATAAGATCCGATGATGCAGACAAAAAATAAGCAATGAACACGAAACCTCTTGGAAACAACTCCCTTGTACGATGGAAATAAAAAGCACATATCTTATTTGCCGACTTCACCTGCATCCCGTTCGTCGTCCGTCCCTCAGATCAAACCCTACCATGCAGTCGCAGACCACTGGTCGCTGACATGCAAGAAGAGGTAAAGCGACCAAGGTGGCGACGATACAGGATGTCCTCTCCATCTTCTCTATTCAGCCCGGGGAATCAGTTAAATCACGTCTTTAATCTTCCGACCCGTCATGACCATAAACTTTTTTGCAATCATAGATCGCAAGACTCGTGTTCGAGGGTAGGTGGGGCTGAGACTGTTGTCCGGGGATATAGCAAGATTTATGTGCAAATCAAATTCTCCGACATAACAGACCTCATTCCCCAAGCTCCCTGTTTCGAACTGGGAAATCGTTCAAATGATTGCTTTACTGCTGCACAGGCTCGAGGGTGTTACCACTGCGAATTAAAATAGTCAGCATTTGTCATCAGAAGTAATACCAAACTCGTAGACTTACGCAACAATGTTGGCCCATCCAATCAGACGCCAGTGCTTCTCAATTCTGCGGCTGATGGCGATCTTCTCGCCGACTTCAGTACAGGCAGGGCTGGTCAAGCTGAGCTTGGCAGCATCGGCCTTGACACCGAGGACTTTAGCACCGGTAGCGGTGGAACCGATGTTGACCATCAGGACTTCGTTCTTAGCAAGTTTGGCGACCTTGGCTTGCTTTCCGTCGGCGGTCTTGACACCGAGGAGGCGGCGGAGCAGGAAGTAGTTGACCTCAATCTCAGTGTAGATAGCGGGAAGACGGCCACGGTGACCGAGAACGAAACCGACGAGACGATCGGCACGGCAAAGCGTGGGATCGACACGGGTACCGACACCGATCAAACCACCAGGCACGGCAAACTTGAGATCATTGTGCTCAGCGAAGAGAGACACAATACGGGAGAAAATGGGACGGCACTGAATCTTGCCCTGCTCGTCCTTGGTGACGAGACCCGGACGAATCTCGATCTCATCGTTCAGCTTTACGACACCGGTAAGGATGGAACCACCGGCAACACCGCCCTTGAGCTCATCGATCTCGGCACCGGGCTTGTTGACATCGAAGGAACGGATGATCATCATGTGAGGAGTAGCCTCGAAGTTGCGAATAGGGATGGGGATGGTATGAACAAGTGCCTCGTTGACAGCATCGATGTTGTACTTCAATTGCGCTGAAATTGGGATAACGGGCGATCCATCAGCAACGGTACCACGGATGAACTTGAGAATCGACTGATAATGCTCAAGGGCATTATCGCTTCGCATAAGGTCAACTATTGTGTTTTTGATGTCAGTGCTTCTTTTCATTGACAATTTGCAGGAACCATAATTTTACCCTTATTTTGGAGGATGACGATGTGATTGAGCTTCATGATCTCAATGGCAGCTAAGTGCTCCGAGGTCTGGGGTTGGGGACAGGTTTCGTTTCCGGCAATCAGGAGGAGGGCGGCATCCTATCAAAATGATGTTAGTTCATTACTGATATCTTCAAAATTTAACTGCTGCAGTGAGGAGTGAACCTACCATGACCGCGGCTCCTGAAAGCATGGTGCTCATCTGTGCAAAGCTGGTCAGCATCAACTCCAAAAAAAAAAAAAAAAATCGCCCAAGATGCGCAAGAGAACGGATACTAACAAGAATATCGTGACCTATTTAAAGTTAGCAGTGTCGAGGTTTGAACAGAGACGGATTTAGCAAACATACCTGGGCAATCAACGAAACTTTTTTGAGAGATTCAAGGTTAGCTTGTCTTCAACAAAGGGGAGCCTCCGGGGGCATATATTGGGGATTGATGATACCTGACATGACGCTGTATCATAAGTTAGATTAGGACCACTTGAGAAGAAAAGCTCCGAGTTTGGACTTCAGAGGGGAGGTGGTAGGAGTACATACCAGCAAACGGTAACGGCCGTTACATCCTTCACGCTCGCATGGCGGGTCGACTTCCTTCTCACTCTTGAAACTCTTGTAACATGTGGGCCGGGGGCACTCGGGGCTGTCACACTTGTAGATCTTCGCATTAGCATAACCAAGCTTAATGGTGATGTTACGCTCGAGTTCGTTCTTGAAGCGAACGGTCTGAACCTCAGAAATGGCCTTGACGACGGTAGATTTGCCGCTATAGTTATGTAAGTATGCGTGTAGAAAGGAAAGGGTGAGAGAGGATTTCTAACTGAGCGACGTGACCGATCGTGCCTGATAATCCCGTCAGTAAATCAGTTGCGCGGAAAATTGGAATCGAACAAAGGAAGTGCATTTTCGAACATGAAACTTTCAAAAACCCAACAATCACAGATCACATACCGATGTTCTGAGTAGCTTGCCGGGCAATAATCTCAGGCGAAAGAGGCGTCAATGTGGAAAGGTCGAGGGTTTCTGGGTTAGGCTGCTCAGGCAGCTCTGGGCGCTTCGGTTGAGGAGCGTGATCAGCCTTCTTCATAGCTGACTTGAGAGGCTTCTCCTCCTGCTCCAGAGGCTCCTGGTCCTCGATCTCTCCGCGAGCGTTGTGAGCATCGAGTAAAGGTGAGCCGGGCTGGGATCCCTCGTCGGAGAAATCGCCGTTGGAAGCCATAATTGCGAAATAAGTTAGAAAATCAACTCGCGATCTGCGGCGTCGTTGAATGAAAACAGGTGGTCGCACGAGGCTGGTGGTACGGTAGGAGGTGGAAGGTCGATGAAAATTGCTTCCCGCGGGCGATATGATAATGAAAGAATATAGGTGGGGGATTGTGTGTAGTGGAGAGCCGGGCGGTGTCAGGATGGCAACTCTACATTTCTTCTACGTTATAAGGGTTATGGTAAATATACTGGAAATAGATATAATTCAATTGCTGTTGATTTTAGTCAATCCATATAAATTAAATCTTGTATGTTGTGTGTGGTGGTTCATTGTGGATGATTCACTTGTCCTAAGAAAAATCCTTGTCCTCCCAAGGTATACACCATTGGGTGTGCCACACCAGGTCTATAGAGACGATAACATCCTTAAATTATTAAAACTTGGGTTGGAATTTCAGCTTGAATGGAAACATGTCAAAATATATTCATAATTATTTTCTGAGGGTAATAGACTCGATTCTTCTCATACTCATGATACATTGGTTGCCACTGGGGATTTCTATTTGACGGTACAAAGGGTATAACAGTTGAGAGCAATGAGACGTTACTCATCGTCGCTATCACTCGATGACTCCACTTCATCAGAGTCATCTTCAGAGTCTATCAGGGTAGACGGATCCTCCGCAGGCAACATAACGAAGGAAGCCATGCATGTGATGCGGTTACCAGTTTCATTGGTAGTCAAGAGCTTTCCAACCTGAGTGGTATCCTTCTTCTCTTGCTTTGCTGCTGTAACTTCTTTCCCAGCAACCTTCCAAACACGGACGATTCCATCACTGTTGGCGGTGACGACTAAGAAGTCGTTGCGGAATTCCTTTGCTTGACCCTCGAGAGTGAGGATGTCGAAATCCTTGATGCGGCCAGGGAACCCAGCTTGCTTTCCACCGACCTGAGCAACAGGCGTGGCATAGGGAATCGAGCATTCGGTATCATCCTCCGAATCTTTCAGTTCTTTGGTCGAATACAAGATCACTCGGCCATCCTCTGTCGAAACGGCCAAGAAATCTTCTTTTTCATTACCAGTCAAAGGCAACGCAACATACTTCATCTGGTGAAGTTTGCTCCGCGGGCTAGGGATAACTCTACATTTTGGAATCGAATCCTGCACTGATAGTCAGAAATTGAATCAAGTGTATATCGTCCGAACAACTTACGATTCCAAAGACAACTGCACCCCATTCGAAAGCAACAGCGAATTCCTCTCCCTCGGAGTCCCATGCAATGCGTCGACCTTCTCCAGTGCTCCATCTCGACTCCTTGACACCTTGTAGGATCTCCCTGGTGAAGTTCAACACACCAGCTTTTCTGCCGGTCACGAGATTCCACAATCTCATACATTTCTCTCCTCGTCCAACGCTCAGCATCAGTTTCATACTGGGGTGCACTGCAAAGTGGTTCACTCCAGATGGAGCAGCCCCGGGAGGCGCCGTGTCACCACTTGGGCGACCTTGAACTTTTGGGTTTGGGGCTTTGATAGTCGATACGACGGTCCAGTCACGAGTCTTGGAAACAGAGATTGTGTTGTCCTCTCCGGCTGCGAGCAGTTTGGTTCGTGAAGGGAAGCTCAATGAGGTAATACTGGCAGTGTGGTGCAACAAATTTCCTAGCTCACGGTTCCGCGGGTTTTCGAGAATCTTGTTTCCGGCGAAGGTCGGCACAGATGGATAGTCCTCATTCACGGCAGGCGGTGCAGCGGAGATTGAGTACAAATTGATGCGCTCATCTGTACTACCACTGGCCAGCATCACCTTTTGGGCATCGACCGGGTCGGTGGGTTTAGGAATTGGCGACAATGCTAAACAACGAATTGCAGATCCATGGGCTTCGAATAAGAAAGTATCCATGCATTGGATGGCTGAAGGGTCAGCCTCAGCCTTTGATTTCAGGCTGGAGGCTGGGATTCCGACTGTAAAGCCATGAAGCACCCGCTCATAAGAACCTGTGACCACTTGGATAGTGAGGGCCGCATCGGGAGTCTCTGAGGGAGTCGGGGCGGATTTGGTTATCTTGGGAGGGGTACCAGCCGTCTTTCCCTCCTTGGGGGCATCGGTTCTCTTGCGTTTGACCATGATTTACTCAAATAATGATTGTGGTTTGTATATTGTAGATGTGAAAGCTTGAAGGGCGGACAACTTTTTTTCTTGATTTTCTGCCAGTTGTTTATCGGCCGCCTTGATAGGGAACTTATGCCTTGTAGCCTTAGTGCCTTGAGACCCTAAATATATGGTGTCTAGAATTTATGCCTAAGGCCTTACATACGCAAGCGGAGCACTGAATGTCAGAACAATAATACCGTTACCAGTTGATGAGGATTTTTTGAAAACACCTAAGTCTTTCACCATTTTATAGTTCATTAAAGTAGACAATATCCTTACCCTTAATCAAAAAATATTTTTTCCCTTTCAAAGTGAATTCTTATGAAGTCCCAGGTACCTGGTCAAGCCGTGTATTTTTTATAGATGGAGCGAGTAACTGGTTGTACCTAAACCAACATCCTTCCCGTTCTTCCACATTTTTCATACCGCCCTGTAACCTCATTTTCACCCCCTTCGAAAAGATCCTGCTCTAGGTGCTTTTCATCGCCTACCACCTTCCCTCCACCCTTTTCATCTTTTTCGAGCGATTTTTTCCATCTGGATGACCTCGCTCGATCAGTCCCCCTTGTTCCCGCGTTAATCGGATGCTGCGTTCCGAAGCTAGACTCCATGCTCCGTGACGAGCTCCTACGATCTAAAAATGATGAGATCGCGTAAGTATTAATTTTTTTCAGGATGGGAATTCGACCAGAAGACCTAGAAAGTGATGAATTTATCGCTAATTTGGTGGTTAGAAACTGTTTGTCGCGCAGAAAGCGCAAGCTCAGCGAACTGTATTTAGCCACGGTCGGGTTTGGCGCGACCGAGGACGCTCATTACCACCAGAAAGAACAGGCCTTCCTTGACGCCAATGATCTTTCCAAGTAAGTCCAATCGCATTGTCGCTCTAATAATGAGATGTACTTTGCAATTTTTTATTTTTTGGTTTCTAAACTCCCAATACTAATATCTTATTTAGAGGTCGTTATTTCAATGAAGCTACTCTTCCACCGCCAACCCACGCGCGTGCGCGCTCACCAAGTCAAAGTGCAATTTCCAGATCAGAAGCAGCCATCACCAATGCCAAACCTGTCACCACGATCACTCCACCACCAATTGTCGATGTCAGAGCTCCCCATGCGACCGAGCCCCAACAGCATGCTACGCCCGTTCTAGATCGGCCCCGGACTGCGACACCTAATCACCCTCCTACCCCCGTGGATGCAGTCGGAACACGTCAGCCCTCAGTGCCAGCCACCAGCCCCAAGCTGCCAAAGGATCTCAACGTGCCACCTGTCACCGCGCAGTCACTCGCTTCATTGCGCGCCGATCAGAAAAGTAGCGTACCGATAGCGGAAACATCGCTCAGGGTCCACGACCATGACGAAAATCAAGCAAAGACATCTCCCCGTGTGTCAAAGCTGGCTGCGACTGGAGTTCCCTCACTGGAGATTCCCTCCGACTCTCTTCGAAGAAAACACGAAGCACGACCCCCCCTTAGCTTGGGGCCATCCTTACACGAACAACCGCCATCACCCGCCTCCTCCATTGACCCCTACAACAATAATACACCCATTCCAGTTGCCGCATCACCCGACACAAGCCCCGCAGAAGAAGTGACCGAGGATGCCGGGCCAATTGATCACCCAAAACACACACATGACCGATCTGCCCAAGCTCGGTTGAGTTTGGTTCCCTCGACCCCGGACGAGCAATTGCGCCTAGAAGAAGCTCAGTCGAAACCTGAGAAGCCTTTCAATAATGTGATTCCAGGCCTACCTTCATCGAAAGAGGTGATTGTAGAGAGCGTGGACACCGGGGCCGAAACAGATCGCATGGATATCGACCAGGAACCCGCCTCCGTCCCTTCTGAAGCTAAAACACCACAAGAACCTGAGACGACGAAGCGAGAATCGTTTTCGCCCACCGCACAAGCCGAAGCCGCAGATTCAGCTGTTGAGACTCCCACTGCCAAAAAGCTTTCTATCCCACCTACTCAACCTGGCTCAACACAACCCGAGCGCATGACCACTCGAGTATCATCAGGGGCTATACGACACAAGTCTGTTTCCGAGATCCTTGGAGAAACCCCAAAGAGTATCGCTCATGATAGAAGCCAGCCAGCTACCCCGTCTGATCAAGGCTCTCCTGATTCTGTCGCAAGAATGCGCCTCAAGGACCGGAAGGAACGCGAGAAAGAGAGAAGCCGACTTTCGACTGTTGTGTTTCCAAAGCAGCCAGCCCAGCAGGAGAAAGCCGACTCTATGGACCTGACCTACCGAGACACGGATGCGGTCGCCAAGCTGAATGAGGAGCAAGACTATCTTTTCACATTGTTCTTGAACAGAGCGTACGCCCCTCCTCGGGGAACTAATCTCAATACTCTGCTGGCATCCGCGCACAAAACACTAAGTACTAGCAACCACCTGCTTGAGTACCAAGAACAGATGGATTGCCGTACTCTCCGGCGCATCTATGCTCTTCAAAATGCGAATCGATGGCCATTGCGGCAGTTGAAACGCTCTGTTGAACCTCCCCGCCAGGGAACACATTGGGACGTTGTTCTGGACCACATGAAGTGGATGCGAACCGACTTCCGGGAGGAGAGAAAGTGGAAGATTGCCGCTGCGAAGAGTTGTGCCGACTGGTGCGCAGAGTATGTCAACTGCGACGCGGAACATCGGACTCTACTTCGTGTCCAAGCAAAGATTCCAACGTCAAGTCTGGCAGAAAAGGACACCTCTAAAACGGGCCTCAGCCCACCACCCGAAGATGCAGGCGATGAAGTGTTTGGTGCCTGTCATCCCACTCCGGATCTCATCCCATCTGCCGAGGAGGAATCAGTCAGTGATGGGTTCAATGACGAACCTCGACATGACATTCATGACACAGTCGCTCCTGCTGCTATATTCTCCCTGGGATCAGATGAGTTCAACTTCTCAATTGACATGACCCCCGCCGCCGAAAAATTGTTAGATGAACTGCCGATATATGGACCGCTACAAATCGCCCCCGGCACGAGCGCACCGGTGTTCAAAGTCTCCCCTGACACAGTTTGGAAAACGGAACTATTACCAGTGTCCAAATTTGCATCGGCGAAGATTAGCTTCCACGATGACGATCATCCTCGCAAACGGAGCAGATATGACTATTCACAGTACGGCAACGATTCGGATAATCGCATCACCGAATTGGCACCTGAGCAGACAAACGTTGCACTGTTCCGGCCAGAGAACAAGCCTATCCGTGATCGGATTCACCCTGGCCATCAATTCCGGCCTCCGACTGAACATCCGATGCCATCTGTCGGCTTTTTTGAATCACGTTCGTCCTCACAATGGACTTACGCTGAGGATGATGAACTCCGACGCTTGGTTAAGGAATACTCTTACAACTGGTCCCTAATCTCTAGCTGTCTTACCCCGTCATCACTCTTCACCTCTGGCGCTGAGAGACGGACTCCTTGGGAATGTTTCGAGCGATGGGTGGGATTGGAAGGTCTCCCTGCAGATATGTCCAAAACTCAATACTTCCGAGCTTATCACCAAAGGCTTGAGACTGCCCAACGCACTGTTTTGGCCCAGCAACAAGCTGCTCAACAACAGCAGCAACAGCAGCAGCAGCAACAGGGCGCCAACACTCAGCCCCCGGCACCTGTTCGCCGGAGGACCACCCAGCCTCTTCGAGTTGACCGTAGACGATCTTCGAAGCATCTTGCTTTGCTTGATGCGATGCGAAAGCTCGCCAAGAAGCGGGAAACTATGCTTCAGAAGCAGCAGCATGGTATGTCTCATAGGAAAAAAAGGTCACATTGCGTCAAGAACTCCACTGACATTCCTTTTCTTAGCTTCCCACCTTGCTTCGTTACGCAAGGCCAATGAGGCTAACCAACCTAAGCCTCCGATCTCGTCTCCGGCTGAGTTTAGTCGGTTGAAGTACGACAGAGAGATGAAGCTGCAGGAAAGACAGGAACAGTATCGTCAGCAAATGATTGCGCAGCAAAGAGTGAGTGGTATTGACGTCCCTAACGATAGCACTGTGGCTCATCTCCCATATAGGCTAGTCTCGCAGCGCAGCGTTCCGGCCAAGTACCTAACCAGCAGCAAATGATGAACGCGCCGGGGCGTAACAACGCCATGCCGCCCACTTCTAATCCTAGCCTACCAGGTGGGACCCCAAGTGGAATGGCCAACGGCATACCTCCTAATGCGGGTGTCAACCAAGGCCGCCCCATTCCGATGCCGAATATGCCTAATGGTGCACAGCCCAATGGCCAGATGCCCAATGGAATGGCCATGAAGATGATGCCACAAGCTCAAATGCAGCAAACACCAGGAGCACGGCCAGGCCTGCCGATGCAAGCCTCTCCTGATAACACACGCGTGATTCGGGAAGCCAATCGATTGCAGGAGCAGCAGCGTCTTCTACAGTCTCGGCAACAGCAGCCGCACCCTTCTCAGCAGGGCCAACAATTCCACAATCCACACTTTGGGTCACAGGGATCGCCGAACCTGAATATGTCGAACGTTAATGGTACTCCTAATAACCCTGCTATGATGGCTGCCCTCCAGAACCAAGGGGGAATGCAGAGTCCATCGTTCCATGGTGGTACATCACAAGGCGTCTCAACACCATCGCCTCGTATGGGCCAGCCGAACCCTCTTTCGAGCGGCGTTGTGCCCCAAATCAGCACCCTTCAAAGCCAGATTCAACGCACGAACCCGAATATGCCTCCAGAGCAAGTGACCAAGCTAGCCACAGATCGACTCAACCAGTATCAGCAGCAGCAACAGCAGCGCTTGTCCCAACAAGCAGCGATGAATGCTGCTGCGGGTAGCATCAATGCAAATGCCGTTCAGGCTAACTACCAAGTTCCCCACGAGGCTAATTTCCAGACTCCAAATGGCAGTTCTGGCATACAAGTCCCTCAAAACCAAGGGTTCTCCCCAATGATGCGCGTCCCCCAGCCGGGCCAGCAAAATCGTGTTGGCCCGACTAGCTCGCCGGCCTTGAACGGTGCTGCACCCTTACCCAGCCGCAGCGGTACTCCTCAAAATCAGCGTAGCGGCAGTGCCCAAGCGGGTGCTGTTCAAGGTTCCAGCAAGAGCCCGCACGCTCCAGCAGCCCAGACTGCGAGCAGCTAGGAGCTTGCTCAACTTCTTTCCCCCCCCACCTTTACGTTCGTCTGTACATACTTACACCAACCCTTACGCCGATTTATTTTCTACACTTTGTCCTTGACCATCGACTCGGATTCTTGCGCTACACCTACAATTACACGTACTCCATCTGTTGACCTCTACTGCACGCGTGCTTTCTTTTTTTTCTTGGCTTGTTGAAAATGTTCATCATTTACTTGAACTTGATATGCACTGGCTCTTTTTACACCAGTGTTTTGAATGGGCTTGGGCTTGTATCATTGGGAATAGGCGCTGGGGGCGGACGGATTACTCTAGGAATTGATATGAATTGTATGATTAGTTTGGAGTTTGTTTTTCTTCTGTGTGTACTTGTAGACTTCCAATTTAGAAGGTATCTGCCAAATCTGGTGCTTCGCGTGCGGACTACATAGCCATTTTCATTGAACTTTTTGATACTCTAGGTGGTTTCCGAACTGCTTTGTCCTTTTTGACATACCTTGGCTTCCTTCCATACATCAACCACTTGGACACCAGCTGAATCGAATCAAATCCAGTGTCCCCAGTGATAATGGCTGATTTACAGCGCTTTATCTGGTAGGTATCGTCCACGAACTATGAAAGGCTTCGCTCGTATGCATGGCCCTTTAAACCATCTAGCATTGCTCCGCTCGAAGTGGCTTGTATGTCTGGGTATCACTTCTACATCTTGATATGTAAGCATTATTGGTTTCTATTCAGGCTCCGATAGATCACAAGAGGCCCAATATATTACAATCACCCGCTTGTCAGTGGTCACTTGGCAGGCCTCTGACCCATTTCACACCCATTCAAGAGTGCATCGGAATTCCCATCTCCCGCCAGAGTCTTGGTCAGGCGACGAGCCTGCTTGATAAGCCGACCCGGATGGTAAATTATCAATAAAAACATGGTAAAAAACATCAAAAAGGCATCAAAGACATAGATATAGGCCTCCTTAGTGTTGACATCGGTTGTCTGACCGGCTCCAAATTGAATAGTGCGCACCAGGTTACGCAGCATCAATGCAAAGCAAGAAAGGTAAATTGCCCACATGTATCGCTGCCAGTGTAGATGTGGGTTCTCCTTAAGAAACGGAGTAGGCATTTGCCGAAGTCGTCGATGGAGTTTGGCCGCAATCAGAATAAACCAGGCGAAGACAACCAAGGAGAAGATCAAGCCAGCCAAAACGACCTTTTTGCCAATTTTCATCACCTGCTGGTCCCCGGTAACTTGGACACCCGCACCCCCCAATTGTGTACAGAAGCAGAGCACATCGTTCATAACAAAGATAAAGGTGAGCCGCTTGGGACGCATGCTTGAAAGATGTTCAGCGCCGAAGGAGCGGACGATACGGCCGAGGACCATATACACAGTGGCTGCGACAAGAGGTGGTGCGCATAGAATGAGCATCTCCTGCAAGGCCCATGACTTTATTTCGAATCGAGACTGGTGCGACCATGCCCGGCCGTAGTAGCCGAATGTCTCGCCTGGTTTCGTTCATCGTTAGCCCGAATGTTCCTCTCTGATAGAAGGGAATGGGGAATGTCATCATACAAATTCCCCCTAACACCAGTGGAATAAAATAGGCAGCACGGAAGGGAAACATCAACACGATATGGGCAAGGGTTGAAACCCCAAACATTCCCATAAAGGCGTACCCAGCTGTGGCAGATGGCGTATAGGGATAGAACTCTACCCATGGATCAGTTCCATTTTGGCCGGGGTGAAAAACAATATCCATATTATAGATATCAACAAGAGTGTAGTTTGCTCATCGTAAGGAGAAGGGACAGGGACCTATAAATGTCTAAGGCTGTAATATCTAGGGCTATTTCTAGATTCTCAATTAGGGAATTTCTGAACGAATACGCATGAATGTGGGGCATCTCCCCGGTCCACTTTTGGATTATGCTTCTTTCGTCCTATGCTTGTCTTTCCGGCATATTTTTAGAAATACTACTAGGTATCGAGTGAGAAAGAAATGGAAAACCAAGTTTCGTACTCTACTGCTACGTAGTCCAGATCTTAGAACATAATTGCCTAAAGATAGACCCAGAACCAGTGGACTACAAGCTGGGACCGTGGAGTAGTCCAATATTCAACTTGCATCTTAGCTACTTTAGTGGCTCTTAGGTACTTCATTACCCTCAACATACTTGAGTTCCCAATACTTGGACAAACTTAGGGCTGGGGCGAACAGGGAGATCTGATTACGAATACGTCCGAAGTTCCTGATTATGATCAGATCATCCCGGTTGATGCCACCATTCCTTCTTTGCTGGCTATTGCTATAAGCTACTGCCTTGAGATGCGTCAGATGAGTGGAGCTCTGATCTCAACAAAGGTCGTGAATGTTGAGGCATGAGAGGTGAATTATGTGACAAAATTCCACATATTATAAAGAGCTGTATCTATAGATTTATGTATTGTACATCCGGCTAATAAGCAACTCCAGACACCCCATGCCTAGTGAAGAATCGCATAATAAATATTCGTGAGTTGTATATCGAGTTGCAGAGTAGCTTAGATGACTGTTGTCCATACCAAATCTGCTGGTTTAGCCGCGCGCTTCCAATTTTGCCACCGCCCATGAGCTCTCAAGCATCAATTGCGCCTCGAGCTCTCTCTTCCCTACTAAGCACTCCACTCGGTTTGAACCAAGATACCATCGCGATGTCTTCGCACAAGCATAATGAGGGCAGGGAGCCTTTGTCCAAACCAATCTCTCTATCTCTATCCAGTTCGAAAGCTCCTTCAAAAAAGACTGGTTTCAATATCCAATCCTCAAATCGCGGTCGTTCCACAAATTCCCCAGCAAATGGCCGGTCACTGCCTCGGCGACCTCATCAGCTCGGCGATGACTCCGACGAAGAGGAGACCCCCCCGGCCCACGAGGAAATTTCAGGGTTCGACACCCACACAGGTGCCGCCATTACTGCAGACGGACAGGCAGTCGCGGACGGAAAGAAGCCTCTAGTCATCCCCGTTACGAGTAAGAACAACTGGCGTGACCGAGTAGGTGTGAAAAAAGCAAGAATCTGCTGCCTAGCGAAGTGCAGGCGATGCAGGAAGCGCAAAAGAATGGACAAGCCCCTCCCGGAGAGCCTACAGTAGAGACGGACACGCCCAGCATGGCGTACGGCTTGAGCTTTGCACAGCAGTCCGCAGAAAAGGCAGATCGTGGAGCAGCAGGGGACGAAGACCAGGCCATGCCTGATGCGAAACCTGTCGAGACGAAGCCCCTCACCGACGACGAGATTGCTATGCAGGCGCTGATTCGGGAAACTACGGGTGAAAACGAAAGGAGGTCAGACCTTGTGATCGAGTCAGCTAAGCATGGAAGCAAAGGTGACGAGGAAGGACCAGTCCACAACGAGCTCGGATCTTTCCGTACAGATGTGGCATCCCGGCCGGACCCTGCTAGTTTGGACGCCTACAATGCTATTCCAGTCGAAGAATTTGGAGCCGCGCTGCTGCGAGGAATGGGGTGGAAGGATGGTCAAGCTATAGGACGAGGCAACTACAGCAGTGCCACAGCTGCAGAGAAAGCGAAAAACCCTCGTGTCCCAGAACGACGACCTGGGTTCCTCGGCATTGGCGCAAAGGATTCATCCGGTGGAAAGGGGGCCGAAACCGAGCTTGGAGCTTGGGGGAAAGCAGCTATGCGCAAAGCGTCGCGGAAACAGGGCGATGAAGACGACAAGGCTGAGGGCGTGTACATGCCTATCACAATGCGAAATAAGAAAACCGGCGAGCAACTCACCGAAGCAGAACTTGCTGCTCTACAAAAGGAGGCTAAAGCCAAGCCTTCTAAGGAAGATGACTGGCGCGAGCGACGAGATCGTAATCTTGAGAAGAGCGGTCGGGACAAGGATCGAGACCGTGAATACCGCAAACGCGACTACTACGACGATGAGGATCGTTCTAGCCGGAAGACTGGGTCCTCGCGACGTGACCGTAGTCGATCCAGTGGCCGGCAATCTTCCAGTCATTCCTCTCGATATGATGATGATGATAGAAGCAGACGGGACGACCGTTCCTATCGGGATCGAGACCACGACCGGGATCGTCGCCGGGACCGTGATGATTATAAGGACGATCGGAGGAGAGGCGAAGATCGAGAGCGGGACAGGGATCGCAGCCATCGATCTCGAGATGAGAGATACAGCAGCTCGCGGCAGTCGTCTCACTCATCTCGGAATGACCGAGACCGAGATCGTGATCGCGACTCTCGTCGGAGTCGTCGTGATGATTAGAGGTCAGATGTCCTCACTAGGGGATTAGAGGGCATCGATGCCTTTGTACAGGACAAATTGTTGCTTTTGGGGCGCTGCATATCCCCTCCATCCACTTATTTTACCACGAGACTCAACCAAATAAAGATACCCCGAACAATCAAAATATATGGCTTTGGCCAAAGGAAACTCTCCATGATACACTGTTCAATTCTATAAAGAGATGGCTTTTATCCTTCCCACCCATTGTACTCCAAGAACGAAAGCGCCAAATTCAATGTACAAACAAGGCAAAAGACTAAAGCCAGACTATGCTTCCAACATAATAACGTCCTTCTCATGCTCTTCCTCCTCACTGGCATCACCCACCGTCAAATCACGTAGTCCACCGAGTCCAACACCACCATCCATCTCACCGAGAACCCACTCCACCAGGTAGCTGTCATCAACCAGCTCCTCAACTCGGCGGTAGTGTCTTTCGGTGTACGCGGCCAATGCCTGGAGGATGTCCTTCATACCAGCCGCGGCACGACCCTCCTTTCCGCGAACGGACTGGGTCGCAAGCTCCACGAAAGTGGACGCAGGATAGGACCGGAACAGAGCATACAGGATGCGCTGTGACACGCGCGAGGTGCGTGCATTGGTGTTCCAGTCCCGGAGACGGAGTAGAAGAGTGCGCAAGTTGGCAGGGTCCAAGTTCTGCAGGACCTTGTCGATGGACGGGTTACCGGACAGACTGGCTGCAGCACGCTCGCGGTCCTCGGCCGGAACAGTTGGGTCGTCTGCGGCGTTGATGGCGGAGGTGAAGAGCGAGAGCAGTCTGCCCGGGTGGTTGAGTTGCAGGGCCAGAGTGATGGCTTCACGGTAGGCACCGGCGCGGATGTAGTTCTGCAGCTCTTGGTCCTGTTCGACGCGAGCAGAGCTGGCGTTGACAGCGGCTGTGTAAGTGGATGATGTGGTATCAGTCCAGAAGGTCACTGTTGCGTCGGCGGAACCAGAGGCAATAGCGTAGGGAGTGGTGTTGAACTTCGAAGAAACTTGCTTCACATCTGCGCGCGAGCCTGATGGGGTTGGACTAGCAAGCGCCCAGACTCGGTCGATGTGATTGTCCAGGGTGGTCTCGAGCTCGCCCGTATAAGGGGACCAGATCTTGACCAGACCATCTGCGGCAGCGGAGGCGATAAGAGGGCGGTCCTGGATAGCGTTTTTGCGTGCTGTTGCGGCCTCTTCGTCATCCTCATCCTCGTCGATTTGGTTCGAGACCTGGGGAGGTGGGAGCCAGAGGACTTTGAGAACACTGTTGGTGTGACCCTCGAAAGTCAAGAGACAGCTGTAGTCAGACAGACTCCACAGTTTGACAGTCTTGTCACCGGAGCCTGTGACTGCGAGACCACGACTCGTGCTGGTACGTGAATCTGAGTTGATGATCGGTGTACCTTGCGGGGCAAATCGCACCGACCAAACACCTCGCTTATGGCCACGGAGGACACCTACTGACGAGCCTTCGTCGGCGGCCCAGATCTTCACAGTGCGATCTTGTGATGCGGAGGCGAACAGTTCAGATGTAGAATCAATATCAATGGCATTAATATCTTTTTCGTGGGCCTTGCGAGTGTAGATTGCCTTAGGATGGTGTGGCTTTTCGCCCGTCAAAGGGGCTAACTTGCTTGTATCCCATCGCTTGATTGTGCGATCTTGCGATCCAGTAATTAGGAATGCTGGCGGGTGGTTCACGGGGTCGTTATATGCGGCACTGCCAACAGGTGGTGGGACGCGTGGTAGGGCAATTGCTCCCAATGACTCGGCGTGACCAGTGAAAATAGCAAAGCAAGTATAAGAGGATGTCTTCGGGTCAATACGCCAAAGACGGGCTGTATTGTCTTTAGCACCAGTTGCTAGCCAGTGTCCTGACCAATCTGCATCAATGCAAATGATGATATCGTCGTGGCCTTCCAGGTGTGTGACATCAGCACCAAAGTACTCCTCTCCCTGAGCTGATGGTCGATCTTCCGAAGGAGCAACCGAAACTACACGAATACTCTCAGTATTGGTGGCCAGAGCAAGCATCGATCGGTCAGGCCCAATGTAAGCCAAGTCAATAATCTCGTCGTCATTGCCGGAAATGCGGCGGATAACCGTCAATGGCTTCAAAGTTGACCCTGGCTTATAATCAGACAGCGACTCGAGCGAGTGGATCCGGAGAGTCTGGTCTGCGTGGACGGTGAGGACGAAAGGTAAGCCAGGCGAATACTGGATAGCAACGACACTTTCAAACTCCTCTCCAGCCTCTTGCTCCTCTGTGATCTCGCTTCCACGGTTGCAGTCCCAAACTCGCAATTTACCATTTTCTCCACCAATAACACACAGCCCGCTATCCGCAATGAAAGCCGCGGCCTCGACACTTTCCAGAACAGGAATGATTCTGCGAGTTTTCCAAGTACGTGCATCCCAGACGATGACAGTCTTGTCTCTGCTGGCCGAAATTAATGCGTTCTCTGACGAAGAAAAGGACAAACTGCGAACAAGTGAAACATGTGACTCGAGCGACGCGATGGACTTTCTCTTGTGCAGGTCCCATACACGCATCTTGCCATCTTCACTGCCAGATGCCAAACGGAATCCTGCAGTAGAACCTGCACGGGCAGAGCCCTCCACATCTTCATCATCTCCCGTAGCCTGTTGCCCAGACTTGTTCTTCTTAGATGACTTGGAGTCGCTGTCGGCAGAAGGGACCTCGAAAAAGCAAAGCGCGGAGATGACACCACCATGACCATGGAAAGTGTGAGTGACAAATCCGCCTCTAATATCCCAGACCTTGATTGAGCCATCAGCACCACCAGTGGCGAGTAGTGTGCCAGTAGGGTCGACAGCAATGGTCACAACGGGAGCTGTGTGAGGCTTAAGGGTTCGGAGGAGTTTTGCTTCAATGGCCTGGGAAGTCTCGTCGAAATCTGGGAGCCCGTAAATTCGCATGGACATTGAGCGCGAGCAGACAATAGCGTGTGAAGCAGAAGGCGTTACTAACCGAATTGTCAGTTATTTATTCTCGTTTCCTAGGGCATGCAATACTTACTGGCCAAGCCTGTGACAATTTCTCCATCCTACAGCGTTTATCCGGTTAGCGCTTTGTAAATTGACGAATATTCCAAGGCGACAAAACATACTCCTTCCAGGCTAGCGAGCTGGTTACCAGTCTCCAAATCGACTATCAAGGCATCCTCGCCCACGCAGCTCAGCAAGATACGCCCACTGGCATCCAGCGCGGTGCTACCGCCGGTGTAAATGGGGCGAAGCGTGCGGGACGCCTCGAAAGTGGTTTTGACGATAGCTTTCGACATGACTCTATGATATATCGGCGTAAAAAAGTAGAATTTAGCACGCCATTGGCCAGTCGAAGAGCCGTAGAGATTGAACGATCGCAAAAAACGGCAGCTCGAGCGGGCAACTTTTTTTGATGTTTGCACTGTTTGTTTGATGATAAGATATGGATGGCTTATGCCTCAGGCAAAGTAGGTGTGGCCGCATAACCACATGTACCTTCGTCCGCTGGACTTTCGTCTGACTTGTGCTTCATCGTTTACTTTTTGAATTCACAGACTCTGGGTGGTGTTGTACTGATGGTCTACTAGAAGATGATGTGGCTACATTACTAGCCCCGTGACCTTGCACGATATGGGTCGACAGGCTTATTTGAACCGGCTCGCCTTGGTAAGCTTCATCTTTACGCGCAGATTTACGCGCAAAGTTCCCCTGCACCTGTAATCCCGGATTTTTGGGTCTCTAGACTGTGACAATGTACCATGCTTTACCCCGGGAAGCCTAAAGTTTTCTGAAACCGAAGCAGTCACAACCTGGTCCTATCTCATTCTTTCTATCCGGATATACAAGCCCATCCCAAACACCTCTTGCCGTATATTTGAACTTAGTTACAACCTTGATAGTATTTTATATTAACTGATTCCAAGGGCCGGTCCCCATATGAAGCTCCCGACAATGCGGCAGTTGACCCCTCCAATCCAGTCCGACGGATCTCCAGCGTCTATGCAGACAACTACCTACAGCAGTATGATACTCGAGGCCATCCTGTTAATGCTGAGTCCAGAACCCTTGGGAAAGAACTCCGGAGAGCAAAGAATGATATTCTCTCAACAATGGGGATCGTCGTCAGTGGAGAAGACCGAAACTCTGATATTCCCAATGAGCAGCAAAAGATCAATCAGATTGCGAGTGAGAATGACTTCGGACTGGTCATAACAACTCTCGATCAGCTGTTCATCTTTTTTGGTACTTGGTGGACCTCTTCAGTCACTGGTCGAGTACAGGTAAATACAAACCTCGACTACTCTAGATGTTGATTGGGCTGACATTTGAGACTCTGCGTTTAGACTTACCGACATTATGCCCATTCCGCATTACTCAGTGTCATACAATCTGAGAGAGATACCTCAGGCATTTTTAGCTTCTATTTCTCTGGAATTCCTGCCTGGGCAATGTCCAGCGGGTTGGCTATAGCTCGTGAAACACCGCTGAAGCGTGTGTTTGTCTCTCTCCGGGACTCTGCTCAGTCTCTGACAGGCGACTCACTCGGTGTTCGTTCTCTCTTTGGGCTTCTGTATACATTGTGAGTGTATTCATCGTCCGTTCGTAGAGACAAGGCAACTAATCATGAATCAAGGGCGAGAAATTCTGTGCTCATGTTGTCTATGGAATTCTACATGTATTCCACGCTCCAATCTCTTTCCCTTGTGTCCCCGTATAGCATCCCCGGCGTGCGATTTCTGCTTCCCTTTAGCAGAGATTCTTTGCTACAGCTGCCACCCTTGCCCACTGATTTCTCCCTTCACTCAGTGGGGACCTCGCTTGTGCAATTGTTGACCTCCCCTGGCGCTTTAGTATTTCTCTATGGCTATTACTTGCGACCTGAGCTTGAAGAGCGTATCTATCGGTTGATCAGACGACACCTTCCTAAGCCATCTCTTCCTGATGAACTCTCAGTCCGCGTTGCCTTCGAAGAAAACCTGATAGAGTGGGTAGTACCTACCCTGGGCCGCAGATCAGATGAGGAACTACATCGCGCTAAGCTCACATTATTTGAGGACATCAAGTTCGAATTAGCCGTTTTTCGAAGATGGGTATCATCGCTTTTTGGACTGAGATCGAGCCAATCGGCAGAGCAGCAAGCTCTCCGGACCTTTAGAGACGAGCGGATTGAAAACCTGCGCAATTCGATTGAGTTGTTGCAAAATGAACTTGATGGAATCAACCTTGTTGCTAGACAAGGACCAAATGATTCGGTGCTCAGACCGCCGGGGATCACCCCCGATGCCCAGGTTGCCGCTCTTGCATCGCAAGCACGATCGCGATCACAGGATGCAACTAGGCCAGCGCATTTGAGCCAGGCAGAATCAGTCATTGGGTTGAATCAGGTGCTTACAAATGAAGATCGTATGTCTCAATCGCCTGGGGAAATGAGCAATGACTTTTTCTCTGAGATGGCGACTGCTGGACGAACGAGTCGTGTTTCGGCCACCTCGACCCTGCAAAACCAAACAGGCTCTTTGCAAAACGATGTGAATTTTGCTATGGACCGAGAAAGCTCACAGTCTGATACTCTCTTTTCTCCCCCATCATCACCAGACACTTCACCTCCTACATCGCCTCGTGTAAGAGCATCATTGATTCACCAAACCTCCGACGTTATCACGATGCAGCTTGAGTTGCTGAGCAATAGGAACCGCCACCCACAAATACAAGCTTCAAATCCTGCCCAGCTGAATGCACTAGCGGGCAGGAATGTGTCAGGACCAAATGCGAACCCAGACGCCATGGATAGACGATCCATAGCTGAGTTCCTTGAAGCTCTTATCTTAAGTCAGGCCCAGCGGCAGGAGCAGCAGGCGCAGAACCTAGCGGCAGCAGACACGGATGGCCTCTCAAGTATCACTGCTGGACAATCTAACACAACGCCCCAGGACTCAGGTGCCCTTGAGCTAGACCCTCGAGTTCTGGCCCCAGAAACCCAAGGCACTGAAGCTCTAACTTCAGAGTCAATCGAGGAAGGAATCGGGTCCATCGGTCCAAACATTCTTCCAGATGGTGTTGAAGAACCGGATGACGAAGAGCCACACAATGAAACAAACCCTGTCGCAAATACAGAACACAATGAAGACACTCAATCCGACACTCTCGTCCAGCCAATTCTACCTTCTTCTCTTATTCCCGGACAATCGTCAAACACATTTTCGCAAGTCCACCGCGTCACCCTTCTTTCGGCATACCCAGTGGACTCCCTCGCATCTCATCTCGCTGCTGCAATCAGCGGCATCATGCTCGCGCCCCTTGAAGCACTCTATCTTCGCTCATTGACCCGATCCTGGATCATATCACATCCATCCTCTACTATCCATCTCTCCGATGTTCACCCATCGGATCTTTGGTTTGGCGGGAGAACTTGGCCAGACATATGGGCCTATTCCTGCCGTCTCGTACTCATGAGAGGCATGCAAGTTGCGATGAGAGCCGGAATTTGGGGGTTCCTTGTAGGCTCCACGATGAGGATAGGGAGGAAATTCTGCGGCTGGGGAACCTTGTGACGAGCGCTTGTTTCTTTGGGCCGCATTAATACCTTTGTCATTCTAATATGTGTATCGTACTATTCATACTTCCATGAAACTTTTGTGCAATCACCTCCTGCGTTGCACGCTATGAAGTTCCGCGATATTCTTTTGACTATTAGCGATCTGAGGTGGAGAATACATGCAAATGATTTCCTTAAATGGATATTGAGTGATCAATAATATCATTTATCAAAATCTTCGAAGCCAGGCTGGCCCAATGGCAGAACGGAAGACTTGTGTGTAACTTCCTAAAAACAAACCACCCGAGATGCTGGCTTCTACCCTCACCCAGTCTGGGCCCAGGTCGAAGGCTTATCATTTAGACGGCTTAGAGCCTCTGGAGCCAAGTCGATATCCGTGTCGTATTTTCAACTTCCCACACACGGGTCGTGGCCTAGAGGTCGAATTCGGATTATGTTGAGGTAAGGAATCGAGAGAGAAGCCAGAGCAGAAACAAGCCTGTATTCGTGCTGATTCTATGCTTAAGAATGCCGAGAAGGACGAGGATTGCGATACATAGGTGGATATGTATAGTTGTTACTTATCGGTAAGTCCATGTGTACGACTTGATCGATAGACAAGTCGGTGCAAATCTACCGAATTTGAGGATCGGAAAGGGGTCGGTATTAAAGGTTTCAAGGCACATAGTTCCAATGGCCGGCTTCTAGGCATTGGACTGAGCAAGTGTGGCGCTATATTCGGACACAGCCGCTGCACATTAGCTCTATACTAGATTTCCTAGGGCCCTCGTTACTAAGTGTAGGTTTGCACGGAAGACTAGCTAGAAATGTTCGACTCCAAAGTAGCTTTGATGATTGGTTGGGGATCATGGTAACTACTACCAAAACTCCTTTTTCCTATGTATTTAAGGGGTAGGTAGTGTTAACATTTGGAGTTGCCAATTATGTAGAGTCATATGCACGTGGTATTCTATTTTTTTCTATTTTCCTCCCCCCCTGTGATGCAAAATTTACTGATTTTTACTGTACAGTGGGAGATAAAGAGGCAAAAGAAAACATAAAGTCGTCATTAGTTGATGGTACATTGAATTTGCTGTCAAAGGTAAAAGTGTAGGAGACGTAGAAGACATTGGTAGTTTGAAGCTCAAGCCCGATCCTCAGATATAGCTATTTTAGATCAACCAAGTCAAGCACGCTCCTTTCCTTTATTCCCTGGCACCTTGCGCCGCTCCCAGACCATAAGATATCCCTCACGAGTGAACAGCGTCTCACTTTCCGTGCGGTTGACGAACAAATCCTGAATCTCAAGCCACTCAGGACCCTGTTTTTGTTTCTCTGTGGAACCACTGTTTTTGACACGAGCATTTTCGGCCTCCATAGCTTTATCATGAAGTTGAACAAGCCATGAGACCTTTTTACTGCCACCACCTGCTCCGCCGGATGAACTTGCGGTTCCTGAAGCAGAGTTAACGCCTTTGTCCGCAGCGTCATCCATTTCACCGGGTGCGGCGATAGCGGGGTCGAGAATTATGTTTGCGACAAGATCGTAGAGGATTGGCTCGCTAGGTGACCAAACATTAGGATTTGGCTCGACATAGGGGGACATATCCAAGTTGTGCGGAGAGGGGAAGGTGACGATGGTTGGGTTTCGCTCAGAGACAAAGCGATTCTTGCTGAAGCGTTTGATATGGAAGAAAAGATAAGGAGGAAGAGGGTGAAGGAGACGGTGTCGGACACGGTGGGCCAGTTTCTCTGACGCCGTGTAGCCATTGTATTTGTTCAAGAGGGTAGTCAAGGGAACCTGTGGGATACTCGACTCCCTACTGGAAGACTGGAAGAGGGGTGTGGGTGGTAGATCCAGTGTGAGGATAAGGAATGGAGTAACCTGGCTATTGATTGTAGCTGATTCAGTGAATACCAAACGGGCATTTTGGGTGTCAGAGTGAGCTGTGATAGCTTGGCTTTCGATCCGTACACGGCCCTGAAAGGCTGCGTGAATGACACTTGTGGGTGCTGATGAGGGCTTCTTAGACCCTCCTAAGGCGAGGTGCAAGGTGTTTAAGAACCAAGACAAGAAGTCCACGGGATCTGCCTGGTTGGTGAGAGTGAACCGTTTCGAGGATCGTACGGCAATCTCTTGAAGTAACTCGTGCGGAGACACATGTGATCGGAATGCCTTTGGATTCCATAACTTGCGCACGAGTGTGCTGAAACGAAGGATTATCTCTGGTGTGCCAGGTGTAGGGAACTCGTGGAGGAGGAAGAAATTGCGAATTGGCAAAACATGCGCCAATAGTTGAGCTACTACATTGACGTAGTCGTTGGCTTTGATGTTGTTCATGCCGACAAAGCCTGGAGAAGACAATTAGCCAAAAGAGAGCAATATTATCATGATGGAGATTCTTACCTGGTCTGTACCTAGCTCCAGAAAGGTCCCAGGCATCATGCACTTCCTTATCAAGCTTGACCACTTGGCTTTTTGTGTAGTGTGGATCAACCACATATTTGATATCCTCCAAGCTCTTGTTGTTCACTTCGTATCCTTCAGGCAAAACATAGACCCTCTTTGTGCCAATGTTGATGAAAACGTGGTGTCCAACTTCAAGGGCGTGAAAATATGCATGCGATTTGGGACCACGACCCTGGAAGTATTTACCGCAAACAAGACATGCGTACACATTGACATTTGACAAACTGATGGAGCATAGTTTCTCGAAGTCGAAATCCAGGATTCCACGGTTGATTGTGTCGAGGTAGAGGTCGCCGTAGCCTTCCATGGGAGCACTTTGCCGCTTTGGGGCGCTGAGTACAGGTGCATCTTCGTCAATATCCAAGAGCCTAGAGGGATCTTTCTCACCCTCCTCGAGCTCCTCTGCTTCTATTTCAGCTGCTCCCAGGATATCCACATTGCGATCATCCTGTCTCAGCTCTTCGCTTTGCAACGCGGGCACTGCGCTGTCGGGGAAGTCGGGATCGTCTTCCTCGACGCGCACCTTTTTCGATACAGGTGAGCCAGAGAAGTCTTGCTCCAAGGGGAGCTCTGCGTGTCTTTTCGACATTGTGAGATGGTTTGAATCAAGAACTGGTGACTTTCTGAGAGCTCGGAATGCGACTCATTTGCAAACAAGTCAAACAGCAACGGACAATCTTAGGCGGTGTGCATTCTGCAATACAAGACGCTGTTCATTCAAGTGATCATAGGGCTATATTTGCCTATTGTTTATTCACTATTCAGGAATCTACTCCTTACTTAACATCCAAGCTTACTACAGCCTAAATCATGTCGACTGTTCGACTATCTTGGAATCAAAGAAAAACGTCATAAGATGTGATACAACAAACGCCGTGGTATGTTGACCTTCAAGCACTCCGGACCACCTTGTCGTTGTCCACGGGAACTATTTCCACACCATCCTTTGTCACAACCTTCACCAGCATCTATGGATATTGTGTCAGAATATCGGCATTTGAGGATAGCTTCTTTCAAAACTTACTCCTTTGTAGTCAATGGGTAGTCTGCGCTTCAGCTCGTCTGTGCACAGGGTAAGAAGGGCAAGGCCCTCCTCGAGGGAGCAGTCGGGGTGGTGGTGTTTGTCAAGGATAGAGAGGCAGTAGTATCTGGCAAAATCAGCGTCAGTCACCCTTTGCAGGTACTTTCATATCGTCTGTCAAGACGGGGCATGAAACATACTGGGCATAGCCATGAGCAGCATATGGTAGGGGCGCCAACGACGCCAGATAATCAACCCAGTAAAGGTGAGGCTTCTCAGTGACCGGATCTATACCACCTAGCAGCAGGTTTACTGTGTAGGGAGTCCGTGAGCGCAAGCTGCGCGCCAATTCTCCCCGGACGAAATTGGCAACGGCGGAGGGGCTGAGCTCGGTGTCATTGCGCATGCTGTAGAGCGCAGCATTGGCTTGGATGTATTCGGCAAATTGAACTAGCATAGGTATCCCATTAGCATCTTGTTTATCTCGCCAAAGAAGGAGCTACATACCGGTATCTCCAGACTCTCCGGAGAAGGCCATCACTGTGTGCTTGTTCAACTGTCGTGTCTTATCATCTTCAGCCTTGAGGACTGTCGGGCCTCTCATTGCAGCCTTCGATGCAGCAAGAATGACGAAGTCCTTGCCGGCGATACCCAAAAGAACCTCCCTAGCAAGCTGTTAATGACCTATCATAGATGTGAGATCACCAAAAACTCACATGTTTGCAGAATGAGAGATAAATAAAAAAAATTAACAAGCAGGTAGATGATCAAAGAAGGCGAAGGGTAGTAGTGATTAAGTGAGGAGGACCGCGCGGTGAGCTTGACGCCTGGAGCTCCCGTGAGGTCAGCTACCCGCTGAGTCAGCCGCCGCTTAGCGCTTTTTTTTTCTGCCGAAAAAAAGTTGAAGTTTTGATCTCCGCAGTCCGAGTCTTTCGAGAACGCCATACATTCGATTTTTCTAATACAGAGATCAAGAACAGACAGGCAGCAAGACGTCGCCATGTCGTCCTTTTTCACTGTACCCAATTCCCAGCGCAAGAGAAAGAGAGATGACCGCGCCGGAGCCCCAGGATCAAAAAAACGAGGCGTAGATGCCAAAACCGACGGTGGTCGACGCACCAAAGAGAGAGAGGATTCAATTTCAGGCAGTGACTTGGATGAAGATGCTGCAATCGATACGGCAGAGTCAGGCGACGAAAGCGGATCGGACTCAGAAGACGGCGAAACCGCGGCGGACCGAAGATTGAAACTCGCTGAACGCTACCTGGGTAACATCCAAGAAGAAGTCGACGAAGCTGGGTTTGATGCCGCAGATATCGACCGAGACTTGATTGCGGAACGACTGAAGAAGGACGTTGATGAGTTCAAAGGACGGACGTTCCGTCAAATCGCTGCGAAACTATCCGTTCCAACGGCGCCCCATTCCTTTTTCCGCTCAGATACCCAGTCCAACACTGCCATCGCAGTTCACCCGCCATTTGTATACATTGTTTCGAAAGATAAGACTTTGACCAAGTGGGAATTGGCTACACCCGGTGTCCCAGGCTCTACAGAATCGAATGGCGATAATGATACATCCAAGCGGCCTCCGCGTCCCCAGCGCAAGAAGCCCAAGCGTGTGAAGTATGCTCGGGGTATGCGCAAAGTTGGTGAATCAGGCGAGGATCAAGGACACACAGGAAGCATCCTATCTGTTGCTGTTTCACCTTCTGGAAAATTCGTGGCCACCGGTGGAGCAGACAATAAACTTATCATCTGGGACGCAGAGACCTTGACGCCAAGCAAGACCTTCTTGCACCACAGAGACTCGGTTTGCACCTTGTCTTTCGCACGCCATATCTCAACGATGAGCTCAGGAGAGCAGTTGTTCTCCGGCTCTTACGACCGTACAATTAAAACATGGTCCATCAGCGGTGCGGGCCACGCCTACGTCGAAACCCTCTTCGGCCACCAGGATCACGTCACCGGAATTGCTGCCATGACCATTGATGAATGTGTCAGTGTTGGCGCTCGGGATCGTACCGCCCGTCTGTGGAAGGTTGTCGATGAAACACAGCTTGTGTTCCGTGGTGGCGCCTCTAGAAACGCCCCTTACCACGAGAGCAATATCGACTGCATTGCCCCGCTTCCACCCACTCACTTTGTCACTGGCTCAGATTCCGGCTCCCTCTGCCTTTGGTCGATCCACAAGAAGAAGCCACTCTATACCGTCCGTCTTGCTCACGGTTTGGACCCGATCCCCCCTCTGGATGTGTTATCGCCCGAGGCAGACGAGGCGACTGCCGCCCACAACACACGCCATATGCGACCCATGCCTCGCTGGATCACCGCTCTCGCTACTCTACCCGGCACCGACGTTGTCCTCAGTGGCAGCTGGGACGGTTTCATCCGCGCATGGCGCGTCTCAGAAGATAAAAAGACACTCATCGCTCTGGGTCCCATCGGTGCAGGCTTAACTGGTACCGCGACACCAGAGACCCCCTCGCAGCAACTCAACCAGACTCTTGCTCTTGATGCCACCCCTGCGGCGGATCAAAAAGAACCAGAGCCTTTGATTAAGGGTGTCATCAACGACATCGCGGTCTTCGAACGACGCCCTGAATCCGATATGCCTGGTGCAGAAAAACATAAGTCTGAGACCGAGCAAGAACCTCGTGGTTTGTCCATTGTCGCCGCTATCGGCAAGGAGCACCGCTTGGCTCGCTGGAAGTGCTTCAACAACAATTTCTATGAGGGCACCACTGCGGGAGGCCGCAATGGTGCGGTTGTCTTCGAAGTCCCGTTTGTTACTAATGACACTGTGAAGGCTGATGTATAAATTTTGTTCATAATCTGTCTCAATCTTGGTCATTGACCGAGAGTAAAATGGGGAGCGTTGCTCGGGTTCAGGTGTATGGAGTCACATCTGTGTATTTTACTATTTTGCATATGTACCGGATATCTTCAATGCGTTGAAGTATTCAATCATATTCTTTCATGCAATGTCGTCCCTGAAGCGTAAGATTCGTGGTCAAAGCGAACGAACATAAAAGCTATATAGATTGCACGCTTTTATAACCTTGGTTCCCCCCCGATCCCGCAACATTTTTTGTCGCAACCAATAGCCAAGATTCCTAGGATTCTGCGTCTGCGTTATATGGAGTTTCTTTGCTTGTGAATAGGGTGTCCACCAGGTAGATCAGTAGTATGTGTATCTAGTTACTTTGAATGGGCTCGTGGTCTGTTGTAGGTACATGAAATTATCATATCAGTAGTGACAAACACCAAGCAAGATAGAACGCTCTACTAGTCTGGTGAGAGAACACAATATGAGAGCCGAGGGCTTATATGGCCGAGCCTGGTGGCTTTTTTCATGGATTTGATGGATTTCGTGGTCACACTTTATTGAGTTACAAGATATCCAATTCTTCGACTTCACAAAGAGCGAGAGAAGGGATCAAAATCGATTTAAAAAAAAACGATAAGAAGGGGTATTCGTAGAGTACGGCTAAACCAGTAGGAAACAAAGCATGAAGACACGTAAGATCCAGCCGTTGAAGGCATCGAAAGTGAGGGAAAAAGAGATAAATGTCTTCTTTTCGATATAAAAATGAAGACAAAACGCCAACCATGTCCACAGTCCTCTTAGCATTACCCAAGCGCCGCGCTGAAGCCAAAACAAAACATTAAGCAAGCAGATGAAATGCGAAAGCATATACCGCATCGGCAGTTCGAAGATATTTTTTTTCTTAATATGGAGAGAATCTGGCACGTCGCCTCTGTGTGGTTCTTCTCACTGGACCGACGGGCTGATCGTCGTCGGAATCATCAAGGTTGATCACCTCATGAGCAGTGGTCCCGTGTTGGATGGGACGGCGTGCACTGGATCTTCCAGACCTAATAGGTGGCGAGGATTCCTCTTCTTCAGATGAGTCAGGAATTTGTATTGGAGGCCTCGCCGCAAGCCATGGAGCATCGCTGGGGGCCTGGAACCAGGGGGATTGGCGTGGATATTGTGAATTAGCTTGACGAGGCGGCGCAGTCTGAATTGCGTCTTCGTCAGATTCGGATTCATTTGAGTCTTCATCGACCATCTCTCTATCGTCCGATTCCGCTGAAAGTTCCTCTCCCTCTTCCTCCTCCTCATCATCTGAAGCCTCGTCGTCAAAGTAAGGTGTGGTATTTCTGTAATTGAGCCCAATCGGTGGGTGATGGTGATCACCTTGTACATCATCTACAACGGTGCCAGTGGAACGGTCTGATTCCGATTCATACATATCGCCACTCTGATTTTCAATGAAAGAACTCGTGGGCGGATGATCGTTTTCAGCATCGATGAATGAGTCTAATTCGTCATACTCATTCTCTTCTTCATCTTCCTCTTCTTCGTCGTATTCACTCCCATTGGTGTTACCTGAAGCGAGATAGTTACCAGGATCCACTAGGCCCCCTGGGGGCATTGGGATCATAGCAGGTCCGCTATCCATCAAGTTTTCGAGCCGATCAAAAAATCGGCCAGGCGCTACGCCTGGAGGCCAGTTATTGCGTGCAGGGAAGGGAGACCGATACCATTGAAGCGCAAAGTTGCCCCAAACGCCATCATGGTCCTCGATGTCGTCAAAGTGGTCAGATTCCCCTGCTTCGCCCTCATCCTCATCCTCGTCTGCGCCATCATCCAGCGAGTCTAGGTCAGTCTCACTGTAGTCAGCTGACCCACTGTCGTCTGTATCCTCGGAATCAGGCCGGTATCGGTAGCCGCATCCTGCACAATTGTCTTCTTCAAGTTCCCATGAGCAGAGCGGACATCGGACCACTCCATCATGCGGGTCAGTGATAGGTTTGAGCCGGGGTTCTTTCGGCTTGAAAAGTCCTCCGAACAGGCCTCCTTCTGTTGGATGGCTATTAGCCTTGTCCAGGTCCAATCTTTCCGCTTCGTCCCTTTGATTCTTTGAGTGTTCCATAGTCGTTTCCCCTTTGTCTAAAAGCTCAGCTCGCCCTGTGAACATCTGCACAACTGCCCGGACCTATGACATGAGAGAGATGTCAGTACAATAAAACGAATTGAAGATTGTTGAAACTCACCAAATAAGCTGGTGCTGGTTGTGTTTTGACGGGTGCTCGGCAATCCGGGCATGTTCGCTTTGATCTTCCACCAGCAAACCATGATGATAGACACTATGTGAAGAATTTTGGTCAGAGACTGGTATTAACAAAATATTTAAATAGTATTGAAACTCACTGAATAGCAGAAAGTGTGCCCACAGGCGATAGTGAACGGTTCGTAAAGAGGACGGATGCATATACCACACTGTATCAGAGTGCGAATATCATCGATATGGCCTTGGAGGGTGTTGACTAGCTATATAGCACGCGTCAGTCTCTAGTGCTCGGTCACTTCAGACGTGGGATTTGACTTACCCCCGATGCCTCGGCCCCAGAACCACTTCTAGCCGCCATTTTGACTTTCTGGGGCTTGTCAGGAGCTGTAATTCCCACACCAGGAGCGTTTCCCATTAACCCAAGTACGTTTGAGGCGTCTTGGAGCGAATGCGCGAGTACCGACGGGATGCGGTGGGGGTGTCCCGGAGAGTAAAAGTTTCGCGAAGTGGCAAGATGCGATCAACAAGTTTTCGCAAAGCCAGCTTTAGGAAGCCAAAGAGCACTGCCAGGATAGTAGGACGGTCTGGGATTGAGATGAAGGTACAAGGAAGTGCAATAATATGATCCAGATTCTTCAAGTCAGAGGGTAGATGTTTTGGTGGCCTCAGGCAAAGAAATCACATAATCAGGAGGAAGGGGGCCATAGGGAGCTTTGAACAACTTTGGAAGTGACTTGTCACCTTCTTTCATCACTGTCATACAGTCACTTGATCTGGACTCGTTGAGCTTGCTCAAAGATCATTATTGTGGAAATAATCTGCATTCACGCAACTGTACACCTCTACTCCGTACCAGTGAGGGACTTGTTTCTTATGACACAAAGATGTCGCGCAGTTGCTGGCTTCCCTTTCCCTTGAATCCTAAAATGAGACTAGGTAAATCAATAATGATATATCTGTCTGTTCAATGATATAGCTGATCAAAGTATATTTGGCCTCACTTTCACATCTGGGTCTTGCTTCAGCCGATTCATCTACAAGTCGTACATCTCTTGATACATCTCTATTTAACATTAATAAAAGCTCATAAAGCAAAGCTTGAGATCTTCCAAGGTCTCTTATGAGACTTTGGAGCTCTTACATCTCCATTTTTTTCTGAATGAGGACCCCATTCCTTTCATAACAATATCCGAGTGGCTGTCTACTCTATATCTCTTCCAAGATGCATTATCACGAGAGTTCCTCTGCTATTCATTGGCATTTCTTCCTCGTTGCTTCTCAGACCCTGCCGCTTTCTGATCGCTGAATAGAACTGAGCACGTCGATAAATCCATCAAAAATGGCAATTGGACCATTTTGTCTGCATTATAAAAAGGCAATAAATTGATTATATCCCAATATATTGTCTCTTGTCTCAAAGCAATGGAATTTAGGAAGTTTGGCTGTGCTCACTTGTGAGTTACCGCGAAATCCTGAGTGCATATTTCGGTACAAAATGCCCTCAATTCACCGAGTACTCGCACTGCAAGAGCGCTGTGATCTTTGATATACTCAAAAAATGAGAAACAAGTTTGTATTCTGTCAATATGCTCCTCTGCTGCATTTGAGTCAAGATGTTTTGCCTCTGTTGCAAGAGTCAAGGCAGCAGAAAATAGGGCAGAGGTTGTTGCCCTGGCACGAGGAGAGAAGAAGTGAAATGATTAGTCAAGCAAGACTAATGAAAGCAGAAGGAGGACTAGGACTCACCATGGGCGATGGCGTGCTAACACAACCTTGTGTTGCTTGACCATGGACACAATCGTGTTGGCCGAGTCTAGACAGATTGCCTTTGACCTTGCAAGAAGGATATCCGAAGAGGAGGCCCAGCGATGTTGTAGGGCTCGGTTGATCTTCATTCGATAGAACAAGAATGACAGAGATAGTGTGGTTTGTTGCCAGAGTACCCAGGGTGGGTATTGTTTTCCATCTTTGGCAGGTCCCCCAGAGAACTCGAGAAGATGGGATGGCAATTGTGAGATGATATTCGCTAGGGCCTCGTCCGTTGCCAGAACAAGGTCTTCAAGAAGATTACCTCCACCCTGATGTTCAATGGTTCCCATCTGGATTTGGAAGCGATAGTTCGACTTTGCTAACAAGATCATAGCATTGTGATAATCCACCGGACGGGGCCTCTTGAATGCCAAATTTGGCTCGTCAATGTTCCAGCTCAAATGTTTGCAGATGAACTGCAAAATGAATCCAGGAAGTCCATATAAAGCCATGATGCAATATAGCATCACTGCACTCTTTGCTCGGCATCCATATGTCTGTTCGATTCCGCACCTTCTGACGATAATCGCTTTTGCCATGTTGCAAATTCACCTGGTTTTCAAGCAATTCAATAGAGCTTTCCTGCTTTGGGTGTAGAGAAAAAGCCAATTCTTTCTGTGTTAATGGGTTTGTTTTGAATAGCTCGGCTTTCAGTCGCTTGTTTTCTTGTTCAAGTTGGAGATACGATAGAACTGGCTCTTTCTGCTTTGCACTGTCTCTATTTAGCACTAGCTTCTGCATCGTGTTGCTTGACACACCTAGTAACTCGGCCTCTGACGTTGACGACTTCTCTTGCGCACGTACTTTCAAGGCCTCTTGCAAGACAAGTCCCACATGGGACCTGCTTGTCGCATCTCACCCGGCGTTTAGCACAGCTAGAGCAAGCATTGGGTGCCCTTTGACTTTTTCTGGCCATCATTAGTTGAGGATATGTAGAAGATGCAAGCCCCAGCAAGGGCACAGATACAAGTCTTTATCTATGACTCGAGGCCTCTAGTTGATCTGATTGGTCTTGATAACCACCTGTGATTGGCTACAAGTGGGCGAAGGCGACTTTTTGCCAAGATAGGGGACTTTAAGCTTCAATCAGTTCCGGTGTGCTGAAATTTACAATTTCGTCTTGCCCAGATGAGAGAGATGTGTGACTAATCAGTCCGATTGAAGAAATGCATCCAACGACGGGGGAATTTTGAATCCTACGTCAGATTATTCAAGTGATTGAAAGGAATAAGAAGCAGAACACTAGCTAAGGCTATGGAGGCAGATCTGAGCTCTGGGTGAGCAAGTGATCTAAACTCATACACTTAATAAGGAATTTTCCCTGCCAGCTTCAACACTAGGTCCGTCTCGATAGGCTCCTCGTAGAGACGCTTAGTCAGGTCCCCTTCGTCTTCTTCTGGCCGGTTTGCATGACTGGTTTCAGTGAACAAATTGTCATGGGGCCAATGAGTCTATTCCAGAAATCAATAAATTACGCTGGTATAAAGAAGAGACAGGAAACTTACTGTTCCAGTTCGCTGATCGAAAAGTTCACCCTTCTGCTGCAAGATCTCAGGCGTCGCCAAGGAAGCTGGTGTATAGCACGCATCTACGATGCAATTAGACAGGTCCCCTTGGATAGGAAAATGATACTCACAAACAACGGCGCGTAGGTTCTGAGTTGATGGAACGCAATTAAAATGCATAGTGCGAGAGTCCCAGAGAATCAGATCCCCGGGTTGAGCGGTCATCTTATGAATCTCACAACCTCTTTCCTCGAACCATTTTACCTCACTCTCGTCAAAGCCAAACCAGTCGCTGGGTCCCCAGGTTGGTCGACTAATTGTACCTGAGTGAGTCTTGAAAAATTCGGGCATAAGATTTTTAGATCCTTTCATAACGAGAAGACCCCCATCTTGAGGACCATTTGGCGCAAAATTGAGAATACCCTGAACACACTGCATGCCCTCTCGCAATGGGCTCTGGTCAATATGTGGCCAAGGCTTCGTTTGTGGCAAAGTAGTACCAGATGGAAGCGTGAAGTTCATTCCATCAAAAGAGACCAGAAGCTTGTCTGTTCCCCACAGTTTGGCGAAGGCTTCGATTACTCCGTCTTCTCTGTAAGATTGATCCTTAGATGTGTGGCGCCAATGGTGGGACAAAAGACTCACGTTCGGGCCTCCCATATGAACTTTTCATGCTGGATACGATATCCATGATACATTCCCCCCTTGATGTGCGTGGGTAAATGTTGTTCAGTCCAGGTTGATTGATTGTTCCTATCAAACCCAAAAGGGAAACTTTCCAACCACTGAAACATTTTCTCGATGTAGTACTCACATCGCGCTGGCGATATTGCATTCTTCACCACAACATAGCCATTTTGGAACAATTTATCTCGCCAGTCTCCATGAATCTTGGAATCATCCACGGTGACTTGATTAGCTGTTGGAAGAGGCATGGTACAAAGATAGATGCAAGATTGAGTGATAATATTTGGAAGTAATGAAACTGAACTATTTTGGTAAAACCACGTTTAAAAGCACTTTGGTATGTTTCGCCATTTTTAAAGCAAAAGTGAGTACCTACCTAGTCCCTTGGAGCGGAAGCTGCCGCAGATAAGCAAAACTCGCGCGAGTTCTCGCACGAGTTTTTAAGGTTGACCAATTTTACATCGATAAGCCATTCGATGATTCTACAATGATTCACTGCCGACTCTCAGATACTGTATTGGTCATGACAGGATATAAATTTGACAGATGCCTTGACTCTTCCAGGTCATACACTGTTCTATGTTAATCTTGAAATTCAACCTTGTCACAAAATGAGTGTTCCTGTTCAAGAAGTCGAAACTCATCGCTTTGAAAAATGGTGGAAAGATCTTGGTCTTCGCAAGCTACTAGCATGGCAGGCTACAATTCTTCTATCACAAATGACCACTGGCTACGATGAAAGCGTGGTCGGAAGTTTCCAATCTATGAAGCCCTGGGTTAAAGGTCTGTAGATCGTAGGATCCTGTACAATTTTCGAAAGGGAAGGCTGACTGTCCCGCTTTCACCAGATATGGGGAATCCAGACCCATCCAGAATCGGACTCATCACAGCTATTGTCTTTGTTGGGGGGTTTGCTGGTGCTCTTGTTGCCTCACCCACGGCGGACTACTTCGGACGACGAGCAGGCATGTTTGTTGGATCAAGCTTGACGTTAGTGGGAACCATAATCCAAACAGCTGCACAAAATGCTGGAATGTTCATTGGGGGCCGCTTCTTGATTGGTTTTGGAATCAGCTTCACATGTGTTGCTGGCCCCTCGCTGCTCTTCGAACTGGCTCATCCGGCGATGCGTGGCACAATATCTTCCCTGGTAAGGTCCACTTCGAATAGACCCGAGCTCGTTGTCATGTTCTATGTTAACTTGATATCTTTAGTTCAACGTACTTTGGTATATAGGCTCCATCATCGCGGCGTGGACAACGTTCGGTACTGGATACATGTCTACTAGCTGGTCATGGCGTATACCATCGCTCATCCAGGGAGTTCCCGCATTTTTCGTCATGGTTTCAGTTATTTGCGGCCTACCCGAGAGTCCGCGATGGCTTTGTTCAAACAACCGCGTGGAAGAAGCCCGGCTACTGCTTGCAAAATATCACAGCAACGGCAACTTACATTCGGCTCTTGTGATCCATGAGATGGAAGAAATACATACCGTATTGGGGGCTGAAGCAGCTGCCATAAAGAGTGGACAAAATAGCTGGAGCATTCTCTACCGATCGCCAGCAAATAGGAAACGAATTGCCCTGGTGGGTACTGTTGCCCTCTTGACACTCTGGAACGGCCAGGGTGTAATCGCATACTACTTCAGCCCCATCTTGACCAGCATTGGTATTACGTCTACACCCCAGCAGACCGGCATCAACGGTGGCTTGCAGATATGGAACCTGCTCTTCTCCTTGGCAGGTGCTTTACTAGCGGACCGAATCGGCAGACGAACTCTCTGGATGATCTCGTTCATTGGGATGATCCTTGTCAACGTCCCATTGACCATATCATCGGCCATGTACGCCCAACATGGATTCAAGGGAGCCTCGATCGCCGTTGTTTTATTCCTTTTCCTCTATGATGCAGCTTTTAACTTGGCCAACAATCCACTTCTTTATTGTTATCCAACGGAACTACTGCCGTTTTCAATTCGAGCCAAGGGTTTGAGTATTCAAGTGGCTGTCTCCCAGGCAGCACTTACTGTCAATCAATATGTCAATCCTATTGCATTGGATAGCATTGGATTTTACTACTATATTTTCTACCTTGGCATGCTTATCCTCGGTGTGAGTGCAATCTCTACTGTCGTTCCCATACCTTGGGCACTAATGCTTTCTACCAAGACTTTAATTATATTCTTTACCTTCCCAGAAACGAAGGGTAAAACAGAAGTTGAGCTCGCCGCTCTTTTTGAGAATTCCAAACCGGATCATGCAGACCCGATAATGCTCGAGGGTTTGGAAGCAGGATTTGATCACCATCTAAAGCCCTACGAAAAGAGTGTTGTAATTGGCAAGAGCGAAGCGTCGAATGAAGTCTGATGTGGGATATGAGTCTCGAGTGATATCTTATTGTTTTGGAACAGACACATGGTAATCCAATTCCAGCCACATTGAACACCATGAAGCTGCTTCGATATCCCATTCCACTTTATATCACAACCCGAGGATGACCTCTGTGGTACGGCAGTATCTCACTGATCGGACAACCAGCATTTATTTGGTACGTATAGCTACCCATTATCTATTTTACGGAGTAGTGAGAACAAGCATCCAACTTCAATTCCCATATGGCAAAAAAAAAAGCGCCAAGTCCCGAGGTTCCCCATAAGGGTATAGACAAGAACGAGATAATCAAAATTTTGTCACACAATGATCGTCTTGTCACAAACTCTTCAGTGGCAATATGACCGACGGCCAATTATTTGTAGTTTCACTGGCTGAGATGTACTCTGTAGCAGCGCGGGCCTTTTCGTATGCCATTACTATTCCAATTCCTTTGAGCGATGACGGCTGTCACCAAACACTCCCTTCTGGACCTTTACATCTTCAATAATCTCTTAGTCCATACGCTCCAGAGAATCGATCTGTTCGCAGATGAATACCTTGCAGCTAGCTGTATCGAAGGCCTTGTTCTTTTCTGGTGACGCATGAACTGGGTGATGTCACGGAACCGATCCTGAAGCATCAAGATGTACTGAATCATTAGGGCGCCTGAATTTGGTCACTACATTTTTTCAATTCTTGGAATCTCTCAAAGGTCGGAAATGGACGCGAGAACAACCGAAGTGCCGTTATTCAGAACGGTCCATCACTAAGCAAATCTCCTTGTTACTACCGCATCGTAGAATTGTTACATCAGTTCGACACAGCTGCGCTCCGTGATGAATGGCCCATCAATGTCTCTTTTAGTGACTATGTGATCCTTGCATAAACACAGTCGATAGTACTATGGAGTACATAGTCAAGGCTGGATAGTGGGTCCACGGGTGTTTGGAGAAGACTAGATAAGTGGAAAATTTGATGATAACAAGGCTGGTATTTTCAGTACTTCGTATGCTATATGCTTCTCGGTCGGTCTGGGCTTTTAATATTGGCTACTTAAGTTAGCAGATTTTTTTACGGAGCCATGCAGCATCTACCATGCACTCATTGTTCGAGTCGACGTGTTGGTATTAATGGCAATGATAAGGTTGTCTCGGAGCAACCAAGAGTAGTCGGCTATAGTCTGATGTCTTGTTTAGCCTCCTTAGATATCCTTCTGGAATCAATTTATCTTAATATGTATTGCCGTTCTTGGATTTATACGTAGACAGCCGGAAAAGACGAAAAGAAGCTTAAAATGAGTGGATAGCTTCTTCATCACAACATTTATTCTATACATGTGGGCAATGCTCAACAATATATATATATAGATAGACTGGAAAATTACACTCTGAAATCGGGGTTCCAGCGATTTGAGCTATTCTGTAAATCAGACATACCTAAAAGCTATACACATGTACCTAGGAGATGTATTTTTCTAGATTCATACGGAAAAGCAGTACATGAAAATGTGTTATGCAGACCTCGGGACTCTGGTTGGGGTACAATTGGCAGATCTCCGCGCCAAGACCGCGGATCTCCAATTCTTCCTGCGTCCAACGCTAACTTCTGCTCCAATCAACCTCCAGACTTGCAATCTGATTTCCACGTAACGCTATTCTATTTGATTTGATTGTTGCCTCAATCTACTGCAAATACAGGAGACATAGGAACTCCCTGCACCTATGGCGGCCGAGTCAACCCAAGGAGACTCTCACGACAAGGCGTGGGAGAAAGCGGAGAAGAAGTTCACACAGTATGTTTCAATGTTTCTCCTTCCCACCTCTTTTTGGGGTTGTCCATCCCCTAAAATATGATATGGTGTTTCCGACGTCATCCGCGATCGTGTCCACAGGATCATATCATGTTGACTTGGACTATGGGGGCTTGAGACCCACGCACAAGGCCAACCCGACGGCTGCGTATTTATTGGGATGAACAAGATGCATGCGACTTTTAATCATCCTGATAACTAACTTGCGATTTTAGTAAAAATGCTAGCGAGTACTACGACCCATGCCAGGACTTTGCGGATCGGAGTCTCAAGTGTATGAGACGGAATGCCTCCGACCGCGAAATGTGCCACGATTATTTTCAGTATGTCAAAATATCTTATGTGATCTGAACAGTATCCCGTCCATGCGATTTAGCTGGCTTTTGACCGAATTCTACAACACTGTCATAATTATCACATGCCTGAGCTTTCTTACTGATTGATATCTTTGTGTAGAGCCTATCGTGATTGCAAAAAGAACTGGGTAAGTTGGACCCATAGCTTCATCTTTATTCCCTCAAACTTCTGTCTTGTGCAGTTTTTGTATCCTGTCCGCGACATCCATTCACTGTGATTCGATGCGTGTCGAAGTTTTTTCGGTCGCTAACGAGGCACAGCTCACCCAGAAGAAAGTTTCCTTGACACCCAGGCCCGAATGAGACATCTCTATCACTCCGATCCATCCTCACTGAAGAGATCGACAACTTTTCTGGCTGTGAGCTCCCTGACCTTCCCAAAGCACTTGTTACATGCGAACGCAGAAGGGGTGCTTTTTAATGAATCCAATCATTTCATGTTTAATCAAGTCAAGCTCCTAGCCTTTCTCATGTGATAATATTATGTGATAAGCATTCGAACTGCTGTCGGGCATCCATTGCGACCTTGCTGGGCTTGGTAAATGATTTCATCTCTGGCAAAAAATGACACAGTCTGGTGCTGACTTGCGAGAAGATCGGCTTTCTCTTTTTGGGTGTATTCTTCTACGACTTGACTTCTCTTTGGCGTATCTGACTCTATTTTGAATGATTTTAAGCCTGTATTTTAACATTGTCGAAGAGTCTTACCTCTCTTGTTCAGGTGTAGTGCCTCAGATCTTCATGCTCAGTCGAACATAATCCTTGTGAATTCACATGAAAGATCACGAAATAAAAACTAACAATATATCACGGATGTATGTTATGTTAGGATAGATGTGGAAAAAGGTGGGGAAAATAATGAGATTTATAGAGGACTTTGTTATGTATGACTAGGGATATGGACCTTATGTAGTATACATAAATCTATGAAGCATGAATTGAGGCAATTCGTTACTCTTTTAGAAAGTGTCATTCACGCCATTCCTATCTCTGAACAATGCATGCACATCAATGGCGAATACAAGGCACACAAGGCGTACAATGTGCTTTGAATGTTGGTTTCTTTTCTTGCCGGCAGAATGGTGCGGGGACCAGCTGACCGCCTTCCATATGGTCTCCTCCCCCGCCAAACAAAAAAGTGACCGGAGTCGATCATTCAACTCCAACTCACATCATTGACCCTTTTAGCCCATGCTGTGCTAGGCACAGCGACCAGACAACTCCGCGAAAGACGCCCATTGAAGTGTTTCTCCCTCGAAGTGAACGACGCCTCCACCATGAGCTCTAGCAATGATGCGGTATTTCTGCGTCGCAACAACCAAATCCAAGATGCCATTGACTCGCAGAACATGAAGCAGGCCTTGCAACTAATCGAGAAGCGCATGAAGAAAGGCGAGAATACGCACTTTTTGAAGGTGAGTGATCTCTATTACTGTTTGTTTTGAAGTTGCTACCGTTGCGACGCTGCCAGCTGTATTGGACCAACTAATACGTGAGATCGCGAACAAATAGGCCTGGAAAGCGAATGTCCTCTTCAATCACGCCGACGAAACCCACAAAAAGAAAGGCATTGCAGAGACCCTCGCCCTATGCAACGCCGATCCACCGATCTCGGATCTGGACTCTCTCGACATACTCCACCGTACGCTGCGGAACATGGATGATCATACCGAGCTTCGGAGCTCCATATGGGAGCGAGCTGCCAAGGCAAAGCCACAAGATCATGCCCTTCAGATGAGGTGGTTCAAATTTGGATATGAGGCTGCTGACTGGAAGTCAGCGCAGAAAGTGAGTCAGGAAGAAGCCTATGTGACACCGGCATCGTATCAAGGTCTTAAGTTGCTAATGAGTGACTGTGCTTTAATCACAGGCTGCCATGAGTCTTCAAAAGAACTTTCCTCGAGAGCGAAAGTACTATTTTTGGGCTATTTTCCTCTGTTATCTCGTTTCAGACGACGCAGCTAGCTCGGAAATGGACCGCAAGTTGTTCGGGACACTTGCCTATCGCTTTGCCCAAAAAGCAGTGGCCGATATTCCTTCTGAACCGGTATGTGCCTTCCCCAAAAGACTGGACATAATATTTGGACATAAATGACTGACTGGACATGGTTGATTGGTGTGCTACAGACCGAATTGCTAAGCCCTACGAGAGCCATACAGACCGCCGAGGAACTCCTATTAGTCGTTCGAATTCTGGAATCGCAGAATCGTTGGACAGAGATTGTACAGGTTCTTAATAGCGAGAATGCCGGTCTCAGCTCTCGGATTGTTAATAACGATAGGACCTTCATGTTAGCCAAAGTCATGAGTTTGGGGGCTGCTGGACTCTGGGAAGAAGGGTACTCGTATGCCAAAAGCCTGCTTGCCGTGTCAGAAGACGAAGGAGAGCGCAACACTCTGCATGAGCGCGATGATTGGAAATACTGGAACTTGCTCATCGCAGCCGCGCGTCATCTTGACCAAGAGTCGGGGTATGGATTTCGAAACCTCACTTTCACAACTCTGAACTTTCAACTAACCTGCGTCACACACAGGTTGCTCTCCGACACCCAGCAGCATATCGAGAAATTCATCGAATTCAGCCCAAAGTCTCGCAATGCGCACATCGCTTTAATGGACATAGCCCTCACCGGATTCAAACGGGGTGAGCGGACAGAGGATGATCTGGTTGCTGCGTGCCAAAGATACTTCGACCAACACAAGCACAAACTCTATGCTTTCAAAGACTTACGAGGAGTCTTGGAGACGCGCGATGATACTTTGATTCACCGAGTATCTCAGTATTGTATGGACAGTGTCGAGGGAAAACCCGTGAGTGCAAATTCTGCCAAAGTCAGTCAATACAAGCTAATAAAACTCCAAGAATGATGCCATTCCATTGATCAATGCGTACAAGATGCAGTACTGCGACCGGATTTCAGGCAGCAACAACGCATCGAAATCTACTATTGAGACCCTTGTCCGTAACTGCCTTTACTTTTACGATGCATTCACTCTTTTGGCGAAGACCCAGGGTTCAAAGAAAGGAAGCCAACCAGACACTGCTTCCGCAATGGAAAGTCGGCCCACAGACGACTTCTGCATCATTGCCGCAATGGCCCTTCTTCAGCCTAGCCCAGCTGGCCAGATATCTGAGAAAGTCAGCAACACTGCCCTGATCCGCGCCGCCGGGATTCTGGAACACCTTCTTATCGATTCACCTCACAACTACGAGGCGATCCTTATGGTGATTCGCATTTACCTTCTTCTCGGTGCTGGCTCTATTGCTTTGAGGTGGTTTGGTAAGCTATCTGTTAAGCAGATGCAATACGAAAGCGTTGCTCATAACCTTTTCACCCGCTTTGCCACCATCCACCCTCATTCTGCACCTCCCATCGAGGGTGGAGAGTACAAGGACTTTGACCCGCAAGTTGCATTCATCGCTGCCCTCGACTTTTATCGTGCTGCAAACTTCACCATCAAGAATTCTTTGGTAAAAGGACTTGATGATGGAGTTTATGTCAATCTAGACGATACAATTGAACTTCAAAAGCGTATCAGGGATAGTATCTGTCGGAGGATGTGGGCCCTGGACTTACGTCGGATGCAAAGATTCCGTAAAGGAAACCACTTGCCCCTTCATGAAGACATCGGTCAGCAGTCCCCAATCTCTCTGCGTTCCTGAAATAACTGAATACTAACTATCATATAGCCCAAGATACATCACGGGTTCAAGACCAGCGGAAGTATGATGGTTTTATGAACCTGGAACGCTGTGACCAATCTCCATTTGAGCACCGATTGCGCGCAGGCCCAATTCCTGGGGTAAGTTTGTTTCCTTGGGTGACATTGTGGCACCGACTAACATCAATATAGGAAAACTGGCTGGCATCCGCCCGGCTCACTGATCGACTTTTCAGTGTTCTTGAGAGCATTGGCAGCCAGAAGCCAGTCGTCTTGGAGCTAGAGCTGCCTAATCTCGACGAATTGTCGCTCTCCCAGAATGATGATGATCATACTGGTGCTGAGCGGGATACAACCAAGATTCACGTTGAGTTGTTGAAAGTGGCTCTGTTTATGGCGGGGTCCAAGGCCCATACTCCCACCAAAATTGAGACTGCTCTTAGTGCGGTGGAGGATTGGTTGAAGGCTAAGAGAGAGGATCTAGCCCTGGAAGACCCTAATAAGTCCTCTCTTATCATGAGAACTACCATCCAATTCACCCCAGGTACCCCAGGCGCACCGACATGGGAATATTTCCATGCCATCTGGACCCTCATCGAGACCCTCAAGGCTCTATGGAATATCCTCGACTTGGATTCTCGAAAGGCTGTGAAAACCGCCAAACTCCCCGCCGAGCAAATGAAGCGACTGGACACTCTTGTTCGTGAAGTTTTCGAGGATGTCCGCTCGAACACCCGAAGTTTGAAAAAGAGTCTTGCCGAATCAGCCACTCTTAGCACACTCATCGACATGGTAAAATGCGGTGATACGACTGATGAGTATGAGAAACCTCTTCAAGATGTGATGGAAAAGGTGATGGACGAATCCGCGCTCGAATTGTTCTGCGGAGAGCTGAGGGAAAGCTGGGAGGAGGCACTTGATGGTGTGCTGACTGCCAGGCTTTGATGCTGAATTTCAAGGAATGTAAAGAATGAATCATGTGTCTATGAAAAGCATAGTTAGAGTACATTGAACCAGATCCAAATGAAATCCGTGGCAGGGTTAATGTAGACAAATCTGCAGTCCGGGTAGCAGAGGTCGATCTATAAAAAGAGGGCAAACACAATCACGTGCGTATGCCAAGACAAACTGGGCTAGGTGCCTGAGGTGTGAGGGAATGAACGCTAGTCCCGATATATCCAGCCCTAGCCCTAGTCACTCGCCTACCGCACCAACGCCAAGACCCCATTTTGCGGTTCCAAGGCAAAAGACCAGGCGATTTTCACACGGCTCCCTCACCTCCTCTTCGACAACCTCCGCCAACCCCTTCAGTCAACAACCGTCGAGATGGCCGAACGCTCCGGAATTGTGGTCGGCATTAACGCGGGCCGGGTACGTTCTTACTGTCTTTTTGCACCATGTTTTTCGGTCGTTTGAAGGTCTCCCATGGTCTCTTCTTTTCGTTCGGTCTGTTGGTCCATCTAAGACCCATTCGGTCGAGGTCTTTTGCGGAAACACTGGGAATTACCACGGCAAGGAGGACTGCGATTGAAACACGCATTGGAAAATATCAGAGAGTCGCTGGGAAAAATTTCGATGTCACGGGAACACTTTTGGATTCGACATTGGCACCGAAGCCAACACTCGCCTTCAACGCAACCTTGAGCCGACCACGCCATGAACCATCCCAACAGACCGAAACGAAACGCGAAAGAAGAGAATACATGGACCTGCGGCTGCTACATGTGACTTGGCGAAACAGACATACTGACTGGGTCCTGATATAGAAAACCACCGCCCTTAACACCCCCAAGACCCGCATCTCGCGCACCAAGGGCAAGTCTTCCCGTCGCACTGCCTTCGTCCGCGAAATCGCCCAGGAGGTCGTTGGTCTCGCTCCCTACGAGCGCCGCATCATTGAGTTGCTGCGCAACGCCCAGGATAAGCGTGCCCGCAAGCTCGCTAAGAAGCGCGTACGTTTACTCTCAGTCCCCTTCTTGCTTTCGTCTGGTCGGCTCTGCCTTTGGATTATGTTAGATTCGAGTCAGTTTGGTCGAGGTCTTGCTGTATCAGAGTGGTACTGCACGGGCCGTGCATATCAATCTCGCAGAGGAATATGAATTTCAACCTCTGCCTAGATAAGCATATGCAATTACCGTTCTGTTCACCAACGACCGAGATCTATGACCAAAATCAAACAATGTCCACGAGGACAAAGCCCGCCCAGTGGATCTATTCCGCCACAACACTTGTGCTAACATCATCTCTAGCTCGGTACTTTCGGCCGCGGCAAGGCCAAGGTTGAGTCCATGCAGAAGGTCATTGCTGAGTCTCGCCGTACCGCTGCTCACTAAATTTTCCGACCCGTTCCTGTTTTTCTTTCGTTTTAACGACTCGACGCAAAAAAAGCGTGATTCTCGGATCGGAAAGGGGGTTTCGTGGCCATTGGGCGTGCATGAAGGGGAAGGCAAATATGGGATTCCTTCTCTATCGTATGGAGTGAAACCATAATGAAAACATTTATTCAACCATTTCACGTGTGATATTTGCAATGGAGCCACTTTTTAAATGGAGGTTTACAACGTAGATGGAAAAGCGTATGGTTGTCCAAGTGCTGAGTGAGGTTTAACTTCACATGCACAGTCTCGGCAGCATCTCAATGACTGTAGACGCATCATTCATTTGGTGTTAAGCTTGGGTTGCTACATTGTCACTGAGGCTATCTGCGTATATGACGTTTGGAAGGGCATGTAGATCATTCAAGTCTATCCGCACATTGATGATGTTGATGTGTAAGAGATACGCTATATAGCTAGTTCAAGAGCAGCACATATCGCTCATCATAACCCAATCCATTCCATTATCCCAATTTCATTTCTTACCTGGTAGCTTCAGCCACTTAGGCATACCGCCACCCTTCCGTGCTCCGCTGGGTTTATCACCGCCTTGACTGCTATTCGGGGCCGGCTGTGGTGGAGCAGGCACATCTTCTTTGAGCTCCGGTGGTTGCTCCACCTTAAGTTGTTGAGCCTGGCTCCGAAGCTCTGGGCGTAGGATCTCCGTTCGGCGTTCATGAACAAACGAGGGAGAGTGTTCAGCCCAAGAGAAGTTGACCAGCACACGGCCAGACAACCCCAAGTCTTTAATCAAACGCTTCTTATCTGATGGAGGTATGGCGCTTGTATTCTTGGATTTGGATACACCGTGGGCAGTGAGATTGAAGTTCTCACTGGCGAACGATGGAGCAAGACATCCACGCGCGAACTCATACAACGACAGTGCTGTGTCCGAGGTCCCAAACTTAGCGACCACTTGGCTTTGATCTGGGAAACGGATTTTCACATCGACTTCGCGGATGGCTGCTCGCCTTGCAGCTTCTGCCTCTTCCTTGGCAGCGATCTCGGCATCCGTTGGCAAACGCTTTGGGCGAGAGGACTCGTTGAGTAACCGCTGGTGCAGCTTTGCGTGCTCGATAGAGGGTATGTAATCGCTCTCGTTGTAGTCTAATTTCGCTGACGAAGGAGTGTTTTCCGAGGGAGGGGAGAAGACAGCAATTGTTCGGCCAGACTCCGCTGTGGAAGTAGCCGGCCCGGATATGGGTAGCGGAGCGGCAACTTCCTCTGATGCGACGGTGGCGCTAGAGGGCTCGGGCTGCAATGAGCTGAGAATCTCTTGGGTAGGCGCATTGTTTGCGCTGTCAGCGGGAGTTGCTGTGGGCGCTGCATCCTTATCCTGTGCCGAAGGAGCCTCATCCTCTGAGGACTTGAAGAACTCGCCAATCTTGACCATGGCCTCTTCGATAGGCTCATCAGTCCGTCGGAAACTCAGTCGAATAAGAACATTGCCACTATTGAAACCCAGCTGGGCTAGGGTCTTTTGTAAATCCGTGAAACTTGATACTTCACGTTCCAAAATCTGGAGGACGGGGATCTCATAGTACAGTCGTCCGGCACCATTTTCCCCCTCGGCAAAGGGCACTGCACGTGAAGTGAGATTTCGTACCGGGCCAGTCCCTGCAACTCCCGCCTCGAACTTCCGTAGTACCATCCATAGTGTGGTATTGCTAGGGAACTTATCCAGTATGCGGCCATTCGGGGCACCACGAGCCTCTGATTCTGGAAGTTGCAGGCCGACAGTTACGACTGACGGGGAGCGAGATATTTGAACAAGTTCAAGTTTTGCACCGGAGATGAGGCCGGACAGACGATATGAAAGAGAAAGGTCTAACTGCTTGCGATTGTGTCTGTTGCGTATAAAAGATCAGATTCCACGCTGTCATCGGAAAGAAGAACGCCGACTCACTTTAATGAGTACTGACTAGCATTATAACCAAGCTTCGAGCATGCCTCCTGTAGGATATCGGTCAAATGTTTGGTGGGAGTAGTCTTGATTGTTGCCCGCCTGGCTGTCGCGTCGATCACCACAACGTGGGCACTCATTGTGTATAGAGAACACTTGCTCTGACAATAAATCTCGAGGATCCAATATCTCAATAAAGATATTGGAAATGAATGAATCAAAGCGTAGAAGCGAGAAACCTGAATGCGGGGAGGAAGAGGGCGCAGAAAGCAGTCGAAGCATACGAAACAGGCAGCGGTGCGGGCGTCATCTGAGCTCTCTCGCGTACCTCAGAGCTTCCCCGTCATCAACTCACCTCCATCACCTCTCCCAACCCGCCCCCTTCTCAACCACATTTTCTCTTCTTTTTTTCTTGTGCTTTAGCTCTGGAATATCTCTGTTATATTGAATTGCCTTGAAAGACTGCAATAATGGTGAGAAAAATGCGCCCTTTGTCTCTATCGTCCACGAATCTCTGAACTTCTAAGCTGACCGACTTCTCCCATCACAGTCCAACCCCTTCGACATCAGTATGCTGGAACCTTGTCCCTAGTGAATAACCAACCATAATACTAATCATTCTGCAGATGGCGGTGCCTGTGTCGCCATGGTGGGCAAGGACTGCGTCGCCATCGCCTGTGACCTTCGCCTGGGCATGCAGTCCCTGACCATCTCCAACAACTTCCCCAAGATCTTCAACTACGCTCCATCCACCTACCTCGGCCTGACTGGCCTCGCCACTGATGTCAACACCGTCTCCGATCTCTTCCGTTACAAGGTCAACATGTACCGGCTGCGTGAGGAGCGCGACATCGCACCGCAGACCCTCGCCAACCTAGTGAGCTCATCGCTGTATGAGAAGCGCTTCGGTCCCTACTTCGTCAGTCCTGTGCTGGCTGGTATCAACCCAACAACAGGGAAGCCCTTCATCTGTGGCTTTGATAGCATTGGCTGTATCGATTTCGCCAAGGACTTCATTGTCAGCGGAACAGCAAGCGACCAGCTCTTCGGTACTTGCGAGGGTCTGTGGGAGCCTGATCTGGTATGTATCATTGGTGCTCTCATGTGATCTTCTACAAGCAATTTCTAACACACTTTATCATAACAGGCCCCCGAGGACCTCTTCGAGACTATCTCACAAGCGCTGCTTAGCGCTGTGGACCGAGATGCCCTCTCCGGCTGGGGTGCCCAGGTTTACATTATAGAGAAGGACAAGGTTACCCAGCGGTTATTGAAGGGACGACAGGACTAGATTTGGGGAAGTGGTTGTTTTGGGCTTTCCGTTGGGTTGAGGGCAAATCCTGGCGTCTACGGTCTTCACTGGATGATATATGCCGTGTACGGTCATTCAATGACGGGATAGCACAACAGCAACGTGAGAGCGGTCGATACCTGAGCCGAAGGCGATTCTGTTCTTTGACTCCATGTTTCTCTTACTCCTACTCATGATAATAAAAGGCTCTCGTTGTCACGTCACGGCAGTGTTCCAATTTCCATCAATTCAACGCACTAACTAGGAAAACGGATAACTTTTCGTTTTCGGGAACTACCAGCTATCCTAGTCCGGTGGTTTAACTGAGGGTTATGCATCGGTGGTCCCAATAGTCGCCCGTATGAGTATCACATGTATCAATTCCAGTGCCCTCCGGCCGTGTCGACAATCATTCAACTGAAGCCCGGCTAACGCTGCCCTAGTCTTAGCGTTTATATAAACCGAGGCTAATTCAGGTGCACAGTAATGGAGACCCAAATATATCGACCAACCATACCTTTGCAAGATACGATTTAACCTCCCACGCACCTAGGATAGTTAACATGTTCTATTGTCTCTATCCCGATAATGCCAATGTTTCTGATGGTCTTGGAAGGGGGCCGTAAGGTCGAAATAGGCAAGAGCAAAGAAGCAGACTCTATCCGCTACATGAACCCAATCTCCTCAAGAGTATATCCATTCGGTAGACTTGGTATGTACCAGAGGCCCTCACGATAAGGATTATCTTGAGGAAGCAAGCGCATAACCTTCTGGTATCGCTGGTACTTGACATAAGAAAGGTTTCTTGATAGTAATGCCCCCAACGATTGAGGCGACGCTATCTCAAAAGAAACCTGTGGACTGTCCACACTAGCATTTGGACCAAGATAGACCGGAAAGGGGAAAACTATCTTAATAGATATCTAGGAAAACCGGGAAAACCACCGAGAAAGCTATTGAAAAGACTGCTAAAAAGACCACTAAAAAGCCCTGTAGGAAGGTATTACAGGACCGCAGAAGCGACCGTCTACACTTGTTCAAACATAGAACAGCAAAATCAGGTACTGAACCTTCGGATTACCGAGATACTGCCAGGCAATATTATGTGTGAGGGTCACGCCCCGCGTGGCATACTTGGTCGCTCGTACTGCTGACGGTCAGGTGGAATTATATCGACGGTGAAAAATTGCGTAGAGCCGGCGACTACAGAGTGATATGCAAATCCAAGCATCCGGAGGGAGGGAATTGGTGGTTGATAATAATAGCTCGACCGGAAGACCGGCTAGTGTAGGTATTCGTATTGGGGATCTCTAGCGCATTCGGATTGAGAGTCGCAGACGGCATATCTTCCCAACAGTCGTGATATGGCTAGCCAGCAAATATCAAGGAGCGACTGGATTCTGGGAATATTCAGCTCTTACAGATCCAGACGAAGCCAAAGGACCAAGCAGGGAGACGAACTGATAGCAGTGATGGGGATGGTAATAATTCGAAGCTTCGGTGCCGAAATAAGGTCTCGACATTATTGAACCCATGGAGTTCAAGGGCCTCATTCTGCCTAATAAGGGGCGGGACTCCATGGATGTGCATATGACATACTAGATACTGGATTCTACTATATCCTCATTGTTTACCTACTTGACGCAAACATGGGGTTTCCAAAAAAAAAAATAAAAAAAAATCGGTATGAATCACTTGCAACCAGGCACCGGGCCATCTCCAAGAGCCTCGATGAAGAGTTAACCCAGTAAGACTGTCAATACCCATCTCTGTCGGCTATCACTCCGTAGGCTGGTCCATTGCTTCCAAGGAACCTTTTGATATCAGACGCTAGCAACTCGGGCACTTCCCAGGCAGCAAAATGGCCACCACACTCATACTCCGTTTCCTGCACAATATTCCCAATGGATCGATACCACGCCATGGGCCACACAAAAATCTCCTCCCGAAACTGTGCTACTGCAAAGCGCACATTCTGCGGTGCCCGAGCCCCGAGAACTTGTTCAAGCGACATGTAATTCAGATCTGCTTTTTCCAGTAGCTCCTCCCGGGGTTCATCTTCCGAAATCGTGGCACTTCCACCACGCTTCGGCGCTGAAGCCTCGTGGTAGATCCTCGTTGACGCCATTGGCCCAGCGGTGGAGAAATAGTATACACTCACCCAGGTCAAGATCTCCTCGTCTGTCCATGGGTACTTGTCAGTCCAACTATGCATTTTGTCATAGATCCAAGATAGTAATCCCACGGGACTATCATGTAGCCCGTAGCCTAGAGTCCGGGGTCGACTTTCTTGCTGTTTCATGTATGCATTGTCGCGGGTGAGATATTGCAATGTCCGGGCGATGTAGCCACGATCTTTCGCAGAGAATGGCACGGATAACAGAGATTTGAGGAACTGGTAGGGACTTCGCCATGGGTAGGGTGGTGTGACGGGAATGAAGTTTAGGTGGATGGCTTGTGTGTGTTCGGGGTAGTACTGAGACATGGTACGGGCGATCATGCTTCCCCAGTCACCCCCTTGGATCACTGTCCTGGAATTAGTAGGCTTCTTTCGGCGGTGACAGATAGTACTTGCCGTATTGCTCGTAGCCTAGAGCGATCATCACTTTGTGTAGAGCTTCGGCATACTGTGCCAGCCCGAATCCTCTCTGAGTCTGGTTGTTAGGATGCGCTTGAGAGTGCTGATACGTAACAACAAACCTTCTTGATGCCCTGTGAGAATCCAAAATTTGGCAACGAAGGTGCCACAACATCGAATACTGGACCATTCCCGTTCTTCTCAGTGAGTAGTGGGATCAGCTTGGTGGCTTCGAGGAAGCTGCCAGGCCCTGGTATAGGAGCGATTGATTAGCAGATGCGATGAAGAGAGTGATGTAGAAGGATGAGGGGCTAAATACACCCATGGATAAAAAGCAAGGGAATTGCTTTTGAATTCCCGCTCCGATGATGCACAGCATGTATATTCAGTTCTTCGAACCCCTCCACTCCAATTCGAACATTGACTTGCTTGAGTTGCTCGTTCAGCTTCCGTTCCTGTGCGCGCCAGTCAAACTGTTCGCGCCACACGGTAATAAGTCTCTTGATCTCATAAAGAGGAACCCCCATATCCCACCCCGAAGCCTCGAGCTCATCAGGGAAGATAGTGTACTCCAGCTTGTGGCGGAGCTCCTGGAGTTTCTCGTCCGGAACGGCGATGTTGTATGGGGTGACTGGTGTCATGGCCTTAGATCATGTCAGGATTGTAGTTTGATGAGAATGGAACGCCAAAGTTGGTTGCTAGATATGATATACTGTTCTACGGTAGCGTATAATCAGCTTAACATGCTTATGCGGGTTATTGCACAGAATCGTTTCTGGCACGAGTTGTAGGGGATGTGCGTTTGTACAAGTATGGAGAGTTGCTCTTTAGTCGCGCTCGGGCCATTGGATTACCTCGGTTTCACAGTCAAATTGTGTGCAATACATCACTCACATATAAAAGATGAGATAGGTCATTTATTTTGACCGTGCATATTCACCAAATATAAACGTGCAAGGACACCTATTAATCTGCATAGTTCATGGCCTTTGATTCCATATATTGTTCTCCGTAGAGTGATATGTCTTGATTCAATGTAATGATCATCATTCCACCTATGATTCTGCGCATTTTGAAATAAAAGACATTTTCACAACATGCTCAGATTTCTCAATCATATTTTGAGGGGTCTCTACTCTGTACCCAAAGCTACATTTAAAAATAGAGCTAGAGTCTTTCAGACCTGCCTGCAGAACTAATAGACCGGATTGTTCAACTGCTCCCTACAGAGTCCCACGTTGGCTTCACCCTCACCTCTATAGGCCCCAAGCTTGCTTCACTCTCACGTGCAAGTCCTTTTAGAGACGTTATCAACATGTTTTTGGCACAATCAGATTTGCTTTCCCTAGAAATAAATCCCACTGAGGCGGGCTTCTACAGGAAATTTCTACCCGGAAGCCAAATTTACGCCATTAGCTACTCGGTCATATTCGAGGGGATAAAATCTTGCAAGACTTCACTATTGCTGCTGCAGCAAATTATATCTGACTGATAAGTTTCAGTTTTTGCAGAGGAAATGCAGTACTTGGATGCATCGCAGCTGCAAGTACCCCGGATTTGTGAACGTTTGTCCCTGCCATCCATTAAATATTCGAGCGATAGCTTGGTGCTGAAAACGCCGACTTGGATGACTTCAATGAGAACCGTTACTCAGTCCCAATCCAATCTGAAGTGGTTACCAACCAGCAGCCTTGACGAAATCGCTTTGCTTTATGTGCTGGATCTTAATGGACCAAAAAAGTCAACGTGGCTATGTGTACGGAGTATGTCGCGTCAATGACTCCTCCAAAGACTCCTTAGAGGCCACCGCAAAGACCATCAAATGAATACTAAGGAGGCCTACAAAGGTAGAGAGTAAATATAGATCTGATCTGTGAATGTGTACTCCGTACTCCGTACTTTCGTATCTAATACGGGGGATTTTTATGGTAGCTCGCCGTAAAGGCCAGGTACCCGGTACCTGATGGGTCTAGATCCCGCTGATCCTGCGCAACCTCCGTGCACCTCCGTGCTCTGCAGGATTCGGGGGAGAAATAAACAAAAATCGAAAAATTGAAAAACAAGACAGAAAGAGAAGAATGATCAAAGAGGACTAGAGAGAAATCTCAAACATCCAACTCTTCTCTATATCCGAATAAGTTGAATATTCTCCTGTTTCAGCGTCACGTCTAGACCGCCCGGCCCCCATCGAACTAACCGGAAAATCCCCTCTCCCCTCTTCTCTCTCCAATATTTCATATTCTGGTGGATGTCGAAATCTCGGTCCATCCACCGATATTTATACGATTGAATGCTATGATCGTTACTCTCGAATAAACAAGAGAGTCCGAAATCCTCGAACAGATCTCACCTTGCCACATGGACTATGCCCGACACGCCCGAGCCCGATGTCTCTCATGTCCATGCTTGTCCCACCATGACATTTCCCTCCTGCAAATCCGAATGCATCACCAGTGACGGACTCAACGTTGTTGATGACGGAGATGTGCAACGCGACTTGGGAACATGGAATGATGGTGCTCAGACCACTGCCATTGAACATTTGGTTACACTCAAACAGGGGTTGCGGACATCCGATACCGAGCTGTTCTGGAAACGGCTGATGGAGGACATGACATCTATAACCAAAGCTCAGTATGGGTTTGTTGCGCGGAGGGTGCACGGGAGGGAGCCCATGCCAGAACTAGGCGGGCGGCGCCCGTCGCTTTTTGGTGCGGCTTTCTACTACAACGATGGCTACGAGACCGTTGGATTGCAACGAAACAGGTTTTTCGCAGGCGGGAACCCCTTATTGCATATGGACCATGAACGGCCTTGTTTGATCCCCGAGAATCTCAGCTCACTTGTATCGTTCGGTGATGATCATTTACCGTTCACCGCCGATGGTTATTTGGCCATTCCCCTCTTTTCGGCTGGAAAGTGCCTGGCGCACCTTGGGTTGATGTGGTCGAAAGATGGTCTTCGGCATAGAAACTTGTCTTGGTCTTTTCTGGAAATGATTCTCCACTCGCTCGAAGATCTGATTGTGCAACGACTAGACCCAGCGGAACAAATTCTAGATGAAGTGTTAGATTCTCCGACGCCAGATATTTCAGATTCTCACAACCCCCAGACTGCTGCCTTTCATGAAGCCTCCCATTTCAACGCGCACCCGCTCAAACCCTACGCCCGAAGCTTATCCCATGAGCTGAGGACCCCGATGCAGGGTGTGGTGGGCATGCTTGATGTCATGCATGCTACAGTGCGCGAGGCCATGGAGAGTAAAACTCCGGTCAAATCGGGTGGGGTTTTTCAGTCTCTCAAGGAGGGGATTGAAATGGTTCAGGATAGCGCGAGACGTGCTGTCGAAGCGGCTGATAATGTCGTTCATGCATACGAGCTTAACATGCAAATCCCAAAAACACCACTCCGCGAGGAGCCCGAGATATTAGGTGGTCTCGCAATCCCACCTACTACTATACCCGAAGATCGCCCGAGCATCTTTATCGAAGGAAAGAATATCGCTGTAAATGCGTACAAACGGCGGCGCAGCCTACCACCGGAGATAAATACCCGACCAGTACGGAAACAAAGACTTCGTGCGGCCTCGTCGCGTCAAGAACTCTCGCCTCGCAGCGAGGAAGTCAAGAATGCTGTTCACGAAAGCGATCAGATAGTGCATGCTTTCCCGGCTCGCCAGTTCGAAGCTGTAATGGCTAAAATGGTCGATCCCCCGCCGTCTCTCGCAGTTCGACGATCTGCACCTCACTTACTTCTTGAAGGCATCAATGTGAACATGAAAGGTTCTGCTTTGCGTTTTACCAAACTGCGAGATCTTCTCCGCCTAGTGATTAATGAGTCCCTTCACGTTGGCGGTCGACCGGATTCTGCCGTTAGCAATGCAACGGAATCTGGCGAAAGGATTGAGATCCGGTCGAGGTCTTCCAATGGAGAATTGTTCACCAAGGTTGTGGACTGGTCTGTAGACCCTTCACTACCGGATACCCTTCTTGCCGATGACCGTGATCTGGCCAAACTGATCTCATGCGTCTTTCTCAACGCGATCAAATTTACCAACAACGGCACTATCACTGTTTACGCTACTATTGACCCTAAAAAGAATGATGTTCTTATTCTTGTCCGTGATACCGGCCCGGGAATCCCCGCTGCATTCCTACCAAATCTGTTCAAGCCATTTGCTCGTCAGGATGCATCGACCACACGAAGTAAAGATGGCCTTGGTCTCGGTCTCCTTGTCGCCAAGGGCCTTTCACGGAAAATGGGCGGTGATTTAACCTGTGTGCGTTCGTCGACTTCTGGTCCTGACCGGGGTACTGAATTTCGAATTCGAATCCCCGTAAACCAACGTGAAGCTGAACCCCGCCCTGCAACTCCTGGTGAGAGTGTTTTGACGCCATCTACTACCGAGCAAACACGACAGGACAGTGTTAGCAGCTTTCTGTCTGATCCCTCTTCTTGCTTCAACTCCCCGTTCATCCTCCCCCAAAACTGTCAGCTACAACAGCCGACCCCGAGCACGTCCGATGAAAACACGTCTCAGAGCCCAACACCCCTGCGACCGACTCGTCTGAATCAAACACATATTTCTGGCGATGCATATGACAAGAAGCTTGGGGAAAAATACCCGCTACGCATTCTCGTTGCCGAAGACAACCGAATCAACCGGCGCGTACTCGTGAATATGCTACGCAAGCTTGGCTACCGTGATGTACTCGAAGCGGCCGATGGAAAAGAAGCCGTCGAGATCGTTCAAGGCATTTTATCCGCGTCAAAGCCCTCCCTTGACAATGGTCTCGATCCAGTACATGCGATGCAAGACGTCATCCATGAGTCACACCTGGCTACAAAGATAAAACCGATCGATGTCGTCTTGATGGATCTTTGGATGCCTGAAATGGACGGATATGAAGCTACTGCACGAATTCTCCAGATGGTGGACAACCATCGGGACCAACATGCTGCTTTTGAGCCACCGAACCCGAACAGCCCTGACTCCATGGAAATGGATCCAATTCCCAGCACTTTTGGTATGTCGCCGCCTCCCACAGTTCTTGCTGTGAGTGCCGACGTGAGCGACGAGGCATTGAATCGCGCCTCCAAAGTAGGAATCAAAGGCTACATGACGAAACCTTACAAACTCTCCGACCTTGAACGGTTGATTCTCGAATTCTGCGGTGGTACTGTTTATCCTGTTCTTCGAACCCCAGGGTGACCACTCGACCCATCATCTGAACATGATATTGCTTTCTTGGAGTTTCTCGCCAAGACCATTATATACCCATTGGATGCGAATTTTCTCTTTATGTACAAAACCCTCAATTTTCTTCTTCCTTAGCCCGGGAACCTCTCTGGTTTGGATATGCACTGATTCGGCGGCCGATCTATCTTTAACTGCAATATACCATAATTGTCATTTTTGATCCCCTTTATGTTGATTATCCCCATTTCGGACACAATGATTGATGAACTACATATCGCCATTCAATGAAGATTTCATAACGAAATGTCGAGACTTGAAACCTTGCTATTATGCTTTCACTCTGAGCAGCCTAATAAATAAACGTGTACACCAGCACTTACATCCAGCATTCTTAATGATGCTAAGTCATACTTCTCTATATGAAACTCTACTCACCATCGCCCCATATCAACTTAGGCTGCCCTATTCGCAAAGAGTGAAATCGACCAATCCTACATCAGGAACAGTCTCCCGTGGGAGGCAGAGATTGACATCTTCTCCTTTAAGATGCGTGAAAACCCTAGAGTATTCAGTCTATGTAGAAGCAATCAGCAATTTCTCCTTACGTATGCTCATCTGGGGCCGAGAGAACAAACCTCAATGATGTCCACAAATCCATCATAAACGTTATCTGCCTTCATCTTCTGACGGACAAAATCGGCCACTCCGCCCATAATTGCAACTACCGTGGTAATCTTGCTGTCCCAAGTAAGAAGTGCAGAAACTCCTGTTCCATCTACACGAGTGGATTCAGTGCTGCCATAGATATCTGGACAGTTTCTCAATTAGCGTCATACCAACTAAATGACATCGAGATCTGGAAGGTGTCACTGACTCTGCATTTTCTTGCCAGCAACCATATTTCTCCACCAGGCAAGTCCGACAGACTTGTCGAACAAGATTGTCGGGAATACACTATACGGCGTAATGACGTCTAGTTCCTGGACAGTTTGATTCGAGACCGAGGGGATACCGGCGTTCGATATATAGCCTGTAACATCTCCGGTGGAGGGATCGGTGATGTTGTTAATCGAGGCGAACATCCCAGGCAACTTTGTGGCAACTGAGTTGCAAGTCCGAACTCGCTCGGCATTCTTAAATACGCGACTAAATGTCAAACTTTCAGTATATGGCATCATATCTCTCTGCCTTAAGCTTGACGTCTCACCGAACAATGTCAATGTCATAGTAAGGCATCTGCATTGCTTTCCAGGTTTCATGGCTGGAGAACCAAAATCCTGCATTGGAATTTAGTCACCGTCTTCTCATGCGTCCTTTGGCATCTACGAACCCTTTTGGACAGTAATAGGCCCATAATCGCCCATTTCGTAGTCCACGCTCACCAACTGGGGTTTTTTAATCTCCCATAGAGCCTGTTTGTCGGCTTTTGATAGACCGCCGAAGAATTGTAGCCAAAAAGTGAATATCTCGCCTTCGAAAGGGTCGTCCAGTAGATTCTTACCCTCACATGGATATGACTGGTCTGGATGATTGACGGGGAGGAACTGGTCTTTAATGGCAATGACGGCACAAACCTTGCCACTGCCTTTGTAAAAGATCTGATTACAGCATATCAGCGAAATGGTCAGAATTGAACGGAAAATCGTGAAAGATGTACCTTAGCAGCAGTAGTCTTAGTGTAATCCATCCAAGTCTGCCATTTCTGCGCGAGTTCCCGATAGTTCCTGTTACCTGTGTTCTCAAGGGCCTGGATGAAACCATATACCGCCCAGACAAGTTCACTGGACAGATATTTCTCGTTAGGCCCGAAAGAAGAAGGAGGATCAGGAATCCACATACCCGTTATCAAGAGAAGGCACGCGGTTGACCCAATCCGATCTTGGAGTGATATCTTGACTATCCGCTGAGATCCATGGTAAAAAACCCCCGAAGCCTGGGTAAGTCTCGTTGAATTTGAGATAAGTCTGCAACTTTTTCTGCATGATAGAAGCAGCGATCTCAGGGGCTTCCGCTGTGTTCTCAGGCGAGAGGAACCGAGCAGCCTCTGGAGAGCCTGCAACGGCGTGGGTATACAGCATGATTTGAAGGGACTATTGGCACATGAGCTGAGGATTTCGAAATAATGAAGAAAAATGAGGACGAACCTCTTTGCTAGCGGCACTGAACGTGTGCTTGACTGTTGCCTCTCCAGTCACCCAATCGATATTAGTGCCATCGTAGGAGATACCGTTGTTGCTGTTGTATGAGACATTGTTTTGATGAAATTTGCCCTCCCAATACAGCATGTCATTAATGAAGGCAGTAGGATTTTGAAGGACCTGCTTTTGAGAATAGTGATGCGCAAAACGACATGAGGGCTCATTAGGATGTCCGGATATCGATGGTAGGGCCTTGACTAATGTTGTCCATGTCAAGACATGGCCAAGTCTCTCGTGGAGACGCATATCTTGGTTGCTCAAAGTTAAGAATTGAATAACGTGGCTAGATAGCAAAACGGAGAGTTTGATTGTATATATACCATGCGCCTCTGTTCGGAGGCGCAAATTGTACATTTGCTCCGTCTTCCAAGTCCGCGAATTATATCACACCGGAAGTCTCTGGGGTCCCCACATTCCGAACAGCTTCCCCCTGGAAATTGCCGGTGAAGTCTGATAATGGGCTGAAGGTACACACCACACAGAGACTGTTGCTTGTTTAATCTATGACGATGCAAATCAATTTCTGCAATGGGATGAGATCTTCAACGGGGATCCTGATGAGGGAGTCAATTATCCGAAGAAAACGGAGAATCGGAGAATTATAGATCGGGGAATTTGAGAATGCTCCCCAGACATTGATCGTTTACTTGATTGAGACAGGCAATTTACAAAGAATGTTTCTATAGATTCATTCTGTCATCGTACCATCCTATTTTATTCACTTTCACCTAGACCTGCTTGACACATAGCACCATGAAGCTTGATTTATAACAAACGGCGCAAAGTGTCTGATGCTTTCGAGTCTAAGCGCGTTAGTATATCAAGAAGCACTGACAGATCGTTACGCGCTCGAGCTGATAGAGGAGATGCTTCATGCTGGTCAATAATCTCCAGCAGACACGCTCCTATGAGTCTGATCTTTTCTACCTAGATGATCATCAGAATTTGCTCATTTGACAACAAGATAGCTGAAGTACAAAAGTGACTTACACATGGCTCGCCATTAATCTGCAACGCCCAGAAAGGAGCATCGCGAATGACTCGCAGAAGATCGCGTGCAATGTCAGTCTTCCGCAGTAGCAGCATTTCATTTGGTGTAGGAGGATAGTAATTGAACTCCTCAAATTTCTGTGTAATTACCATCTTGAGACAGTGCAAAGAGACGTAACCATTGGCAGCTTGAATGATATGCAGTCTCGTGAGTCTAGACAGGTTTTGATTGTCTTTATTGGAGTTTGACATGAGCTGGTCATATTGTAAGAAGGAGGGCAAGTCGTCAAGGGATGTTGCGAACAGCACGTAAAGATGGTCAAGCCTGTGACTTTCCTCCGGTGTGGGAGGTTGACGAGGAAGTAGACTCCCATTTCGGTGACATTCCAGCAGCCGCATCTCTAAAAGCAGATCAGATGCACTTTGCCAGAGCCGAATGTTTGCATTGAATCCTGCAATGAAACTCTTTTGCGTACTCTCGGCGTCTGGGACAGCACTACCTGGTGTCAGAATTGTCTCATCTTCAATCCCTGTTGGATAACCAATGGTGATGCCAGAATTGAATGAATATTTGTGAATAGTGATTGGACGATTGTTCAGAATGGCTGCCGATTTATCGCCGATGTAGGCAATCCAGAATGCCCGTCGGCGGAACTCCACTTCCAGGGAAGTGAGCCCCTGCAGGGAATCTTCTTCGTGCATTTGCATAACTTGAGCCAATCGGGTAGCTTCCCCAAATATGTGCCATGACAGTCGCGGCTTGCCGGCGGCATGCATACAGTTGGAGTGAAAATACCGAATGGCGACCGAGTTGGCATTTGGGTATTCAAGATCAGCTTCTAGATATGAAGCCAGGCAATTTCTTGAGGCCTGTAGAAAGATGTCTGCGATTCCTTCTCCCTCGGGGAAGATGTCTTTCGGAAGGAGAAAGGCCGCTTCTGCGCAGACAGCAGTGATCAAAGTGAAAGAAAGATCGGGCCACAGCTCTGGATATTTGAGACTATCCACTCCATATATGAGGCCGTCTGCTCTCGAATTCCTCCCTTGGGTCACGAAGAATCCCAGCCCATCTCGAAGACTGGGTTCATGAACAAGTGGAGTCAAGGGATATAGATATTCAAAGAATAGATCAAAGCAATGATTGATAGTACGCTCTAGATGCCCTGAGGACTTCTGCATGGAAATCACCCGCTCCAAAGCATGCCATCGCTGTAACGCTGATGTGATTCTTGTCGAAGCGACATCGGAAATAGATGATTGCACTGTATGCACAGTCTCAGGGGATAGAGCAGGATCAAGTACCGAGAGATCGGCATTCCATGCATCTAGTGGGACTGCAAGTGGTGCGGTCGAACTGAGATTTTGAGTTACAGAGCCATGTTCCGATAGTTGCAAGGTTGATGCCAGGGGACTATTCGGGACATTTGGATACACCACATCGTGTGATTTTTGTCGCTTGGATTTGGGCCCACGTCTGGCGATCGGCACGTCAAATGTGCACTGCGTTCGAGCCAAACGGCAGTTGCTGCATATTGATGATTCACCCAAGCAGTCGCACTATGGACAATTTAGTTTAGACCTAGTAAAATGGATTTTGGCCTCATACCTTTGCTTTTCTCCGACGGCACCGATCGCATGCTCTAGCTGATGAGCGCGAACGAGATGAAGGGCTGGCCATTACATCTCTCGGGAAAACATTTCGGAAGTTAGGGTAGTTGGAAAATAATGGAATGGCCGGGGTAATGTGCCTCGGTCAAATACTTCGCACATTTCTCCGGATTTCTTGGCTTGGAGTATCCCCGAAGCTTAATTAATTACTTCACATTGATTGCCATTTCTATTTCATTTTGGAAGAGAGCTAGAGAATGTAGAGGTTTGGAGTAGACTTCGAGATGTAATATCTGACGCATGATAGTTGCTCACAGTGTGTCCTATGCTCATTCGAAGTCGTTTCATTTCTAACATTGTTTTATTCTGAAGAAGGGTCGCCACCCATGCGTTCGTCGAACATACCTTTCAGTAGCAAAGCAGATTGCTTGGGAGTCCTGTCCAGAGTGCTGTAGTCAGTGAAGGTAACGCCAAAGCGAACCCCGTATCCATCGGACCATTCTGAAAGAAGAATTAGCTCGAATATCTCAAAGTATGAGGAAAAGCATTTACCCAAGTTGTCCATCAATGACCAGGCAAAGTATCCTTTAATATCAGAACCATCCTCTATACGTGCTCTTCCGACAGCATTGAGATGATCCCCGAAGTATTGGATCCGATAGGTATCATTGACAGCCTCTTCGCATGCCATTTTCTCTTCGCCCGGACACGGGCACCCATTCTCTGTGATGTAGATGGGCTTGCCGTATGTACGATATACTCGTGTCAAGTGCTTCCTGAAAAGCTCCGGGGCTGATCGGAGCCAATGCACACCACTTTTTTCTCCGACTGACACGCCTTGTTTGTTTTCTTGTAGTTCATCCACATTCCCCATGAAGTCAGTCTCAGGCGCAGGCCCATCACGGTGCCGGGCAAATTGGGAGGTGTAATAATTCATTCCGTAGAAGTCCATGTCACCCTCTCGAAGCAGAGCAAAGTCTGACTCCGTAAACCTAGGGAGTCTCCCGCCGAGTTGCTCTCTCATGCATTGGGGGTAGTCCTGTGCTAGACTGTCAAAGGTATCAGTAAACTCCTTCTCTTGATCTTGTCTGAAAGTCAGCAAAAAACCTACCAAACGGGGTTCGCAAACCATCCGATATGGAACTGCATCCGTCGCTCGGCAGCTTGCCGGTCACGCTCGTCCTGGCCATCCCAGGGTTCGTAGTAATCGCCATTCAGAGAAATGCCAATTTTTCCGTTTTGAGAAGCTCGAAACTTGCGGTTATACAAAGCGACAGCGCGAGCGTGGCTCATGATCAAGGCTTTCCCGACAACCCAAGGCTCTGTAGTAGTATCACCCTCTGTGGATTGTGGGTTTATACTGCTTCGCCCGGGCGCATTTCCACCAGTGGCATATCCCTCAACAGTACGTTAGCTGTTTTCTGGAATGGAAAGAAGCAAAGTGGCTTAGAGAGACATACAAAAATAGAAACAATCCACGGCTCATTCAATGTGATCCAATTCTTGACTCGGTCACCAAATCTCTCATAACAAATCTGTGCATACCGTTCAAAGTCAAGCTGTGACTCCTCCACATTCAACCAACCACCATATCGATCATGAATGGCCTGAGGAAGGTCCCAATGGTAGAGAGTGACCCATGGCGTGATTCCTCTGGCAAGAAGGGAATCAATGAGTTTGCTATAGAATGCGATGCCCGCTTCGTTGACTGGGTCATTTCTTCCTCCTAGCGGAATGATCCGCGACCAGGATATTGAGAATCGGTATGCTTTTGCACCGTACCTGGAGAGAAGATCGAAATCCTCCTCAAATCGGTGGTAATGGTCGCAAGCAATGTCCCCATTGGCTCCCTTGGTCCGTGTAGGCTCAAGATGACAGAAAGTATCCCATATCGATTGTCCGCGCCCATCTTCATTCGCAGCTCCTTCAATTTGATATGAAGCTGTTGCAAATCCCCATTCAAAATCTGGAGGCAAGGATCCTGACATCCTGTCAATTTTCAATACAGGATCACAGAAACAATGTGAAGTAGTTTGAAAGAGGAGAAGTCGAGAGAGCTTTGCCAGCAGAACTCCAAGCTATGTTTCTTATGGCCGGAGAATTGTGGCGTCGAAATGGGATATCCCGAAGGATAAACGGCAAAATTGACATTTCGCCGATTCCCCGAATGTCCAGACTTCTCTTCACATTTTTCCCCACGGGGCAATTCCCCGCAGAACTGTGAAATCAAGATTTCTCTCACAAGACATTTAGGATTGTCAGAATGCATACACTATCTCCACTCGGCTGCCTCTTCTATAACAAGTGCAAGGAAGCCTTCGGGCCAAGACTCCCAGTATCTCGATCATAGGCAAGCCCGCTTTATTTACCTCTTGATCTCAGTTGAAGTCTGCAACCATGGCTCCTGCTGCAGCCCATGCCGCCGAGGGCATTGTCTCGTCCATTGATGTGGACTCTATGCCGCCTTTCTGGCGACGGAAGAATGGCATTCTGCTATACTTTCTGTTGACTTCGTCCCTACTAGCAAGTGCAGCTCTCGGCATTGATGGGGTGAGATCCAGTGTTCCAAGACTGAAGTGCCTTCTACTGACAATCCATCGCAGTCCATGACAAACGGCATGCAAGTCTTGGAATCCTGGCAGGATCGATTTGGACATCCGGAAGGCGCCACCTTGGGTTTCTTTGGAGCCTCTAACGCCATTGGCGGTGTCATCCCATTCATCTTTCTCGGCTGGATTGGTGACAAGTACGGTCGACGTCTGCCCACTGCGCTAGGGTCGGTGATTATTATTACTGGTGTGATTGTCGAGTTCTTTGCCACTTCTTTGAACATGTACATTGGCGGCAAGATCGTTCTTGGGATCGGGTCTTCGCTCATCCAGATGGGCGCACCCGTATTAATCACAGAACTGTCCCATCCCAAGGAACGTGTACAAGTCACTACTTTCTACAACACCTCCATCGTCCTTGGCTATGTAATTGGAGCCTGGGCAACATTTGGTTGTTACAGGATCACCAGTCAATGGTCGTGGCGGCTCCCTACTTTGATCCAAATTATTCCCTCGGCCTACCAATTCTGTCTTATTTGGTTCTGCCCTGAGTCTCCTCGGTGGTTGATTGCAAAGGGTCGTACCCAAGAAGCTCGCCAGATCCTCATCAAGTTCCACGGCGAATGTGACCCTAACTCGGAGCTGGTCGCCGTAGAATGCGCTGAAATCCAGGAGGCAATTGATAAGGAGGCAGAGAACAACATGAGCTGGAAGGACTTCTTTTCCTCTCGTGCCAACCTCAAGCGCCTGTTTCTTTGCTTCGCCACAGCCGTTTTCAGTCAGAGCTCGGGCAACCTGCTTGTCTCGAATTACTTGACCCAAATATTAAAAGATACAGGCCTGAAGACCCAGTCTGAAATCACACTTATGAACGGAATGGTCACTCTTTGGCAGTATGTTGTCGCGGTCTTCGTTGCATTGGTAGTTGATAAATTCCGCCGTCGGTTCTTTTTCCTTACAGGTTCTGGTGGTGTTGTTGTCACCTTCGTCGTGTGGACAATTGCTGCCCAGCAGTACCTTGAGCACAGCTCTTTGGTGGCTGGTCGTGTTGTGATTGCCTGTATCTTCTTCTTCCAGGCGTTCTACACTTTAGCGTGGACAAATCTGATTGTCACCTATCCACTGGAGGTTGTGACGCTTCAGATGCGCGCCAAAACATGGGCATTTGTCCTACTTACCATCCAGGTGGCGTCCATCTTCGGAAGCTATGTTAATCCCATTGGGCTGAAATCACTGGGCTGGAAGTTCTACATTTACTACTGTGTCTGGGTGCTTGTTGTCTTCCTCGTGGTCTACTTCTTCTTCGTTGAAACCGCCGGTCCTACGCTTGAAGAGCTGGCCTATTTGTTTGAGGGTGAAGACATTAAACGTGGAATGGTTGACAAGGTCGCGGAGCAAAAGGAACAAGTACAATATGAAGAGCATGTGGAAACCAAGTCAGCATGAGTTACGGAGTACTGCATGGTACGGATAAACCATGACGATCATGAACATCTCTAAATAAAGATACAACTAATCACAAACCAACGATGTTCATATGAAAATAATTAAATCACCTCAGATCGTGGCAAATGCCGTGTTTGATTCAGGTAAGACCTGGCTAAGCCTTGATGAGCTCTTGGGCGGCCATTCTGCAAGGAACTGTATCTTTCGCGTTATGGCCTTGAGCTCTACCAGAGTCCCAGTTGTAGCTCAGACAGTCACTCCGAGGGAGCAGGAAAATGCTTGAATATCCAGTGACTGTAGCTGGAGTGTGATAATCGTTTTCTGGAACGATCTACGAAACACAGGGCAGTAGAAGAAAAACAATCATTACATCCATTATCAAGATCGACATCTGACCACTCTCTAAACACTCTGCGCTCTTTTTGTTGAAACACTGGTCATTTCGTTCAACGAGTTTACAAAGAGACCTCGTGGTTTCGAAATACCTTCGACCAGAATTTCTAGTCTGCCGTTCGCCAGCAAAATACTATAAGAACACATGCAGGAACAAATCATCAATATTCAAGTAACCCGATGTGCGTGATCACAGCAGAGGTGGAGGGAAGATGCAAGGCATAAAAACGGAGACATGCTGTATGAAACAAGGCAACAGAGCATCTAAGTCAACTTCTGCTTGATGAAGAATGACCGCAGGTGGGAGAGCTGCCACGCGCATGCAGCGGACAAAACGGCAAGCTGGATAAGAGTCCAGCGCACGACACGCGAGTTGGTAGTCTCGGATTGGTCACGGAATTCAGATTCACGTTCCTGGCAAGAAAAAAGAAACATTAGTATGTTCGCTTCACTCGTCTGCAGAGGCTCTAGCCATAGATTGGATATGGGGTAATCTACCCGCTGATACACCTGCTCACGACGGATATCGTGCAACCGGCTGTTTAAGTCCTTGACTCGCTGCACAATATCCTTCATCTTATCCTTGTCCTCAGTCTCAATCTTGCTGGTCTCACCAATGGCAATGTCAACGGAGAGCTTGACGGCGCCCAGGGAGTTAGACAGCCAGCCGGATGTGGCATCTGTCTCAGGTGTGAAGCAGATTCTGTGCTGGCCAGCGTCTGCGGCGGAGAAGTGGAAGCGACCAGAGTGGCTGTCCCGTTTGGAAACAACGCGGTGGTCATTGTCGAAGGTCTCCTCGACGGTGATGTGCACCTTCATGCTATGGTCAATCGCGTAGGTGCCACTCTGGGCGTTGATGATTTCCGTCTCGTAGCGGCCTATTTACAGTTTCGCGACCGTATGTGAGCTTAAATATCCCTTGCAAAGGCTGTAGACATTGTTGCGTACCGGCCACTAGGGTATCCTTAGGAAGGTCCTCGAAGAAGCACTTTGTTTGCCGGCCCTCCATATAGAAGTAGAGTGCATTAGTTGGGATGAGGAGAGAAAAAAAAGAAATCAAAGCCAATGCTGACGCCAGCCATGACGAGGATGTCCCAGAGAAAACCATGATGAGGGAATGAGCAATTGGATAGTCGCTTGACCAAGTCCTCTCCGTGAAGGTGTCAACATCAGGGACCATGGATGTTCACCGCCTGCCGTCTTCGGAATGTCTCCCTTTCTACCCGGAAGCCTCTGTCGATGTGATCTTCAATTTTGACGTTCACTAGTCTTTATTTCATCAAACAAAAGCTGCTTTTATCTCTTCGTGGTCCCCGATAAAACTTTTAGTCGCCAAACACTGAATAAATCATTCCTTGGCATCGTATCTAGGCAAATCACCACTCCGCTCGAACTGCCAAAATGGCCGCGGCCGATGTTCGCGACATGCTGGATTTGCCCGCGGAAGGGCAGCCCAGACCGCACAAGAAACAGAAGGTCGTCGAGAAGCGACCAGGTAGGTGTTACGCACTCTGTCAAGAATTAGATGGAATACTGATAGTCTCTCGTTGCAGAGGGTATTACCCGTGAATTGTACGCGCTACTGGGCGAAAGGGCGCCACCAATCGCCATCAATGAGAACAAATACAAGGGCCGTCCGAAATGGATGAACAAGCTGCGCGTTCGACCATGGTATGTTGAAGCTGCGGCTCTTCGGAGGTCCCGAATGCACGCTGACATTATATCCCATATAGGAGCATGGCACCGTTCACGAACAATGCCCGTTCTGACGGTTTGGTTTTGAACCACTGGCAGAGAAAGCACGAATCGGCGCGACCGCCTGTACCCTCGCCTGCGCCCGCGCCCGAAGAGTCTCAAATGGAGGTGGATCAGCCCAAGGAAGAAGAGAAAGAGGACGTACCGAAACCGCCAGAACAGGAATATGCCTTCGCCAAGTACAACGTCAAACCGCGTTTGCCCAATCGATACACAGATGACGAGTACAATCGACATCTCAAAAGTGACGACTGGTCGCGCGAGGAAACGGACTATCTAGTGGACCTCGTCACTGATTACGACATTCGCTGGGTGCTCATCGCAGATCGCTACGACTACCAACCACGAATGGACACACAGCCGGATTCGAATGCGCTTGTGCCCGCCAAGCTCCATCGAACAATGGAGCAGATGAAGGCTCGATACTATTTCATTGCTGCAACAATGCTCTCACTAGAGCACCCACCCTCAGAGATGTCCGAGGCCGAGTTCGAATTACATGAGAAGATGCTCAAGTTTGACCCGGACCGAGAGCGTGATCGCAAAGAACTAGCCGCTCTCCAGCTCAATCGCACAGCCGATGAGGTCCGCGAGGAGGCAATGCTACTTGAAGAATTGAAACGCATCACAAGTAACGAGCAAAATTTCATCACCGAACGCCGAGAACTCTACTCTCGCCTCGAGGTTCCCATCAGCGTCGGCAACACCACGATGTATCAGTCCAGCGCGGGTCTTTCCCAGCTCCTGCAGACTCTACTACAAGCCGACAAGAGCAAGAAACGCCGGTCCATCCTCGGCGACGGTGCCATCCCAAGTCCTGCTGGTCAGACTCCAAGCACTGCGGGTGGCCTAGGCCGAGCCGAGACCCCCGTCACACAAGCCGGAAACAAGAAGGGATCTATCACATCGAAGGAAACAGGTCAGATGGTACGCACGCTCACCACGGCAGAGGAAGCCAAGTACGGTGTCCAGCACCACGAGCGTGTCTCAGCAGGTGTGCAGTTCCGCAGCGATCGTGCCCAGCGACTCACACAGGCCAAGTCCAACGTGCAAACTCAGAAGCTGGCCAATGCTCTAGCTGAGCTCGAGATTCCGGTGCGCTTGTTCATGCCCACCGAACGCGTATGCAAGGATTTCGAGAAACTCATTCAGTCTGTCAACATGCTCCTCGATGCTCGCAAAGTGTCTGAGAAGGTTGAAAGTGAAATCCGTGTACTCGAAGCCGCGAAGATGGAGCGTGAGCGCAAATCGCGAGAAGCTGCTGGTATCTCGGGGCCAAGTGCTGACCCCGAACATCCCCATGTGAAAAAGGAAACTGAAGACGGTGACACCGGCCTTTTGGGCCATTCTACTGCCTCACACGGCAATGGTGCCGCGCACCAGTCCCGTGCTCAAGAAGGGGATGGTAATCACAAGCGGTCTGCAAGTGTGCTCAGTGGCGCAAGCGACAAGAGTAACAAGCGGCAGAAGAGATAGATGATTTGCTCCTCTACTGGTGATAACACTACACCTTTATTGTGTGGATGTGAGAAGTGTAAGATGTATTAGGGCCTAATTACCCATATTTCTGTATGATTAATGACACCGATTGGGAAGCATACTCATAATCAGACCAACTCCAACCCCGCGAGTAACAATAAAAGCAAAATTGGCTCCAAAGTCCTCGATAACTGTATTTTTATGCGCGTCCAGTCAATATACCCTCGTCACTCTGCCTCCGCCTCCACCACCAGACTCGTTCGGCTCGCCCACCGGCTTCCATAAAAAGCCCCAGGCATTCCAATGCACTCCTGATACGCACTAGCAAGATCCTCTGCCATATCGCTTCTGGTAGAGTTTGCTCGTCCGAGGTCACTCGACGGACGCTCTTCGTACTGTACTGGCGATTCCTGAGATGGTTCCCTTCGAGGGAGGTTCGAACGTCTCTTGCTTTCTCTGTTTCTGGAAAACCCTAGTATCCAACGTCCACTGCGAGAGCGAGAAGGTTCTCCGTTCAATTTGTCCGCACTCTTGTTATGCGACGGATCGAAGTACACGGACGGCCGACTGTTAGTCTGATCCATCGAGAAGCGACGTTCGCCAAGCGGTGAGGCATCTGAAGTACTGGCATTGCGCCCATAGGTTGAATCGTGGTACTTGTCCGGCTGTGGTGGTTTTCGTGTGGACCGGCTGGCCTTCGCCCATCGACTTAAGAGCGTTTCGTCGACGTCTTCGATATAAAAGCTCTTTGCAGAACTAGGCGTTTTTGCAGAGATTGGCGACTCAATGTGTTGCGCGCGGTTCGAGCTTTCACGGCAGGCTTCCCCTGCACCCATTCCTTCACCAGCCACATCCACTGCCAGCGGTGCGTGACTATTACCTCGAACTGAATGGCCTCGAACTGAATGGCTTTTCATTTTGGCCCACATCGTTGGGGTCAAAATGGGGTTTCCCTTGGTATTGGTAGGGCTTTTGCTCATAGGAGACCGTCGGCTGTCAGATATATTGGATTCATGGTCAGGTGTAGATGGCTGAGCTAATAATGCCAGCTTGGTCTGATGCTCGGTCGATGATTTCAGCCCTTGTCCATTAGCGCCTCCGGACCTGGGCTCCGAAGTGTCTCTTTGCCAATTCCCTTTCGAAAGTGGACTGCTGTTCCCTACGACTTTTGGTGAGTGTTCCTCGGCATTGTCCACCAAGTTATAACCATAGCCCATTCGCTGGCCCCCAGTCATCCAGGCGGGACTAACTCTGCGATGTGGACCGGCAACATGAGCGCCATTGGAAATCCCATGAAGCTGCGGCGATTCCCAGTTTGCCGCCTCAAGTTGCTCAATAAACCTGCTTTTTACAACGTCGGCAGCTGGTTCCAGTTCATTTCGAATTGGGGCAGTGTCCGCAACCATTTGTGCATGGATATTGGGTAAGTTTTCTATTGCATTTGCAGCGTGGACTCTCAGCGATTGGACGGCAGATGCCCCTCGTGAAGGGTTACTGCTTTGGCGTGAGTAGAAAGAGGACGCATCTCGTTGATGATGCATAGCTTGCTTCTGGGGCTCGGATCCCACAAGTGTCGATGTCCCAGATCCCTCATATGGATAAAAATTCTCTTGCGATGCCAATTGTGGCCCGTACCTGTTGGCACGTGGCAGTTCCAACATGGACGGATTAGTTGATGGTGCTCCGGACCCCATGCTTGTCCCTGCGAGTCTGTGCGAAAGATCTAGATCACCAAGATGCGGTACTCTGGTCTCAGGGTGTGTCTCCGGAGAGCTAGAAGTTGTTGGGTGTCGTGTTTTGGAAACCATGATTCCCGGATCTTTCCTGGCTAGCGACGCGGAAGGTGCCGCACGATAATCATTGGGATTTGATCCCATGTACTGAGCCCAGTGAGCCACAAGATTCTGGAGGTTCTCACCGCTGCTACTACCACCCACAAAGCCTTCTCTAGATTGTTGATGATCTTCATTTGCTGGAGCCAGCCCTTTTTGACTGGCATGAAGGTTTGGAAGAGATCTCGTGGACAAGTTTGGCTCGCCAGACTGCTCATTTCTGAATGAAGACATGGACTGGCTACATGTGCCTTCGGCTGCAGAGGTAGGGTGAGCTGAGCGCCCCGTCATACTTCCTGGTGGCGTTGGTATATACTGCATCCCGAAGGGAGTTCTCGGGGTACTGGATTGATCATGGATCTTAGCTCCCGCCCACATCTCCAAATCATTTCGCTCACGACTGCGCTCTATTAGGTCATGCAACCCTATCCTGCGCGATGCCGGGCTTCTGGGCAACGCTCTCATACGGCCCGCATGCTGAGGACTTCCAATGCACTGGGCATCACTGTCGTATCCTCGTGCGCTCATCAGACTGCTTCCCATATCCTCAACCATTGACAACCCTGTAGCTGGCTTCGATACATTTGGCTTTAGCCTGATAGAGAAAGGGAAGATGGGGCGGTGCTCGGCGGAATGTCTGGATTCTCTCGAGAATCGATGACGAAGCCGACGCGAAAGACTTGTAGATCTCCGTCTCGGATGTCGAACAGGAGCTACAATTGATCCCGGGGAAGGGTCTGCGATATTCCCAGTTAGCCGGGGTAAACCTTGAAATCGAGGATTTGGCTGAACCTTGCCTTGGCTTTGCTCCCTGGGACCATCCACATTCTCCCTTTGACCATTTTGATATGAGTATGCAAAGTTACTCGGGGAGTCAGCTCGATGCCCCCTTCGGAGACGAGGACATCTAAGGAAAAACATTTGGATATGGGATGTTTACAAGATGAACATCTACATGTTCGTAAAGAACTTTTTAAGGGCAATTTGGGGAAGGCACCATCAGATGTTTTGCCTTCCATTTCCAGAACATCACGAGGTTCCATGGTTGCTCTTTCTGTTTATCGAGATACCTTGGATCCATGGATCAGTTTAACCTTAACATCTTGGCCCCGAGCTTAAATTTTCAATGGAGACAGAAGAGCAGTGGGATAATAATGAGAAACACGGGCATCCAGGTACTTGATTAGAACCATGCAAAGAAAAATACATATATACATATGGCCCTATATGCGTTACTCAATCACTCCGCTCTTGGTAGCTGCGCTATGGTCCAAAAGGGTGAAAGTGGGCTTATACTTCCATATCCGGTATGTATACCATTATCTAGCGCTGATTGTCGCAAGCCCCGAAGCTTCTTACTCAATCTTCCGTGAGCTAGAGATAATAATCTTACTTCAACGGACACTGCACTTGAAAGAAAATTCAATATGATCTCTTTCCTAGTGTCAAACTCCACACACCTGACGCAGATGGATGCAAGTAGCCCAAGATCCAATCACAATATTCTGTTATCTTCGATTCAATACAAGTAGCCAATATGAGTCCATCGAGGCGATATGACAGATAAGGCATCCCCATCAAATTGAAAGATCGGCCCCTGGTGTACGTGGATTTACAAAACATTGAGTTCTCATGATCTCATACGACATACATAGTGGATATCATTGCTCTGCTACATACTACTGTAGTGTCAGAAGTGGACCAGACACCGGTCATACCCATAAGCCCGATTTTATAGGCCAACGACAGGGCTGCAGTGAAAGCCTTGCGCTACAGGTAAGTTTCCGACATTCTCAAGATTTCCATTGTCACAGTAGGCTAAGCATTCAGCAACCCTGGCCAGGAAAGATAACAGCATAAACAATCAAACTCGGATGTAATGTTAGGGTATCTGTCTTTTCTTTGCCATATTCGAATGAATCACAGTTGATATAGTATATCTGCTACATTTGAATCCTGAATAAACCGATCACGGCTTCAAAGAGTACAGATCGAAACAAGTTATTAGCCAAATGCTCCGAGGTTTCACAACGCAGTATATGCCGCAATGTGGCATTTTACTAAGGTTGGGACGAAATAACCAAACAAGTCATATTTGACAGACTAAATCTCTCGTCGAAATACTCTTGCTGTCCACAAATTGCTAGATCAACAGTCAATACTGTAGACGTTCTTGTCAAACCCCCCCCGGTGATGCTGCCTACCCTAGGGTCTAGTCCCTGCAGAGGTGGAGTCGCCTGAGTATATATTCGCGTATAGCAAGATAGAATTTGGCTGAGAAAACTTGCTTTTCATCGGTATACCTGCTATGCTAGAGCGGCTGAGAGAATTCCCTACTGCCATGTACATGCATGCACATGCATGCGCACCACTCCGCCTTTTCTTTTGGTAAAGCGGATACCAGTAATTAATTTTAGTTAACCAATAATGTCTAGCTCTCATCTTTATCTTGATCTCATTGACTGTAGCAATTGAAAGAATACTGTATTCTAGATCAGTGACGTGCATGCATGTGCATTGTATTAGTAGGCCTTCTTGGCCGCCCTGTCATAGCAGGGTCAAGGCTACAAATTCTAAACACCGCGTTAATGTAGATTTTACTAAGATGCCAGCTAGGTCACTAGGTAGAGATGAGTAATAGGTGATTCCTACAAGCTTCTTGACCCAATTGTCTTTCCTAATCTGTATCATAAATTATAGCGACCTATACAGAAGCTATTATTCGGAAATTCCCCATTCATGCGCATGCGCAATCAAAGCATTCACAAAACATCAATAAGAGTTGGCTCTCAAAGCCAGAATGGTACTTCATAGATTGATTGGGATGTAAGAAGATTCCTCCAATTGAGATTTGATGTACAACTCCACCGCGGTTTGAGCGTCACAAAACAGAGCAATTGCCTAGTGATCGGGATAAGTCAGGCTCAGTCTCGACTGCACAAAAACAAAAGAGGAAGAAAAAAAAAAAGTCACGAATGCATCCTTACCTGTGCTGTCTTGAACTGCGCTTTTCCACCCTCACTCGCGGCAAAATGAATCCGGTATTGACTTTCGCAGTCAATGTACGAAGGATATGTGACGGGCTCTGTGGCCTTGGCGGGTTTCCCGAACAGGGACATACTCTCTACCTCCTCTTGGGGTCTCTCTGTAGCTGCCAAGTCTTTCAGAACTTGTGGTGTTATTGTCAGTGCATCGATTCCGGCGAGCATTATGATCTCATCGAGGTTCAGTGTCACACAGGCTTTCACTCGGGTGGGCATGGAATTCTGGCGGTAGAACTGTTGGGCTTGCATGCATACCCCAAAAATGGGGTTGCTGTCTTTGTATCTGGAAAGGAATTAGCCGTACTCCCGTATTATGCCATCTGTCTCACTCACCCCTCGTAAGTTTCGGTTTTAAGCTCGTGCACAAATGGTGAAATCGATGTACAGCCGGCTTCGCCCGCAAGGATCGCCTGCTCCATCGAAAAGAGAGTCGTAGCCAAAGTCTTCACTCCGCTTCGCTTGAGCTGACGTGCAGCTTGCAGTCCCTCCCATGTTGCTGGCACCTTAGTAATTAGACGACTCGTGTCAAAACCAGGGTCAATTATTTGGCAGAGGAGATGGAATCCTAGAAAACTACAATTAACATTTCTCTTTTTAAAGTTGGGCTGAGGGATGTCCAGTTACGCTGAGCATTTGCAACCATCGCTTCGGTGTTGTAGGAGTAGCTCGGATTGACCATAACATGGACATTTCCACGAACAGTTTGGATCATTTCGAGGGCGAATTCGATACCCTAGACCGGTCAACTTTAGGTATTCGCATCATTGAATCTTCTGAATACCTACCACTACTTCCACAGCAAGCTCCTCAAGGGTAATTGAGGCAAACTGTGGGTGGATCGTGGTCGCCAACGCTAGTGATTTCTTCACCAGTGCGCTTCTGTTGGGCTTGACAATCTCCGCTTGGATCTCAAACTATCCTTCTGTTTAACAAATGCTAGGACAGAGCATCGATATTCATTCTCATACCTGATTTCCTGTTGCATCTTGGAATGGTCCGATCTCTTTGGAAGCTGATGGGAGAAACGTCATTAGCCCTCTGTACAAAACAAGTCAAAAGATTCACAACCTTCAGCATTGTATGTGTCGATATCTAGCTGCGTCCTTGAGTGAAGGTATTCCAACAGATTTACAGTCGCCATGTCTGTTGTATTGAGCGGCGAGGAAGACAAACTTGTGTGTGGAATATTGTCACACCGTTGAGGTTTTCGTTGGTTTAGAAGAGGGGAGATAAAATGCTACTCTTATAGTTGAGTCAATCTGATATACAATTGAAATGGCGAAGCGACCCCGCAAGCAAATAGTTACGAATGATCAATTGATATCCACCAGGACTTTTGTTTCACCAGTGGCCGGGTTGAATTTGCCTTCTGACTGCAGCTAGTGGACTCAGCCACAGATGTGTCGCACATATAACGTCAGATTGATTGAAATTTGAACTATGAATATCGCAGATCAGGTTTATAGAACTCACACATAGTGTACGTAGGGTGTACCGCCTTCTAACATTACGTTATTATACGCTTTCCGCAGATGCATGGATTTTGTGACAGAAGGGCCTCGGAACTCTATGAACATATAGATATCTACCATAATACCAAGTGGCCTTGACCGGACAATTTTCTGCAAGAGAAAGCTAGTATATACTCAATGCAGCAGGCTTGCACCATCGCAATGGATAGCTGCATGAGGGGTGGAGTAGTCTGCTCCAAAATGAATGAGGTTGAAAATGAGGCTAGCAGACCAGTTCCGAAGCTCAAAACAAACATCTTCATAGCTTTTAGCTCTTTTGTTGAGATTTAAAGTCTCGAGGTTGGAATTCTCAAAATGCATCCGGCAGTGAGGGATGCATAAAAGTGACCAGAATACCTTTTAATGGCATTCAACAAGACGCAGTAAGATATTTGATACAAGAAACCAGGACTTGTAATTCCTACTGCTTGGTGTGGTATTAGCTTTGGAGATGCATACTTATACCTTCATAGTGGAACTTCATGTTCCCCTCTTTTAGTGCAACCTACAACTTTTCCCTAGCCCTCCATCATCCGGTGAACAAATTTAGGCAAGATTGCGATAGGAAGCAAACATTTTGGCATTTTCCCGGTGAGATATATGAGGCACATACAGCTATTGGTCTTATTCGGTCTGCAGTGCTCATTCTGGTACGCTGTGTGTTCGCTGCTTCGTCTCCGTTGCTTTCTGCGCGAGTATCTAAAACTGAATGAATCGGGGTGTTTTTTGTCTGGCCCGAGCACTAAATGTTGTGTTCTGTCGTTTCTGAAGATATTTATCGAACGTGTAGGGAAGGCTAGCAAGTTTGCTTCATATGTGGATGTTGACACGGACAATGACAACAAGTGGATATGGTATGGTGGTACATCACGTAGTTTCTACTTCCATTTTCTATCAACAAGATATGACTGGCAGGCAGCACAGTAAATATGGAAGGAACGACTTAGTCAGGTATTATATTAAATTCAGCTTTCTCTCCATGCATAAATATATAGTCTCTTCTATTCTCCTATTAACATCCACTATACAAACGTCTTGGCACGTCATAAAGCTACATTCAAGTCATAAAAATAAAATTAAACTCCAAAACCATGCTCACCGTCATGGTGGAGCTTATACTCATCAAATAACCCGGCCAGTTCAAGCGCATCTCAATTCTCCTACCTGTTACCAGCCGAGCCTAGCTCATATAAACGAGGAGTCTGGGCAGTGCCCAGTTCGTGCATTTGCTTATAAGTTTCCATCGGATACCCATTCGAGTGGTGTGACGGGTATCCCGTGGGATATTGTGGCGGATATCCCGTGGACTGTAGTGACTGCGGATGACCGTGGCCCATAAACAGTTGCTCTTGGGATGACAAGGATTGCTTTCGCTTTTGGCGATAGATCCACCACAGTATAAGAGCCGCAATTAGTGCAATGCCTGCAATAGGACCAACGACAACACCCGCAATCCAAGCTTTGCTGGAACTTGTTGCAGCCGCAGCAGATGTTGGCGATTGACTGGCTGGCGAGTCTGCCGTGGATAGAGGCTTTGTTGGAGCTGGAGTGGTTGTAGGAGAGTGGTTGCTTCGTAAAGTCGTGGTGGATGGGGTTGGAGAGGAGGCTGTGATTGTGATCAGTCGGTGTGTACTATGATAGATCCTATTCCTTGAAAGGATCATGATGGGATGCAGTACTTGACTCGGTTGTGGTTGCTTGCAATTCGCGATATATCGTGTTTGCCTTCCAACGAAACCCACAAAAGATATTACTCGCCGTGTTGCGTAGGGGAATGTTTGGAAGATTGTCATAGTGACACATGTAGCGCTGCCACTATGGACGAGAACAGGATTTAAGTCAATTTTCGCATTCATGGATTGGAATATACTGATCTTGTTTCATGACTCACCAAGAGCCTATGAGGCCATCATCATATGTGATATTGTTATTGATACAATTCGTAGCAAATCTGCAGGAATTCCCCTTGCAACCAGCTGCGTAGTTCCCCGATGTAGTCCATGTTTGTGGATCTGTCAACGCCTCGGCTTCGAAAGAAGGGTCAGTAACGTGCATATTAGGGGTAAACTTGGATAGGGTGCTGCTATATAGGGTATTCTCACTGCTTGCAGGACCCAAATACCACCCCATAAACCCAGTCTCACTTTGCACCGACGTGTCAAACTCGGTAGTCTTGCCATAAACGCCATAGGACCGAAGGCATCCGCTTAGCAATATAAGCGCAAAGCATGACCAAAAACGCGACAAGAGAATGAGGATCATTGAATTTGCTCTCAAACTTGGTATTTATCAGCTCGAAAGAGACCGATCAGGATGGCTATACATCCAAGTGGTCGACGTATAATTCAAAGAAGGATTGACCAGGATCAAGGGTATGATCACCACACAAACAATATTTGGTTCAGACTTGATTGCTCTCCAGAGACAGTCTTGCCTATACCAAGGAAAGGAACGTGGGGAACTTGTAGATGAGAAAAAGGGGCAAGCAGGAATAATACGCATCATATATACCAGTTACGCTATATTTCCACTTAGTTGCCGCGAACGAGACTAGGTATATCATATTGTACAAAATTTTATGGTTATATCTTTTCAGGGTACCAATCAAGAGAGTTAAAACAATCTAAATTCGTGAACTGGGTCGTGGTCCAATGAATGCAGTCCGTTAGCCGACTTGATATTTTAGATCGCCTTGGCGATAGGCACACGAACCCGCATGCTAATAATATATGCGCATCCACTCAGATCATAGTGGGGCCTAATTACTTTGAAAATCCTGCCGCGTGCTAATGTAATACATCTATGTATTAGGTGAGTCGAGATTCTCCTTTCTTTTAAGTGCTTTCTTTGATCGGATCTCTTCTATATTCTTTTGCAACCCCCTCGTGTCACCTTCAAGGCTTCATTCAATGTCAACCAACTTAAAAAACTCGCGCTCTTTGCGCTTGACTGTTGCCCTTATCATTCCATTTGCGCTATTTTGTTATCTTTACTCGTGGAAACAAATACCCACTGTCTCCAGTAGTACGATACCGTACTCTTCAGGGACGGCTACGACCACAGCGGCCTCAATTTCAACATCAGTGCCTCCAAAGGAACATCCTTCGCCTCCATCCATTTACACGCTTCCAGACAAGGTCTGGCATTCCGCCAAATTTGATAATTTATCAGAAAATCAGCGTGAATGGACCGGCAGCTGGACAAAGAAAAACCCCGCTCTCCGCTCTGAATTGTTGACCGATCGATCGGCCGAAGCATTTGTTCGCGCTCATTACTTCAAAACGCGGCCGGATATCGTCGAAGTCTATGAAGCCCTTCCAATCGCAATCCTACGTGCGGACCTTTTCCGTTACTTGGTTGTTCTCGCCGAAGGCGGTATCTGGGGAGATTTAGACACTTCATGCGAGAAAGAAGTTTCCGAGTGGGTACCCGTGGAATACCGAAATGAGAACATTGATATGATTGTCGGATTGGAGTTCGACTTTGAATGGCGAGGCCCAGGAACTGAAGTTGCTTCCCAGTTCTGCAACTGGATATTTGTCGCGCGGAAGTCCTCGCGTAATCTTCAAATCATTGTGGACACTGTTCTCAAAACCTTGAAAAATATTGCCCGAGATAATGCCGTAGGCATCGAAGGGATTACCCTAGAAATGCTTTCGGACGTCGTCAACGTGACGGGACCTAAGATCATGACGATCGCGATCATGGATAGTCTCGAACAATTGCTTGGCAGGCCCGTGGATGATCGCGATTATGCACTCACTAAACGGCCTAAGCTAGTCGGTGATGTTTTGATCATGCCTGGAGTCTCTTTTGCTGCTCTTCAAAACGGAAATCCGACGGATCAAGGTGATGCTCTTGTCACTCATCATTACGAGGGCTCGTGGAAGAAGGAAGATGCAGAGGCAAAGGAGCGGAAAAAGCTGAAACAAGAACAAGAACAGCAGCAACAGCAAGATGCATCGTCACCACCACCTCCCCCAGCATTAGCAACACCAGAAGCACCAGTACCATCTGCCGCTGCGACCTGAATAGAAGTACGATAATGAACGAAGAACAGCGAGCTACATTTCTTTTGTCGGAAACCCTTTTTTTGTCTTTTTTTTTTGGAATATTGCTAGAATCTCGAAGACAGGATTGGAGATTCCAAGGAACATACTATGTAACCATCACAGGAGTTTTGTTTATTTCCGGGTCATGTCGTTGGCCATGTTGTTGTATATCAGTCAGGTTTCATAATTTTCTATCTATATCATTCTCAATTTTTTATCAACAGAAATTCAAAAATTCAAGTCTCTATCCCCTAAAGAGATTACAATGTGACTGGCGCCTGTATTTTATGTAATGGACATGTCATGTTCGAACAAGGCCGGCCACACCGCTGTAGGGATTAGTAGCCCTGTATTGTCAGACTTGGAGTTTTTAGCCGCCCAAAAAGTAGTGCCCATTGCCCAACTCTAAGCCTCATTTCGGACGCAAATAGGAATAGAAGCGCTGGTGGCGCTCAAACTAAGTACATGGTGAAATTGGGACATGGATCGCCCGGAAGACAACGGATGCTGACTAATTTGGAATCAAGGTTGCCCAGTAAAAAACAAACGGCAAGAGAAACAGGTACACTAATTGACTGTCAATGGTCGCGACACGAAACGACTTATGACTTGATCGCAGTAGTCTCACTCTAGTAGTAAGTAAAGATACTACATGAAGCAAGCTCGGGGGAGAGCGATCTGCCAAATCTTGTCGGAAGTAGGGAATCCACGTGACACCCTTCTACCCTACCAAAGTAGCATGTGGATCAGCTACCGGATCCTGCCGACTCGGCAGATCCCGAGGGTCCTTTTGATGGTGGAGCGATACTCCACTTGGCATTCCTTCCAAGGTTAATCTGATGGATTGGCTAAATGTATACATTGTCTTAAGCGATAAGCTTTTGCTCTCATCACATTTACAAATCTGGGCTCTCCCAAAAGAGGATATTGAGACAAACGCACATGTACAAACCCGACTTGGTTTGAAAGCTTCTGCACTGCGGGTACCCAAAGAAGATGTAGTCTGGGCGCTATGAGATACAGCGGCCTAATATAGGTAAGCTCTATTCTTCGGTTATCATCAAGGATCTTGAGAAAGTAGTATCTTACTAGTACTATTTATCCACACTAGATGACCTTTGGTTATATAGTCATACTGGCAGCTATCTACGTAGTCGATTTAGACAATCTTTCCAATATGTTAAAACATGCAGAATATGAGGCGGTCAGGTCCTAGTGGACCGCCTCGCTGCTTCCATTCTGGGTAGCTGGATGGCAAGTGGTACACCTGTTTCCCGTGCTTGGAATTTTCGTCTGGACTCTTGTTTCTCTCAACAACGCGTCGAGTTGCACAAAATCCCTCACATTTCGGATCACTACGTTAGTTATCACTCTCATCTCTATGGGTATCTATCAAGATAACTGACCTGCATGCAGCCAAGATGCGAATGAATCTTCTCTTAGCAGGGCTTTTCCTGCTGCTGGCTACTACCATAGCCAGTGTCCCCACAATCGAGATCAAAGCAAGTATTTCTACACTGCTAAACGAATGTAAGCTAACATGTCAATTTTCAGGGATCCAAGTTCTTCTACGCAAACAATGGATCACAATTGTGAGTTGAGAGACTAGTAAATGATTTCAACTGCTAATCCTGCGACCAGTTACATCCGTGGCGTTGCTTATCAGGGTATGCATCTCAGAGGGTATAGCTGTTTTCATGGTCCTATACTGACAACTTTCTAGAAGACTACAATGCTGGAGGAGCCGATGGTACTGGTCAGTCAAACGGTGTCCATTACACTGATCCTCTGGCGGATGGTTCGCACTGCGATCGCGACATCCCCTACCTCCAACAACTTCGGACCAATGTCATACGGACTTACGCTGTTGACCCGACTAAAGGCCACGATACTTGTATGAAGAAATTGGCCGATGCAGGAATTTATGTTATTGCCGATCTCTCGTCTCCTCGATTGTCGATTGTCTCCAACTCCCCATCTTGGACCGTTGAGCTGTACGATCGATACACTGCCGTGATTGATGCCTTCCACCAGTATGACAATGTCATTGGGTTCTTTGCCGGCAACGAGGTTGTGGACAAAGTAAATCAGACAATGGGCTCGGCATTTGTCAAAGCAGCGGTGCGCGACATGAAAGCTTATATCAAAGCGAAGGGATACAGGAAGTCATTGGGCTTTGGTTACGCAACTACCGATCAGCCAGATTTTCGTAATGCTCTGACCGACTACCTCAGCTGTGGAGACCAGTCTGCCTCGATTGACTTCTTCGGTTACAATATCTATGAGTGGTGTGGAGACAACACGTTCCAGGGCTCCGGTTACAAAAACCTCACCGAGCAGTACAAGGATTACCCACTCCCGGTATTCTTCTCTGAATATGGATGCAATACGATCAGACCTCGCAAGTTTGGTGACGTCTCTGCGATATTCGGACCAGACATGGAAAATGTTTGGAGCGGTGGCATTGTCTACATGTACTTTCAAACTGCCAACAACTATGGGCTCGTCTCTGTCGACGGTGACTCTGTCAGTACTCAGCAAGACTTCAACTATTATTCAAAGGCAATGGAAAGTGCCACTCCCAGCGGTGTCAACAGCGGCAGCTACACACCCACAAACTCCCCGTGGGCCTGTCCTACTGTTGATGAAAAGTGGTTGGCAAAGCCAAGTCCCCTACCACCTTCTCCGAACAAAGAATTGTGTTCCTGCATGGTGAGCAGTCTTTCGTGTGTAGCCAGTCAATCTCTGCATGCAGACCAATACGGTGATTTGTTTGGTACAGTCTGTGGAAGTGACAAGAGTGCCTGTGATGGAATTTCCCAGAACGCAACCGCAGGCCAGTATGGTGCTTACGGTATATGTGCCAACAAGGACAAACTTTCCTACGTCTTTGACCGCTACTACCAGGGGCAAAAGAAGGAACAGTCGGCCTGCGATTTCAAAGGGGCAGCGTCAATTCAGTCTGCCAGGGATCTATCTGGAAGCTGCAAGTCGCTTCTCAGCCAGGCTGGTGTATCTGGCACAGGGCATGTTCCGGCAGTCACAGCATCCCCATCCAAGGGAGAATGTGCATATCAGAAGAAACTATTGGGTGATCATCTCGAGATCCTCTTGCTTTGGTTTGTAGGTCCGTTCCTCATTCAAGGATTCCTTTGTCACTTCACCATATTGGGAAGGTACTTGAACTAGCAATGGAAAGTGGGGTTTCTATCGGAGGGATGTTCTGGTGATGAATTACCAGGTGGATTCCATTCTACTCAATATTCATTAGTCGCAAGAAGAATAGCTTACTGGATACCACAATGTCTGCAGCAATGGCTTTATCCATGAAAAACAATATTATCTTAGAAATAGGTCATCTGTAGTGCTCGATCTTAAGTAGTATCATATATTAGACCATCCTATGTATGTTCATGTTTGATTACTTACTTGGCAGACTGAGCAGATCGCTTGCTAGACACCAAGGTAGAACTATTGGATTGAGGATCATAAAGCTTCCTTATCACAATCTTTCTTTTTGACCACGACCTCATATATCTCTTGCAATTCAAAATCGTCTGTCGGGGAGTCTCGTTGCGGAGGCTGGTCGGACGGGTTTCTGATTGATATCGCGGGTGTCTCATTGACAGGGCTGTATATTGATAGCTAATAGTAACTAGAAAGTCTTTATTTTGAAAATATCTCGCCCTACACTCATTACCATACCTATCGGTCGAAACCCGGTAAACTGCCGAGATATAGATATGCTTAGTAATCGGTATTTCCCGCGCCCCACGTGGGGCCTGAGACCGGGGACAATTTTTTTACAAAAAAAATTGCAGATCTCACCCACGCCCACATCCCATCGCATTCCCTTCTTTGAACACTTTCTCTCGTTTCAGGCATCAAGTCAAACACCGCAAAAATGGGCAACGTAAGAAGGAATCCCCCATCCAAATGACACTCCATTCTGATCTCTTTGTTTTGGCCCCTCACGCGCACTGAACTAACAATACTCGATAGGGAGCCAAGGCTAACATGAAGCGCGAGCGCAACGCGAAGGACACCAAGACCGCCAAGTCGCAGACCAAGAGTGTACGTCAACATCGTCTCCAAGGACCAGACTGTCTCTTCCAGTCGCTGACCCACATTCTTATCTAGAACGAGAAGGCCATGAACATCCAGTGCCAGGTCTGCAGACAGACTTTCCTCCAAACCACCAAGGCCCCTGCGTGCGTGATCCCACACTGCGATTTCTTCATCTTCGTTTCTATCGATCTATATGGGTTTCCTTGCTGACACGCGACTATAGCCTCCTCGAGCATGCCTCCAACAAGCATAACAAGGGTCTTGCTGACTGTTTCCCCGGTGTCAGCGCATGAACAACCACTTCGGCGGAACTGAAACTATTTTCTTTACGATATCACGGGTTAGCATGGCTTTAGGAGTTTTGAAAGCGAAAACATCTAGGAACTGGACTTGGAAGAGCGGACACTCTACGTAGCTACCTACGTAGGTATGGGGGAGGAGATCTTCATGGGGTGTACATGCACGCAGTGGTGGTGTGAACCCCATATGATTATAGATGCAGTCGACTATACATATGATCTTTCTCTCCCTCCATGCTCATGAATTTTTCCTGGAGTAGTAACGGAATGGAGAACCTTTCCCGATCAAGATCTACACTTGCGGGGTCTCCGCCTCAGAACCCTATTAGTATATGCCTAATATGAAACGTGGCGTCCGATATTTCTTCGGAGATGACAGGAGAACTACGTCTGATTGCTTTTGCATTGAATTGTCATAATCATTTGCACGAGTTTACCTCGCACACGAGCAGAAGCGAGAAACTTGATCCTAGTTGGATGAGGAATTGCGACCAATGTCGTACTGAACACAAAAAAGGCTATCATTTGTTGGAGGAAGGGATAAAAAAATTGAATTTCAATGCCAGTATGTGAACATGAATATGAAACTATAGAGAACCGACAGATAACTCTTTTGATCCGAGGTATAGAAGTAAAATCCATATGCACACCCATGTGGTCCTGCGCATAAACCAATCAACCAGTCAATATTGCTGTGTGATCTGCAGCGTAATTAATACTACGCTTGCCCAGACAGGGTGCCCGATAATTGGCCGAATCCAGGAAATTGAACACGTAGATCTTGTCCATCTACAGCATTTCAGTCAGAAGGATCTTTGGCATCTCGGGTTCGGTTTCGGGAGACCATGGCAGATTAATTAGGCCCTAAACACATATAAGAGGTGAGGGGACCGTCTGACTTCAAGACCCTCCAAGAACTACAACCTTATTAGAATGAGGTACTTTCCGCAACTTTTGGGGCTCGCCTCCGCTATTGGCGTTGGCAGTGCTTTGAATCCGGGTGTCTCGACAGGCACTTCCATCGCTACCTCGTTAGGGTCATATAATCTCACAGCTGGTGCTACTTGTGCTTGCAACAAGCTTTCTACGTTGTACCCAACGCAATACATTTCTCCCAGCTCACCAAACTACAACGAACAGGCAACAAACTACTGGGACGTCCGAGCCGACTTGAGCCCAGCTTGCATCTTTACGCCCAAGACTGCCGATCAAGTCGCTTCTGCCGTTGAGATTTTCGTTCAATGCGATTCCCAATTTGCTGTCCGTGGAGGTGGACATATGAATGCAAGCATCACCTTGTTGCGCTTAGACAAACGGATCTAATACGGAATATACAGGTTCCAGGTTCAAATAGCATTGACGGCGGTGTCCTTTTGGCGTTCGATGAAATGACCAGCTACAAAGTCAACAAGGAAACAATTGAGGTACAACCGGGAATGACCTGGTATGATGTGTACTCAGCGCTTGACCCGTACGGGCGGACGGCTATTGGTGGTCGTCTGAAAACTATCGGAGTACCAGGTCTCACTCTCATCGGCGGAGTATCTTATTATATCAACAAATACGGCTTTGCTATGGATAACGTCGCCAGTTACGATATAGTACTTGGAAATGGCACTCTGACAACTGCGAGCGCTATAACAAACCCGGACCTATTCTGGGCATTGAAGGGAGGTGCTAACAACTATGGAATTGTGACAAAATTTACTTTCAAGACATATTCTATGCCGCAGATCAGCACCACTATCCAAATTTTTAACGAGACCTCGACGCCTGCTTTCAGTCAGGCTATTTGCGACTGGGCAGTCGGTAATAGCGATAGCCCTGTCGCTGCTGGCTCCGTGATTACGATGACCTACAACACGACTACGAAACAGATGTCTTCCAGTCTCCTTGGTGTCCAAGCCGGGATCAGTAATCCGCCATCTGAGTTTAGGAACTTTACTGCTATTCCTGGAGTTTCTAAGACTCATAATATTACGACTGGGAAGCAATGGGCATCTAACCTGGACACTCCTAAACAGATGTTCCGGTGAGTTGTGTTGGATACCTGACAAAATTCACGTCCTTCATGTCTGATCATAGCTACATTCCTTGACAGAGTCATGTTTTCACACCATTCGATGACACCCAACGCTGATGTCTTTACAACCATGATCGAGACATGGAAAAATGCTGTTAAAGATATTGCCGACGTCAAAAGTCTCCGCCCTACGTTCGTGGCCAACATATCCCCAGCGAGCGCCGCGAGGGTTGCGAAGACCAATGGCATTGGCAATGTGTGGGGTCTTGAAGATGAAGCTTTGATATGTATGACACCCCCTACGCTTTTGTTCTTAAGACTATATCTTGAACAGATCATACTTACCATTGCCTGATAGGGTGGCAACTTAGCACTAGTTGGGAATTGCCTCAAGACGACCTCCGAGTGCAATCGTGGGCCCGTCGTTTGACCGAACACCTTCACGAATCGAACAAACAGAATGGCCTCGCCAGGGAATTTGTCTATATGGGCGACGCAGGCGAGTGGCAAGATCCCTTTGTCGGATTTGCGCCTGCCAATGTCCAGCGAATGAAAGACATCAGAGCAGCCTATGATCCCAACGGAACTTTTTCGAGGCTGAACTGGGGTGGGTTCAAGCTTGGCTACTGATGAGGCCTTGAGAATTGTTCCCTGCTAGTGGGCCTATTGTGAGCCATTGAGTTGAGCACACACACATGGGCATGAGATCAAGACTTTTACTTCCACCTAAAGAGATAATAATACAATTCACCCATGGAACAAGATGGATCTATCACCTGCATAAGCGGGACTTTGTTGTCGTAAAAACTTCAACGCAAATATATTCAGATGTTGACATGGAAGACATCTCCAGTCAGAGACAAATTTATCTGGCGGTAAAACCACCATCCACTCTAATATCCGCGCCATTGATCATGCCACTAGAATCCTATTGAAAAAAGTCAAATCAAGAGACATGTTTCGCCAAGCCGGGGAAACATACCTGACAAAGAAATAGCACAGAATCAGCAACTTCCTCCGGAAGCGCAAACTTGCCCGTCGGTATACTCGCCAAGAAAGCCTTCCGGACATTCTCCTCCCCCAAGCCTTCCTTCCAAGCTCAGTCCAAGCCACTGTCGGGGACACAGTGTTAGCTGTGATACCCCGACCAGCCCACTCAGACGCCATACTGCGCGTCAAACCCAAAAGCCCAGCTTTCGAGGCACAGTATGCGCCATGTCGATGCAGCGCGGCATGTGCCGCCTGAGATGAAATGCTGACGATTCTTCCCGGTGGTGGAGGGCTCGGGGATGATTCGGCCGCCTCAGATGCGGCGAAATAGAGTCGAGCAAATGCTTGAGAGCAGAGCATCGGGCCATAGATATTAGTGGTGAGATGTTTCAGTGTTTCTTCGGGGGGGTGTTATCTCCATATCGCTGAGAGATACATATCCGGCAGTGTTGATCAGGATACTGGGGAAGGCTTTTTGAGACGCAGAGGAGGCTGAGTCGATTAATTGTTTCTCTAGAGAGTCGAAGGCCGTCTGCACGGAGTCTGGTGAGGTGATGTCGCATTCATAGGTGTGGATGTCATCTAAATTACCGCTCGCGCCGTACCCAGATTCGAGAAGCTCATCGCGACGTGCAGCTTCGAATGGTGCGTACAGGATGGCAAGACGGGCACCCTGTTGTCTCAGCTTTTGGCCAATGCTTGATCCAAGGCCACCTGTGGAGATGTTAGCTTATGTCCTGGTAGTGTTTATTTCATGTTTGTACCAAGGCCGCCAGGCATGATGGCCAATCTACGTGCGAATGCCATTGTGTCCAGACTTTTTTGGAAGAAGTGACGGAATATCTACGAGGAAGCTGTTCAAAATGAAGCAAATGGTAAGAACTGCGAGCTGTCGGACATTCTCCGTTGAGGGGAAGCCGAACGCTTTGGGGAATGATCGTCCTCGTATCCCCCCCGCATATCAGATTGACAGTCACAGGGCTGAGGAAGCCCTAGAGGGTAGAGAATTGTATCAAAGGTTAAACATAGAAATTGTATCAAAGGTCAAACATAGAAAGGTTACTTGCGCAGAGTATACTTTTCCCGCCTTTTTCTGCATTCTACCCAAGAACATTGAAAAGGCTGGTTTGAAGATATTTGAGATGCTCGCTGAAAAGACCTGTAAAACATCACGAGGCCGCATAAACCTCCGCAAAGCCCATTGAGCATTCTACACATACGAAGACGTAAATCTACGTCCAAGTAAAGTAAATTCATATTGGGGTTGGAATATGTGCCTTCATTTTGCACGACCTGGGGTGATTTTCACCTTGGACGGACCCTATCTATACAACGATTCGCATTGTACTCATAATGTTTTCCCTCATGTAATCTAGCACATACGACCATAGGGTGTGGAAAACAGGGCTTCCCGTCCGCTCAGCCGTACTTAAGCCACACGCCGGTGAGTTAGTAGTTGGGTGGGTGACCACCAGCGAATCCTCACTGTTGTATGTTTCTTTTTTTATCTTTCCTCAAGTTCAAGGATTATTCGACCTCTGGGAACCCTAGCTTCCGGACAATGTTGAGCAAAACATATCATGGCGTACTAGTGGCAACCACGCAGTCTTTCAGCATTTTCAATAACTTTTGATTTATCAGTTCAAAAAGCTATCTCGAAATTTGAAGACTCGAGGAGTTCGGAGGTAATCATGGATAATAATATATAAGTAAAAGTAAGTGTGGTGCTAGAATCATATAATATAACTACCTACCACTCGTGTGTCCACGTATTATAGGGTCCCTAAACAGCGATAGTAGCTCGATATAAGGTACATATTCTAACTAGGGACATTCTATAGTAGTTCCGAAGTCTAATTGTCATGGATAAAGAATTCATGTAAATTATGGTTTGATATGTATATTGGTCATGGGCATATCAGAGCATGGGCTCTGATATAATGGTCTTTTGGCCGAGTGGGAGAATGTGCGTCCAGGCATATCCTTCACACTAATATAGTCACAGCTCTAGTCCCCCTTTGATATTCAACGTTGTGCTTTCTAGTATTGGGCATATAGATTAATAGAGACCGAAGAATGTGGATGACTTTCTTATATTCCTTATAGATGCAGGTTCGCTTGTGGTTACTAAGTTCGTCCTAAGTGAGGATCTATCTATCCTTATAGGGGAGGATAAGCGCCCTTCTATTAGGGAAAAAAACTTAAGTATATTGTATTCCTAGTAGGTATTATCTTCGCGAAGACATCGTAACCACTAGGTCGTGAGTCTAACAGACACTTATAGATAGTATATTCCGTATTCGACCTACATAAATATATATAGTGAGATAAGGACTAGGATATTAGCAATCGGAAAGGTACTTACGCCCGATCATATCTGGGACTCTAGCACTTCACGATATGCTATGTTCCTTGGTGTTTAACCTCAAAGAGAACCTTATCTGTTTGGCTAGGGGGCGAAATCCTCCGGGACACGTTTAAGATAGAAAGCACCCTTCCTGGTGGCTGAGAATGATTGTATTCGGGGTAACGTTCACGTTCAGCCCGGTCACTAGACTGCCCTTAGCCGCATGTTCTCTGAGCCCAGAAGGGCGGAGAGAAGCCTGTAGACCATCTTGACCTCGAAGCTGACATTCATGTTAGCGGAAATATGCCAGCACCCTAGAATATAACTTGCTAGCTCTACCCTGAAGCCTTCACCCTCGATGTAGTCATGGCCCTGTTCAGCAAGGATACAGAACCCCGTAAAACACTGCCGAAGAGACAAATTCGTATCCCGGTCTCGAATCGGTGGGGAGACACAGAAGGCGAAGTCATATGTCCGCTTGACGAATACTGTCCCCTGATATGTCGACAGAAAGCCGTAGCGCAGCGCGAATTTCCTCATCTGCGCGTAGTTCGGGCACGGACGCGGCTATTTCCGTCTGGGCGTTGCCCAGGTGGAGATCAGTGCTGAGACTAATCTCGTAATCGCCGGCAAGGCTTAAGGGTATGAACTAAGATGGCCAGAACGAAAGCTAGTTGTCTACTTGCTCCTGGGGTCGAGTGGACAAAGTGAAGCTTATTGAGGATTAAAAATATGAAACAGTCAGCCATCATGGGCCTCATATTCATTTCGCAAATTCATCTGATGTAAGAGCATTCTGTACTGCAAAATTCCTGCGTATCCAATATGATGCCTTGGCCGGAGTAAAGTATATTTTTTCTGAGAAGCTCCTCGAATCCCGAATCTGACCCATTTGAAGTAAAGTCCCCTACTCATACCTGTGTCTAAATTGTTATTGAAGTATAATTTTAGTGTGCGTGGTTTTCTTCCATTATGAGGGGATGGGAGTTAATGATAGGGCGGGAATTCGAGAATAGGTCCGGGCCCACCTACCGTTGTTCTTTCTATTCAGACTAGAATAGGACAAAATACAAAGCCTAGCCAGTGAGACTATACCGCCGCCAAGTCTGGTTGGGGAATCTGGGTTTTTAGCTAGTGATAGGCGCGTTGGGTACAGACAATGTAGATCAAAGCACATCGTTACTCCCACTGTTTATGCACGCGAGACTAAGGCTGAGTGTTGATCACCAGAGCCTGATAATCCCGCAATCCTCTTAGTGTTGACTCCGCTTTGAAATCGTAAATCAAACCCACCTGTGACCGAAGGTCAATAATATCCCGAATATGCCCATGATATCATAGCCATATTTGAGATTTGATTGACTGAAAATGATAGCGAATGTTGCCGTTTGATCACCCTATATATTTTTGTTCATTTCGAAGTATAAAGAATAGTTGCGTACCGCAGATTTGAAGTATTAATGAAAGCTGTTCACAATTGACAGTAATCCTACACGCACCAGGCAAAGGCCCATCTTTTTCTTTGCTGGCAGGTGGTTCGTCTAATGTGTAGAATGTTCCTGATTTAGGGTTTGTCTGTGTTTAGTCGGGTCAGCGTGCCCATTCGAATAGTTATTTATATTATCCACTGGCCCGTGATACTCAGCTTCCCATATTTAGCGAAAGTCTACTAATAATTACTTCTAAATCTTCTGTTTCTTTACTCCACTTATCATCATGGATTCTGTCAAGAAGAATATTTATAAGGTGAAGGGCAACGACAAAGATTGCGGAAGACAAAATGCATTGTGAGTGATTTCTAAAGGTATTGTACTGGGCCAAGGCTTTGAAACCAGGCGTTCTAGAATTCTGCCAATGAAAAAGAAACTGGCCAGCGAGTTCGTCCTCAAGGCACGGCCCTTTGTTTCAGAGCAGGTGATCAGTCTCACTCAGCGGCAATACTTGGAAGGAATGCGAAGCATTAGATACAAGATCATCCGCTCTAATTAGGTGTACATGAAAAACCAGTATATTTATTAAAAATCATCCAACAAGAGCGATCAAGCTACCATCCTGGCCATATATTCTAGGGTATACTCATCTGGGTCCCAACACAGGAGCCTTGTCTCATTCTCCTGGAGCTTCAAATCCACATATTTATCCATGATTTCCTTTTCTTCAGGTTCCAATAGATGAAGTCTTTTCTTCCATACATCGCATATATTGTCGTCAGATGTATCGGACCCGAAGAATCGCTGATCGATCTTGTTCCAATAGATGGCGTCGAAGGCAAAATTGTTCCTTGCAGCATACATAATCCAAAAGTCTCCGCTCTCCCAGCTATATCGCATCCGACTAGATAGTCGCTGACTTTCTTCGAGTCGTTCGTTCCGAGTCTGGTACACATCCTCTTCGCAATCCACCATTGCCTGAAGGAAGACCTCAAGCCGGTTCTTATACACTGCGCACCAGTCATCAAGACCTTTGGTCCAATATTCCGGCTTTTCGAGAAGAAGCCACCAGGGTGGAGCATGAGTAAACTCAACTGGGGCGGTATATGTGAACTCCCAATCCACCACCCCAACGACTTTTTCAGCTGTATCAACCATAACATTCTGTGGTCGAAAGTCGTCGCACCAAACTGGAAATGGGCCATGCTCATAAGACACCCATTTGTCCCTAAGCTCCGGATCTCGAACAAGTTTCCGAAATAAAAATCGAGCAACAAACTTACGCCGGCAGTCATCGGCCGAGTCTATAGCATCGTTCCTTTGGTGTTTTAGGTGTGAAATATGTAGCTCTGCTAGGGCTTCAAAGTACAAAGACGCTCTATCGTACACTGCGGTGGGGAGTTTCGATCGAGGTAGCGTCCCTAGACGCACAATTTCATTCATAGAAATGGACAATGGTCGATATGCCACCTCCCACGCTGATTTGCCGGTCTGTTTCAGAGACCCAATCCGGTTTGCAGAGAGTGTAGATAGAGAAAAGACAATATTGGCTAGTTCTCTATATAGAGCCTTTAGCTTTATTGTGCTGATATCCAAATTTAGTTCTGGACGCTGTTTTGGTAGGCGTCCTGGCGTTTCGAGAAGACTAGACATGCTTCTCTCGTGGTCAATATAGCCCATGATTATAAAGGGACCCAAATTTGAGGGGCTCTCATTTCTCTCTCCCCAGCGGGAGACTATAGGAACTGGAATCGGCATTGTTTGTGAAGTTCTTTCCGTGATGAAGCGCATGATAGAGGCCTCATTGCGAACTTTTTCCTCGGGAAACATATGAACGCCAAGTAGTGGCAGTCTTAAAAGAGCGCCGCTAGTATCGGTATCGGTGAATGTCATAAGGAAGCTAGCGTTGAAACCGCCAGATTTGAAAAACTTGAAATCAGCCCATTGGCGAGGGCTATGATATTCAGCGAGAAAAATTCCAATCTCATTGTAGATATCTTCATCGAAGAGAAGATCTAGCCAGGAGTCTTCAATCTGGTCGCTTTTTTCCCAGGCAGCATCATCGAAGGGCATGCGCGGTTTCATCTTACCAAAGCGACAAAACGAAATTTAAATGTCGAAGAAACATGCAGAGTTGTTGGGGTGAATGTCTCGATGAAGTAAGGAAGTTGACTAGGTACCAAGAGAATAGGGGGAACCAGCCGATTAGGTAGCAAAATATGCGATCGGAATAATGTAGACCCGAATGACTTCTTATATATACTCTAAATTATTTTTTTTAACTATGGTGAGAAAATCACTTCTAGGGGGGGAGAGTATTTATTATAACTTATGACTGTGGTTAGAAAAGCTCTTCTAGGAGGGTGAATAAAACATTTTTAGGGATCTTCTAGGGGAGTGGGTTATAGTTAGAGCTTATATAGCTAATTATATAATATTACAGCTTATACCTTTTAATCTATCTACTTTACTATAGGACTAAGGTATTTACTATTTATATACCCTTCTCTTATAAGTATATACTCTCTCTATCTCTCCCCCTTACCTCTATAGTATTCCCCTTTTTAGTTACAATATCCTAAAGCTAGTATTCTAACTTTTTACTGTCATGGATAAAGCATTCATGTAATTATGGTTTGATATATATATTGATATATATCTGTGTTTTTTAGGAAAGCACATCCACTCTTTTATAAGCTTCTGTAAATTTAGAAATTTCTGAATCAACTGAATCAACGTGTTTCTTTGTATATTTCCACAGGATATAGAGAGAACCCTAGTTAGTGACTGATATTCAATTATTAAAATCAATAAAGTATTACCCTAGGGATTAGGGTGAGAAATGTACTTATAACAGAGGTAATGTAATTAACCTTAAAAGTGGGTTTCAACTTCTATGATTGCATTGTTTGGGGCCTATGGCCCATTGATAAGCCTGAGGACCGGGCCTAAAACTCAAACCATTTGCGGGTTGGGTAGGGCTGGGCTTTGGCCTTAATGGACCCTGTGGAGGTCTAAGGCCGCATAAGCGGCCGTTTACTCTGGTAAAAATTGCTTTGATGACTACTCAATAGGCAAGTCCTATTACAAGATTACTAGACTAATTCAATTGATCGGATCCTCCATATCAGAGATCAATTGCATCAACATCCCATTTTCCCGGCATCTATTCACTCAAGCCCCATTTACCTGTCCTTTTTCTCTCCTGCATGAATATCAACATCATCCAACACAGCCTGATTCTCCTTTGCTGCCGCAACCCGAATTCTCTTGAGCTTTCTTGTATCAACATCAACACGCCAAGTAAAAGCCCAAGTAATGAGGTTCATAATGATAGCCATACCAACAAATCCCATCGCAATTCCAAAGGAGGTTGTATATCTTGGGGCAAACCTAGAATTGAATAATTGAGATCCTACGGCCCCTCCAATCTGGCCGTAACTATTCGCAAATGCGATTGCAAAAGCAGATCCCGTTGCTCCCTCAGTGGTCTGGACTCGCCACGGCCACATCATTGTATACCTGGTTTGTCTTAGCATGATGTATTGAAGCAATATAGGATACCTTGGCAAGAGTGTACTCACCATGCAGTCGAGAAACCTCCTGCTACAATCGTCGCAGCGTATACACCACCGTTGTTTGGGAAGGCATACAGCACGCCATAGCACGCTAGAATAACAACCATGAATCCAAGTGGGATGGCCGGTTGGGGAATACGTCCGGTATCTGCGAAGATACCGAATGCCACAGTCAATATTACCGCAAAGACCGCAGACGGAATATTTAGTAGCTGGGCTTCACCCATAGATCTTTGAGACTTGTCAGCAACTGCACTCTACCCTTCAAGTGGGTGTCACTCACGTAAATCCAAGATTAGAAATGACAGTTGGTTGGTAGAACGAAAGTCCCGTCGTACCAATAGTAAAGAATGCCCAACAGAAGAGGAAAAGCCAGATTCGCTTGTTCTTCAATGTTGTGATAAGTTCGCGCAAATTGAAGTTAGCCTCCGCCGCTCGAGGCGAGTTACTAGGTAGGCGAGCTTGGGTGAAGGCTTTCTCCTTTTCAGATAACCAGGATGCAGTTGAAGGGACTGCGGAATAATCAGTTATGCCTGGCATTTGAAAGCAGGTTGACCTACAATCAGGTAAGAAGAAATATGTAAAGATTCCCAGTAAGACCGTGAAGATTCCTTCCGTCAAAATAAGCCTAAGAGGCAACATTAGCGTATGCTTCATTTTTTTGGGATCAAATCGAAATACCATTTCCATCCAGATAGACCACCAGCAATGACACCATTGAACGCAAATGCAAGGACACCACTGATCACAGTACTAAAGTTCCCTAGTATAGTCACAAGAACTATCCTTGGAGCAACTTCGTCTGGTCTATACCAATAGCATAGCTGTAAGAGCATTCCTGGCCACAGGCCGGCCTCAAATAGTCCGAGGAAGAATCGAACGACATATAGACCCTGTCTGTTTGTCACGGCTGCATGACAACAGAGAACAACACCCCAAGATACCTATCATTGTCAGTGCCAACGCAGTCAGAGGTAGAATAGCTTCATCTACCATAATCCGAGCTTGCCAAATTGAGGGTCGTACACCCTTCAACAAAAGGTTGGATGGGGCTTCTGCAATAATGTAAGGGACCTGCAGGGAATGAGTCAGTACAAGTAACCCTTTTGGCTCGACTCATCTCACATAATACATAGTCGTAACCAGATTATACTGGTCGGAAGTCATTTTCAATTCGGTCATGATGTTCTGGGGTGTGCCTTTGTCCATAATGCGGGCATAGGAGACCTAAAATATTGCGATCAGTAATCTTCCACCAGCACGCTCCAGGAGAATCTTACATTGCTGAAATCCACGCTTTTCAACATGTACATGACCGCCAATAGTGGAATTAGATGCCAATCAATGCGTCGCAAAAGCTTCTTTTCCTCTGCGCTACTGAGCGTCGCACGTGCTCGCATCAGGGTAGCATCATAACCGGGGATGAGATCTTCTTCAAAAGACTGCGGAGTATCGTCACCATTGCGGTTGACATAGTGTACAGTTTCTTTCGCCGGTATTGGTGTTCGGACGGGAGAGATATCAATAGTCCCAACTTGGCCCTTTTCTGCTATCTCCGAAGACATAGTGGTTACCGATCAGTGTCCTTTGTACCCGGCGCAGGCAAGAAAGGTACTTCTCTAACAATTGAGATGACCTAAAAGGGATAATCAGTCCATTATATGGACTTCCAACATTTCTTGCACCTCGCGTTCTCAAAAGCACCAGCAGTTATCTCCTGTATGAATCACGCAAGATGAGCAAGGAACACTTGCCATGGCGTGCCTGCAAGGGTTTACCTAGCGTATCATACTGAGTTGTTGGATGCATTTGCCAATCTGAATTGGGATGAAAGCCTCACCTGACGTGAGCTGAAGATACACCTCGATTTACAAAGGAGGATTTGGCCTGCAGTCCATCATATAATCCAAAAACTTGGGCAATCTGTGAACAATCTCCCATGAGGAAACGTCCAGATGAGTTCCCTAGCATCTGATAATAGACTATCAGCAATGGATAGTGACGTTTGTCATTTGACAATATCAATTACATCCGTCTGCTTCTACACAGCACACACTCAAATTCGGATAACGCTTCAAGGTCGACAGAGCACGCGATAATTACGCCATGCTCGGCAAATTCATGGCTGGGAAGCAAACTTTACAAAATGAATTTGCCGATCAAAGATGCTGCATCTTGCCAATTCATTAAACAAAGGTAGTTGAAAAGAATCGAGTGCCATATAGTCCAGAGAGCTACGAGTATACGCCATTGCGGGGAGATAATCCCTCATCGGCCCCCATTTCACTTCATCTCTTCCCAGGAGTCAACAAAATACCTCCCCAGTCCCCTTTGTCGCCCTTTGATAATCCAAGGAAGATGAGGGCAAATTACTTTTCCGCTGTCGCATTTCTGGCGAGAGTGACGCTGGCGTCAGAAAGCCAACAACTCCTAGGTGGAAAGGTGGTCCACGAGAACGTGAAATCCCCAAGCGAGGAATTGAGCAAGATTATCGATGAATCTCCTTTCTTGTCATTCCACAGAGATATCGTGCAAATTCCATCAATTAGTGAACATGAGCGAAGCGTGGGAAACTTTCTCTTGGACTTCATTCGTTCACATAACCTAACGGTCGAGAAACAAATAATCACCCCGGAGAGTGACACTGAACAAGAAAGATTCAACATCTATGCCTACACTGGGGAAAATAGATTTCCCTCGGTTCTTCTAACCAGTCACATCGATACTGTCCCGCCATTCATTCCTTACTCGCTTCATCCACCAGCCTTGAATAACACGGAGAATTGGACATTCAATCGGTCAGACCTCGTTATCGCTGGCCGCGGAACTGTGGATGCAAAAGCCAGTGTCGCAGCCATTCTATTTGCTGCACTGGAAACACTGGAAGGCAACCCTGACGCCTCGATCGGGCTGTTGTTTGATGTTGGCGAGGAGAAAAGTGGCGTTGGAATGAAACATTTCTCAAACTCCGATCTCAACCCAGTACCACCTACCTTCCACACAGTCATATTCGGGGAGCCAACAGAGCTTAAGCTTGTCGCCGGGCATAAAGGTACTCTTGGGTTCAAGATTGTCGCGAATGGAAAGCCCGCGCATTCGGGATACCCATGGCTCGGGAAAAGCGCGATCTCTTCGCTTCTTCCTGTTTTGTCCTACCTTGATTCCCTGCAAGACATCCCGCCAGAGAAAGGTGGACTTCTCCGTAGTGAGAAGTTTGGTCAATCGACTTTGAATATTGGGGTTGTGCGCGCTGGCTTAGCTGCCAATGTCATTCCTGCATATGCCGAGGCGACAGTTTCCGTTCGTCTGGCGGCTGGGAGTCCAGATGAAACGAGGGAAATTGTGAGGAAGGCGGTTGAAGAGGTGAAAGGTGGTGATGGAAGCGTCTATCTTGACTTCGGGAATACTGAGAACGGCGCTCCACCGCAACATCTTGATGTTGACGTCGACGGGTTTGACGTAACTACTGTCAACTACGGGACTGACATTCCTTCATTAAAGATCAATACTCAAGGAGGTCCAAAAGTGAAGCGGTATCTTTACGGCCCAGGGAGTATCCATGTGGCCCATGGCGATGACGAGGCGATCACCGTGGGAGAGCTTGAAGAGGCGGTGCGAGGATACAAAAGGCTGATCTCGGCCGCCCTGGATACCCACTAGACGTAGGCCTTCTTTTGGCTTGAGAATATACCAATGCTACATCAAAAATACGCTACGTTCCTGATCAATCTACTAGCCTACAAGCGGTTTGCTGACCAGGCCCACAAGACCCCAGACCACATCTGATCATCAATCGAGGAAGTCCTGGACACAGTAAGATGCCCATGAGCTGGACTCAAACACCCAGACCCCTTGCGACTGAGGCTTATGTGGTGAAGTTCAATCTCTGCTCGTGCTTCGGAGAGAGATATAAGTGAGCGATGAGATGAACGGTCCATCACAAACATCACTGCACGTATGCCTAGCGAGCCGCAGGACCTCAGCCCGGCTCAACATAGGAATGGTCTGGGAGCAAGCCTGTCAATAGCAAACCGCGGATCTATACCCCAGAGAGGCAGTTAGCAGCATCTGCCTTGAGATCAGATCTTCAAGGCACGACACCAAGCAGGGAGAGAAGAGGATGAAGCATGCATGTCCTTTCGCTGGTATTGTCCAGATCAAGTTCTAACGGTAATTTCTCAGAACAAGACTCGCGCTTTTGGAAGACCAAAAGCGCAAGACCTCGAACACCCGTCATGCGTGCTGCAGAAAACACACTTACCAAAACCATCCCTACATAGATCCGAGATTTCCGCCTTTACCGGTCCTCTTCTTGTAGTCCCAAGGACCCCCAAAAAGAGAGACGCGGCCGCATAATCTTCACTCTTTCAAAGAGTAGTCGTATCCACCGAAGCATTCTTTCTCTCCTCAGATCCAATAGAGTACTTTATCTCGGTCTCCGAGTCAACGATTTTAAGATGCCCAAACCAATCGCCATTGGACTTGCGCCACCACTCGACAATCGCGATGATAGTCACACCGCCCATGATCACAATCGCGTAGTTGAACAAAGTTGAATCCTCGTCAATTGCGCTGTCCGAGTAGGCCGGGGCGCACAGAACAGCAAAAGCAAACCCGTTCCACAAGAATGTAACAACGGCGGCGACTATGCCAAACCGGCCCAAATCCCAAAAGCCTGGACGGAACGACTTACGTGTAATGAACGAGCGGCCGATTCCAACCAATCCATATGCTGCGAGGGAACCTGCAGCCGAGGTAGAGATTAAGCTGGAGAAGGCCACTTGCGACGGGAGCTGAGTGCAGAGGAGAAGTGCAGCAATACCGGAGATGAGGATGACAGCGTTGTGGGGCTGCTTCGACTTCGACACACGCGACAGCACATCGCTGAACGGAAACACACCGTCGCGTGCCACGGCGAACACAAGTCGTGATACAGCAACCAATGAAATCGAAGTGTTGAGAATTGCTCCGACCATCGCGACAATGGTCATCACAACGTGCGCATGAGGACCGAGGGCCATCGCGTACATGTTGATGAACGGCTGGGGTACGCTAGTGTCGTAGAATGTCTCAATTGGAGGCATACAGAAAAGAAATAAGATGATGATCGGGAATCCACACAACGCAGACGCAACGGTTGCCCAGAATATACCCTTCGCGGCGGCCTTTTTGGCCGAAACCGTCTCTTCGGCGACATGGCCCGAAGCATCCTGACCCACGAGACAACTACCGACCAGATACCAGGATAAAACCCAGTTCAGTCCGGGACTGGTGTCCCCACCATTGTATGTAGACGTAAACACATATTCGGCGGACTGAAAGCCGTACGTGTTAGACACGCCGATGGGCAGCCAGATGAAGTTGAGTAGCATATCGATGATGATGACTGTCACACCCGCTCTGAATACCCAGGAGTACATTCGCGGAGGTAGGAAATTAAGTGTGGTAGCAATGGCCAGGAAAAGAAGCGAGATGGCCCATGCCACGGCACGCGCTCGGACGTCAGCCGTTTCATATGGAAAGCTTGTCTTTGGGTCAAACACGACGATCTCCGAAATCAGGTAGTTGGCAACACCGAACGAATCACTCGCGAGGAAGGCGGTCCAGGCCACCAATGTCCATGCGGCAACTAGGAAGGAGATGAAGCGGCCCAGTTTACCACCGCCCCAAGATCGGAATGCCCAGTAGTAAATCGACCCCGCGGCGGGGTAGCTTGAACAAGCTTCAGCGAGACAGGCGGCTGTGATGACGGACAGTATGCTACCGGAGACCCAGGAGCTCCAGCTGAGGGAGTTATTAGTAAAGTGATCAATGCAAACATGTGGGAAGTGCAGGCGGGAAATGTAGAACATACATGGCAGCCGGTCCGCCTCCACTGAGGGCGATATAGAAAAGCACACGGATTCCCCCAACACAGTTCAAAGCTGAGAAAGAGCAGGCGAAATTGTCGAAGGAGCCCCAGCCTCTGGCCAGGATAGACCGGTAGCCAAGCTTTAAGAGGTCGCGATCATCTTCATTAGTCACAGAAATCTCGTCGGAGTTCTGATGATGTTGGCTGTTTCGGAAGTCTTCCGTGGAGTTCTCTATATCGAGGGCAATAGCGTCAGAGCAGGTCATGGCTGTTTTTTTTTTCTACCTGAAAGACTTGCCACTTGACAACAATGGCTTTTTTTCTTTCTCGGAAATCAAAATATTCGATTAACTTTTCTTTTTTTCCCATCACGACATGATGTCACGTGGGGCGGTCAATTGCTTGAATGGATCCCGACACCGGGATTACTTGGGATCTTCTGAGTCATTCTTATTTTCAGTATTGAAAGAATCATGAAGAATTGAGCAGAAAATGGTGAAGCTATCGATTCTGTAAGTGGGGAATAGTTTGAGCTCTGAAGATGTACGGAGTACTTCATACTCCGTTTATAAATATGTATTAATATATGAGCTTTCGTTTTATGCGGGGGAGTCAATTGCCAACGTGTCATAAAGCCATGCATTTTTTTTATACCTCTACTGTTAGCTGTAGGCTTGACCGCTCATCAAGTAATTTATATTTCCTCCGTACAGCATACATGACCCTTACTGAAAACCAAAAAAGAAGCCAATAGTCAACAATTTGACATTTACAGCGAGACCTTATCGGTGTCTCAATGGCGTGATCATCCACAGGACCGATCACGGAGATCATGGGATATTGGTATTGGATGAAACCTGACAGTAACAGTAAATGACACAAACTACCAAATCCGCCCGAAACACCTAGATCCTATGCATCCTATGCACACAGGGTTACGCAAAGGTCCCACAGCAGAGTAATATATCCTGTATCATACGGTAATACTACCCCTCCAACTTGCATGGAGATCTAATCCCCATTGGGACGAAATCCCCTTTCGGATTAGCGGATGTTTCCTCCCCCTCCTTATTTCTTTCAGCGTTTCCCGGACCTTTTCCCCTTCTCTTCTCTCACTTTCTCAAAGGCATCGGATTTGTGAAAATTCTATCCTTGAGACTTCTTCTTTCTTTTTCCCTTTTCACATACCGTCAGAATGGTTCAATCGTACGTGGGCTCGACTATCAATGATTACTGAACTAGTTGCTGATTATTTGGACAGATCTATTCTGGGTTTCCCCCGCATGGGAAGACTCCGTGACCTCAAGAAGGCCACCGAGGCTTACTGGGCTGACAAGATCTCCCGCGATGACCTTCTCGCTGAGGGCAAGCGTCTTCGTCTGGAGCACTGGAAGATCCAGAAGGATGCCGGTGTCGATGTCATTCCCAGCAACGACTTCGCCTTCTACGATCAGGTCCTCGATCACCACCAGCTCTTCGGAACCATCCCCGAGCGTTACTCTAAGTACAACCTCCACGCTCTCGATGAGTACTTCGCTATGGGCCGTGGTCTGCAGAAGGAGGGCATTGATGTCCCCAGTTTGGTATGTGCAGATCATTACAATCCACCTATCCCACTTCAGTATGCTGACTCGATCAACAGGAAATGGTCAAGTGGTTCGACTCTAACTACCACTACGTGAAGCCTACTCTCCAGGACAACCAGCAGTTCAAGCTCGCTGCTGAGCCCAAGCCCGTCGCCGAGTTCCTCGAGGCCAAGGCCGCTGGCATCATCACCCGCCCCGTCATTCTTGGCCCCGTCTCCTTCTTGACCCTCGCCAAGGCCGACCGTGACCAGACCGTGGATCCCATCACTTTGCTTGAGAAGCTCCTTCCTCTTTACGTTGAGCTTCTGTCCAAGCTCAAGGCCGCCGGTGCCGAGGACGTCCAGATTGACGAGCCCGTCCTTGTCTTCGATCTTGCCGAGAAGTCCAAGGCTGCCTTCAAGCCCGCTTACGAGAAGCTTGGTGCCCTTGGTGCCGAGGGTCCCCGCATCACTCTGGCCACCTACTTCGGTGACGTCGTCCACAACATCGGTGTCCTTGCCGACCTCCAGAACCTCCACTCCATTCACATCGACCTGGTCCGCAACCCAGAGCAGCTTGACACCGTCGTCGCTGCTCTTGGCCCCAAGCAGGTCCTCTCCGCCGGTGTTGTCGATGGCCGTAACATCTGGAAGACCAACTTCAAGGCCGCCATCGAGAAGGTCGAGAACGCCATCCAGAAGCTCGGCAAGGACCGTGTCATTGTTGCCACATCCAGCTCCCTCCTCCATGTTCCCCACACTCTCGCCAGCGAGAAGACCCTTGATCCTGAGGTTCAGGACTGGTTCTCCTTCGCTGTTGAGAAGGCCGCTGAGGTTGTCGTGATCGCCAAGGCTGTCACCGAGGGCCCCGCCGCTGTCCGTGAGCAGCTCGAGGCAAACGCCAAGTCTGTTCAGGCCCGTGCCTCCTCTGCCCGCACCAACGACCCCGCCGTCAAGGCCCGCCAGGCCGCTGTCACCCCTGAGATGCACAACCGCAAGTCTGCCTTCCCCGAGCGTTACGCCGAGCAGACCAAGACTCTCAAGCTCCCTCTCTTCCCCACCACCACCATTGGTTCCTTCCCCCAGACCAAGGAGATCCGCATCCAGCGTAACAAGTTCACCAAGGGCGAGATTACTCCTCAGGAGTACGAGAAGTTCATTGAGAAGGAGATCCAAGAGGTCGTCAAGATCCAGGAGGAGCTCGACCTCGATGTCTTCGTCCACGGTGAGCCCGAGCGTAACGACATGGTGCAGTACTTCGGTGAGCGCCTCACTGGTTACGTCTTCACCACCCACGCCTGGGTTCAGTCTTACGGCTCCCGCTGTGTGCGCCCTCCCATCATTGTCGGTGATATCTCTCGTCCCGCTCCCATGACCGTCAAGGAGTCCAAGTACGCTGCCTCCATCTCCCCCAAGCCCATGAAGGGCATGCTCACTGGTCCCATCACTTGTCTCCGGTGGTCTTTCCCCCGTGACGATGTTCACCAGTCCGTCCAGGCTCAGCAGCTTGCTCTTGCTCTCCGCGACGAAGTTGTTGATCTCGAGGCCGCTGGCATTGCCGTGATCCAGGTCGACGAGCCTGCTCTCCGTGAGGGTCTTCCCCTCCGCACTGGTGAGGCTCGTGATGCCTACCTCAAGTGGGCTGTTGACTCCTTCAAGCTGTCCACCGCTGGTGTCACCGATGGCACTCAAATCCACTCCCACTTCTGTTACTCTGAGTTCCAGGACTTCTTCCATGCCATCGCCGCTCTTGATGCCGATGTTCTGTCCATTGAGAACAGCAAGTCCGATGCTAAGCTCCTCAAGGTCTTCATCGACGAGGCTTACCCCCGCCACATTGGCCCCGGTGTTTACGACATCCACTCCCCTCGTGTCCCCACTGAGCAGGAGATCAAGGATCGCATCGAAGAGATGCTGGCATACCTGACTCCCGAACAGTTGTGGTGCAACCCCGATTGGTTTGTGCCCTGCCACGAAATCTATTATTCTTTTGCAATTGGTGCTAACATGCTTCTTTTTTACAGTGGACTCAAGACTCGTGGCTGGCCCGAGACCAAGGCTGCTCTGACTGCGGTAAGAAGTGGCAATTTCCTTGAAAATGACGTTCAAAATGCTGATGAAACACGAATAGATGGTCAACGCTGCCAAGTACTTCCGCCAGAAGTACACTAAGTAAATTATTTAATTTACCATTAATTTAATGAGGAGGTGGCAATCAACCTGTCACCTCGGGACTGGGGAGTTTTCTTTTCTGATGAGTTACGACGATGATACCAAAAGTTCAACATATGGGTTTCAACGGGTTTTCTAGAGGATACCAAAAGCGGGCCTGGAGTTTCAACATGACTGACGATTTTAAGCTGGTGCTGGCCGATATCATGACCTACTTTCGTTGTGATATCCGGTTGATGCTAGTTTTACCATTTCAACATTGTGTGGTTTTTTCCACATACAGCAAGCTCTACAACCTTGCTTGATCAGATTCGCATTGTCGAATTTGATCTACTGTTTCTATTATCATGTAGAATCAGTTGTCAATATTATAACTTAAAAAATAATCCTGCTTCTTGTAAAAGCTCATGAATTAGTACTTCCGTCAAATATAGTAAACAAGATAGTTCAAGGCGATGAACCTATCTATTACTGTATATTAGGGGAGGGAACCGCCTGGATGGTCTCTGCTATGTTATCGTAGCCTACAACATTCCTCGCACCTAGAGATAGGAAATAAGTTGTTGTATGGCGGACGGACTGCGGTAAAAAAGAGCTCAGCATACTCATCACTCATCACAGACCTCAAAACACTTTCTCCCGGGTTCCGGGTTCCTCGAAGCACATTAGTATGGCCATGTCTCTGGAACCAATTCGATCGACGGCAGCAGCGTACTTGCAAATGTGACCAGCATCATGAGTCCAGAACAATCGCGAATCTGGCAAGCCTTCTGCATATCCCGAGTTGTCTACGGTGCTCAGACAATGTCACAATGGCCTATCTCCTGAACCTCTTCATAGTCAATATAGTATGAAATACAAACGGTTCAATAATAATAGCAATGTTACCGGATATGTATCTTAGTAGTTAGACTGGAGTTACCTAGGTAAGTTAGTGAGATTACTAGAAGTGCGCAAGTTGCTGACGAGCGTAAGTATGTACGAGAGAGAAAAGGGGAAATGGTCAATGGTACAGTTTCGATAATTAAAAAACTGCATATCGTGAAGCCATCTAGACAGCTAAAAAACAAGTACCTTGAATGTCACAAAGATAGAGAAAGGTCTTTGAACCACTGGAGCAACCTCCGCTCAGTGGGAGAGTTGAGTTAACGTCTAGCTACAAAGATGTAGGCCAGGTACAAGTTTTCTCTTGCTCCGATGACAAGTAACTAACACATGATGGTCCAGGATAAAGACAAGCTGGACCTGTTGTCGTCAGAAACCTCCGCCTGGTTGGTATCAGCTTCTTCGGGGATGGTCTGAGATCTTTGGCATGGTTCTTCCCGCCCAGGGACCAGGGACATCCACCGTCGGTGTCTTCTGGCGCCCATTGGCGATCCAATCCGTAACAGTTTTTCTTCCTCATGATCCGGCATTGCTTAATCGATATTTGGTAGTCGAACCTGGCAATTTCTGTTTCCCAGAATATGAGGATCCGCATTTTGTTTTGCCTGTGGGATCTCGCCTGGTCGGCAAGGACCAGCTCGCTTGGTGGCCATGGTTGCCTGCGTAGTGTGCCATAGTCCGTCAGATGACCGCCGTCTTTACCCTATTTTGCAGTGTACTTACATTTGGCTCGCTCCTATGCAAATTCCAGGTTACTACTTGAATTACACAATCTACTTCTATGAACTAAACCTTAGCTTGTTTCTCTTCTGCTGGGATATTCTAGTAGAAACCCGGCTACATGGCAATGGTACTATGAATCCAAGGCAGTGACGCATCGCTAGGTAGACATGTATGCACAGATGCAAGCACAACATATCAGATGAATAGGGACAATACATTTAGTATAGATAGTCCCATCGATCTAGCTCTACTGCTTTGTTATCAGCATCAGCTTTTCAGCTGGTTGCCAAAAGAATCGACCCTAGCCCACGGACGTTTATAAGCCAGCTCTTGGTCCATCAATATTTGAAAAATGATACTCTTCTTGAAATCCTTCGGGATCAAGGAGCGAACTCGGACAAGCGTCCCTATAATAACCATATATATATAAACTCCCTCCGAGGAACCCTTCTTATATCCTTATATAGGGCTATACCACATAGTTATATAAGGATAAAAGCGCCCCCGCCATTTATACCCTATCAAAAAGGCCATAAGTAGAGATCATTCCTAGCCTAAGGATCACTTAAACAGTTAGATTACCACCGTAGGTGACCTACGCGTTAAGTGAACCACCTAACTTAGGTTTTATAGTATATATCTAGCTATAGAAACCAAAATGAAAGCCTTCTCCGTGTTCCGCGGAGTGGTTAAACGGTTAAGCTCCCTATTAGGCCTCAACGGGAAAGACCCTATTTATTCCGTATATAAAGAGTAACCTCCGTTAGGGGTTTATATTACACGACCTATATTTGATACTAGAAGCCCTTACTAGTGTAGTACCTAGGTGTTGGAGTCCAAAGGGCACTATACACTATTAGCGGTAGCGAGATGGATAACCAAAGTTAGTAGCTCTTAGGGTATATCAAAGTGAGGCTGTATCAAATCCCGAGGGAGTTGCAGCTGGTGTTTATGTTATATGTATAGTTCATCAAAAGCAACGCGAACAGGCCAACATTACAGAGAGGGATCTCCAGAATTAGGGCTTATTAGGGTTATTTAGATGCTTAGAATAATGATAGCCGCCACTGACGTTCTTGGCGTGTCGCCAGGCAACAGTTTCTTCCATATATATTAGGTTATATATGGTTACTTGGTGCGAACACCATTAGAGAAAATAGAAGACACTTACGGTACTCTACTTAAATATATCAACTCCTTCTAACTTCTTTCCATCCATACTATCCTTCGCCTTATCCAAGTGTCACAAACATCAAACACACAGCATGCCTACTGAATCAGCTAAACCATGCGAACATTACAAGGATCGCAAGTTCTTATTAGAGCTGGAGCTTGTTGTTGATGAGTCCGAAGAGCACAAGATACACGAATTTGACCTGGCTAAACTCAAGGGATTTGGTATTGATCACCAGCGCATGATCCTTAACAGAGAAGATTCAACCCAGCCTTCTTTCTTCGCGCCATATCCTAGCATTTTGGGACCCAGTGATAGCACTGTTGATGGTGTCGGCTTACTTTCAAAATTCGAGGACACCTGTTTTACAGACCCTGTCGATAGGGCACGTCAAGTTGCAGGTCCCTAGTCGTCCTATGTTCCCTACAGGATACATGCTCCATGGACCCCGAAAGAGTGAGAATCCCACTACCAGTCTCGGTAGACTTTGATGGCTAATATTGTGGGATAGCAATGACGATTACACTCCCAAAGATTTGTTTCAGGATGACGAGCCAGAATTTGGGCCTTTTGGAATGACGGATATTCGAGGAAAAGCTTTCCCGCGCACCAAGGCATTTATGTACAACAATCCAGATGCTACGGACGATACAACCCTTCGTGGGGAGCTCTTGACTATTCTCCGCCTGATGCTGGGTCAGTTGAGGAAGGTACGCTTCCTGAAGCATAGGAAAGCGCCGGTAATTCTCTCTTCGACAACATTTGTTCGTATTTCTCATAGTTGCTTACCAAGTACTCTGTAGGTCTTTCTGGTCTCATTTATGGGCAAGCGTGCCCGCGCTTTTGAGTCATATTTCAACGGCCGAGCCCTCGCCCTGCGTACTACTCAACTCTACAAATTTCCCGAGGAAACCTCTCTTGGGTTCAAGCATCTTGCAGAGTTGTATCTTAGCTCGCCGACCGGGGATACATTCTAGGTTGGGATTTAACTGTTTGTTTGTTGTTTTCGGTCAGCGAGGGCGTTGAATTGTTTGCAGGGGATACCATATTGAACTTCAGTCTTTTTTCCAGTCCTTTTTTCCATTCCTTTCATTCGCCTCGAACTGCGCTATCATTCCCCATGTACGGAGTACATACTCCGTACATTTTTAGTCCAAGCTTCCCTGTGGACCCTGTGCCGTGTTACGTAATCCTGGAAGAAATCGTAGTCAAGCTGACTCGTGCTGCATTGTGCATTGTCACATCGTGTATTGCTATAGAGTACGATTTGGAAGAGGGTATAATTGCAATACAATGAAACCAAAATTGAAACTGTCAAGTTGAGCAGATACGAGTTAGAAACGTGTGGAATCGAGCAAAATAGCCGATGTTATATAGAATGTCTTGGCAAAAGCTTCTGATGTGATAAGCTGTGAGACGAAGGATTTAGCACGTGAATCACAACATTACAAGGGTCTAGTCCGCCCCCCAAATCTTCACTTGTCAGTCATTCCAAAATGGCACCCCGACCAGAACTCAAAGCATTGGATCAAGATGTCCTCAAACCACCCAAGGATCGAACTCTGCGATTCCGAGAAGATGGAACATTTCACATTGAAGTCTTTGAGGACTTGCATTTCGCCGAAGGTATGCGTTGATAATCTCAAGGCAGGCGTTTGTACTAACCCCTGGATAGACGACGAAAAAGATGAGAAGTCCAAAAAAGTGATGTCGTATATTCTCTCAGAGGAGGACATTGACTTCGTAGTCATAAACGGCGACCTGGTATCCGGCGAAAGAACCCAAAAAGCCGACTCGAGCAAATACATCGATTCGGTCGTTTCCCCACTTGTCGATCAGGGCTACAGATGGGCATCGACCTACGGCAACCATGACAGCGCGATTAACCTTAATCCGAAAGATGACATGCTCAAGGCAGAGAATAAATACCCCAACAGCTTGACACAGAGTAGCATATCCGGCCACAAGGCTGGGATAACGAATTATTATCTGCCTGTCTTTTCACATGGACAAGCGAATACCAGCACACCCGCGCTACTACTGTGGTTCTTTGATTCGAAGGGTGGGCATTATTATAAAAAAGAAGGGGAAGACGGGCCTCCTGTTAAGAGACCCAGTTGGATTGATGAATCGGTAGGAGGAATTTCTGGTCACACTACATTCTCACAGGGAAAATGACTGACTGACTGCATTCAAGGTCGTTGATTGGTTCAGTGAAACCAATCATAAACTGAAAAAGAAGTATGGGAAAGTCATCCCTTCGCTAGCATTCTACCACATACCGGCCCACGCAATGCTTGCATATCAACAAAAAAAAGGCGTAAATCCACGTCTGACGCCCGGCGTGAATCGCGAGCGGGTTAATCCGCAAGGAACTGGCCAATGGAGCTATGATAACCAAGACGTCAAGTTTATGAACGCGCTCCTTCACACAGAGGGCTTAATCGCAGGATTTAGCGGCCATGACCACCAAAATGATTGGTATGCCCCTCTAGCAGATGAAATTCGGGACTTGAAAGGCTCAGCTAATCAAAAATCGCAGGTGTTTTAAATGGGACGGCTCTCTTGTGGACCACGATCTAACCGGTAATGGTATCAATATGTGCTATGGTCGGCATACAGGATATGGCGGCTACGGTAATCTGGTCCGCGGTGGACGGCAAATATTACTGCACGAGGGCAATCTGGCAAACAATACTGAGACGTGGATTAGATTGGAAGATGGGTCGGCTCAGGCTCATGTGACGCTGAACGCAACATTTGGCCAGGATACTTACCTTGCTGTTGCTAATGGTGTTGGGAAGCACAATACCTATGCGCAGGGCTCTTTGCTTCACATGACTTGGTTATGGGTCCCGATTATGATGCTCTGGCGCTGGAGGATGTAATGAATTCCAAGGATCTTTTGGCTATAGAACTTAGATTGCTATAGATTTGCTATATCGCTCTTACTGGGACGAAATACTGATCATACTGACATAATCTAGATGAGAGTACAGATGTAAGATTCGTGTCATCGTAGATCTTTTAGGCCACTTTTCAGGGTCTATATCATAGATTATATACGAGTTCATCCCCTATATACTGACATGACTCCTCCCACTCCCTTCATTTCTTCATCGTTGAAACTTCCAGTCCATGCTCAAGAGATCTGGCTATGTACATACAATAACAATCATCACCGTTTACAGGTAGATGTAGCAGAAAGGACCGGAAATGGTGCTCATGAGATCCCGCATAGCAACAGTCTCGCCGCCCGCATAACCGAGTTCAATGAGCGTGTCAAGAGTAGTGTTAGGTGAAGGAGGGCCGTTCAAGAATGTACCAGTGCCCGAAATAGCATTCAGACGCTTGTGTAGGTTCAGGTTCTGCCAGATCCACCAAGTGCGATCAATCATACCGTGGTGGAGCCAGAAAGCTGGGTCACCGGGGCTAACAAAGACATCGCGGGAAGGATCACCACCCATGGAGTAGTGACCACCACCGTGGACACCGATGTTGCCGCTGCCGGGAACACCCTGCATGTTCATCTGGAAGTCATAGATGTCGTCATGGCGCAGGATCAGGTCCACGATAGCGGTGAAGTTAGCGTAGTCCTTGACGATCTTGGTGCTCAGATCGCGCTTCAGGCAGCGGGGGTTGTATGCGAGCGGGTTGGCGGTGCTCCCGGTTTCTCCTCCGGGCAGCATCAGTGCGACCGGGCCCAGGTTGACAGAGTAATCCTTGAAGGGGCCGCTGGTGACGCAGCCGCCTCCGTTGCCGGTGGGGAGGTGAATGACAGGGTAGGTACCCAGGCTCAGCTGGATGTCGCCGACGGATTCGACGTGAGCACCATTGCCGGACATCGAGGTATCGCTGCCGTCGAAGACCTGGGATTTCTCCAGATCAGCGGCGTCGGCGCCCCAGTTCCAGTAGCTGTGATGGGGTTAGACGTTTGGTATTTTTTGGGAGATCGCAGGATCACTAGACTCACGGGTAATCGCCGGTGTAGCCACACTCATTGCGCATGGCTTCCTCGAAGTTCCAGATATAGTACCGGTGCCACGCCAGGAAGGTTCCAGTGTAGTGGATGGTGGTAGTCTGGTTGATGTGAGTAGCGACGAAGTCATCGTAACGGGACCGTGCACCAGGAGCCAGCTCGGAGGGAGTGAGCGAGGGCAACTTCTGCAGGCACAGGATGGAATTGATGTAGGAGGTCTTCTGGGTCTTAGAGAAAGTCCTCCAATCACGACGAACACGCAAGCTGCTCAACGAACAGCCGCCGCGCTTCTCAATATCGGCGTCACTCTTGACACTCTCGATACTGGCATCGTATGCCAACCCGGCCAAGTCGTCAAGCTGGGACTCAGCGACCGGCAGGGAGGTGGACGCAGCGGTGGGGGTCGTAGCGCTCACAGCGGCACTCTCCGTGGCAGCAGGCATAGCCAGCGCCTGTGCGAACAATGCTCCCAGAGTGAGAACAGAAATGGCAACCATGGTGGCGAGTTATATATTTGAACTTCTAGAAAACCAGGAAGTTCCACACCAAAAGTTTAGAAGTGTTGATCAGAAGAGAATCCGGGCATGATGGTTGATTTAAAGGCTGGGTGCATATGCCAACCATCCCTATCTCGGTTGGAGTCGAACTAATGCATAGTCTATGTTTTTTCTGCATGGATGTTCTGGGACCATCTAGGGCATCGGGCCATATTCCGCTTTTCCCCACCGCCGGGAGATGCCGGCAATTTACGAGACCACACAATGTCCATTTCCAAGGGTCTTCCCACTCGAATCGCTGGATCACTCACGGACCGACCCTTTGATACCCTGGAGATCATCCCAAAGTTACTCCGTACTCATTGACAGAAAAGAACCAGGACCAAATCATACATCTGAAGCCACGTTCCTACCATCGAGACAGCCACTTTGGGGTACCCTTGCTCCTTAGCGACTTGGCAACTTCATCTAAGCGACTGATCCAATCACATCTGCATAAATGGGCTTCGGTCAAAACCCAATCTCGGAATGACACCCCGGTGCCCTAACTATGCAAACTCAGATAGACTGCAATCCACCTTCGATGAGACCTTCCGTTATATCCGAGGTTCCATTTGCTCCAGGTGCTTTTCTTACCGATGGTGCCAAGCCTGCTCATTGGCCATGTTTCTAATGACCAACTGCTATCCTCGTTGTCGGGTCCGAGGCGTTTTCCGAAATATCTTTTAGTGGGATAAAGCACTTTGCTTACGCCGTTAGAGCTAGCTTGGATGCCAACAATGGCTTTGTGTTTTATTTTTATGCCTATTGTACTTTATGAACGGCCGAAAGGGGATTATTGACCCGAACATGAGAATGAAGACAAAATCAGGGAATTATTCTGTGGCGTTGAGTACAGCAGATTGAAAGCCCCATTCGAGACTCACGCCACTCGCATTCCTTGGCTTCGGAGAGCCACAACAGTATGGAGTAGAGCTGAATATAATGTTAAAATTATGTCTGCTAACTCTTTTAATGACCCTTGCAAATTTGCCCTGATATAATCCCTGTCCAATTCTTCCTTCCAATGCCTAGCCCTCCTTAACTCAACGACAGCCATGTCGGACAGTGCTGGTACCGAAGGTGCTAGCCTACAGGATGTTAATCAAGGGTCTAGGATTATCATAGCCACCGCTATCACTACTGCCGCCGCATTACTCACCGTTTTGGCTCGGTTCTACGTGCGCGTATTCCTGATTCGCAATGTCGGCTGGGATGATTATACTATGGCTCTGACGATGCTGCTGTCTGTCTGTGGATTTGCCATTATCGTCCCCGAAGTGAAGTATGGTGCAGGCAGACATATGGTTTTTGTCCAAGAAACGGCCGTCACGGCGATGCATTTGAATTATGCTACTCAGGGGATCTACATGTGGGCCATCGGCTTGGTCAAGATATCAATTGGGCTGTTTTTGCTTCGTTTCGCACCCCGCAGAGGGTACAGGATCTTTATCTGGGTTGTCTTGGGTGTGTAAAGGCTTTGATCTCTTCTTCTCTGTGACTCAGTATTGACAAACCTGACTCATTTTAGTTCTCATGACGCTCTACACTGCAATTTGTTTTTTGGTGCGCAACGTATCTCTCACATTCGATCGCGAACAGCAGTTAACAGCTTGGTTTATTGCAGACTCTTATTTTTGAATGTCAGGATATTCGAGCAAATTGGGATCCTACAGTCAAATCGAAGTGCTTTACTCCCAAACAACTTTTGACTCTGAGTTATACAAACACTGGTGAGATTAGCACTACATGGGTATAGCTAAACGACTTCTAACGTGGATAGCACTGAATATTCTGACCGATCTGATCTTCGCCGTTCTACCGGTCTTTATGCTACGGTATGTTTCATGGGCATCGCCTTTTCGAACGAAACGCTAATACAGTTATCAACAGTCATCTTCAAGTCAATCGCCGGGTGAAAGCCTCTCTGATCTGTATCCTGGGCCTGGGAATTTTGTGGGTCTCTTTCAATCCAATGCTATCAAAGCCATGCTAATTCTTCTACTTTCTTCAGTGCCTGTGCAGCCGCTTTCGTCAAGCTCTCTATCCTACCTAGCTACGGTCGAACTGGTGACTTCCTTTGGGACTATACAAACCTCACAATCTGGGTTGTGTAAGTTTTTTAATGGCTATCACAAGCATCGGAGATCATCCTTCAAACCCAGTACTAACCAATGGCAGCACGGAATGCAACACCGGTATCATGGCCGGCAGCCTCCCAACCCTCAAACCACTCTTCAAGAGAGTCCTCGGCACATACGGCTCGCATACGAAAACCACCCGCGAGTACTTCGGCAGCAAGAAATATAAAATGCAGTCAATGTCTCGATCACGAGGGCCGCCGCTGCAATCCCGAGCACACAAAAGTGGCAATCTCAGTATCATCGAGTTCGACGCGGACCCGAAGACGCAACACTCCCGGATTGGTTCTACAACAGGCTCGACGAAGTACTCTGGAAGTCAACGAAGCAATTCCAGCGAGGAGCGGATATTACCTGCCGAGGGTGATGCAATCGTTTGCACAACGGAAGTAATGGTTTCGCGTGAGCAGAATCCTCCTGAGATAACGCCCAGCCCTCCTTCTATACCCAAATTGGGCAGGATGGGATCGTTAAGTGGCTTGCGCGTCAATGCAGATGATCGGGTTTGACTTTGTATTAATTGGGAGTTATATCTGGGGGACGGGACTATATATATTAATATCCAAGGAGTCCGTGGGAAAATAATGTGTATCGCTGGCAAATTAAAGTGTCTGTTGCCTATTCACAAATCTTACACAAATCTTACTTCAAATAAAGATCCTAGTTGAACCCCTAATTGGGCTATAGTGGGGGTCTTATGGGCCACCAATGAGCTGTGGGTTAGATTGGGCTGGGCTTTGGGCCCGGGGCCGGGGCCCATTCATGGGCTCTGCGGATGTATAATAAAGCTCTACCCCAGGGCAGCGTAGCGTCCACTCCAAGAAAGGTAAGATCCTAAAGTTCAGTCACAGCTGGACTCGATTTGAAGTATGCCACCAATACACAGCAGTGTCTCAATTCCACAAAATCACAAATACATCAGCTCATGCTGATAATTAAATTTGATGAAGTTGGAAGCCAGTCATAAGAAAAGCTTGAAAGTAAAATAAGGAGGTCATCCGAAGCTCCCTCAATTTCACATCCACGTACACCCAGGGAGAACAGCCCCCCTCCCTGCAACAGCCTTCTCACCGAACTTCTCAACATACCACTTTCGTCCCCAGCGCGCATGGGGCAGCATATTCGTAATCGCATTGGCAGCAAACACTACCGCAGGCAAAGGCAGTGGTATGGCAAGCTTTCCAGCCACCCACGCAGCAGGCACCAACCAAGGCGCAAGACGCAGCGGGGGAGTGATGGCCACGGAAGACGAGGAGGCAGAAGTAGGGAGGGCGGAGAATGGTGCGACCGCTGTACCAACGAGAGCAAAACCAATCCACTCAAGCCACTCGAATACGTAGTGCGGATACAAGATGTATCGGAAGACACCACTGGCAGGTGGGATGACGTAGACCTTGTGGAACTTGTTGCCGCCACCCTGTGCTTCATTTCCCACAGGAATTTCGTCGTCTGACTTTTTGACAGCCCGTTTTGCGGCTTCTTCACGCCTCAGTCGGAATAGTGTTGTCTCTGAGTAGATATTGCCGGCCATTCCGACGGCAAACAAGATCACGCCCACGGTGGGAAGGAGATCTACCACTGCAGAGCGGGGAGATGGACTTCCACTACTAGCTGTGTGGAAACTCGGGATGGTTGGCACGGTATATCCGCGCAACCAGCCGGCCAGACAGGCTGAGTTGAACCAATTGAAGAGCATGGCGAAGGACACGATGATGACGTGGATTGGCGACATGCTGGGGGCGGAAAAGAAAGGAGAGATGATGGCGCGGTTGAAATAGTGAATGCAGTACAGAGTGACAACGAGGATGTTGGATGTGGGGAGATCAGTGAATGAGGGTGCATATGGCGATGGGGTGACCATGCTATATATCAGGTTGATAGGACCGATAAGCTCCATGGCAGACCAGGCGATACGTCCTGGAATATTGAAGATGGACTCTGTGGAGGTTTTGCCCGCTGGATGCCAGGATAAAATCCATTGAGCTACCGTCATCTAAATGTGCCAAGTCAGTCTTGTCATATCCTCTAGGGCTTCAGGGTCCTGACCAGGGGGAAGTATTGGAAGCCGCATATAATAGATTTATAGGCAGCTGGGGTGGGAGGGAATAGCTCTGCAATGGGGGGCATAGCTCCCCAACAGGTGGATATAGTCGCACCCATGATGAGAGTTGAAGAGAAGAAGATTGAAGATCGCGGAGGATAAACAAGAAGCTTAAAAGCTTGGGATGTGGAAGGCGGTGGGTCCCGGATAAGGAGCTTCACCTTCCCTGCTTCTTTCGCTTTTTGTGTCTGTCTCTCTGTACCTTAAAGCAAGCATTGTCATGCATAATAATCAAGTGGAAAGTGATGGTTAGATTGTATATGAATTGTCAAAATAACAGTGTATTGCTTCAAACATGGTGCAAACAGAACCCTTACAACTGCAACAGAGTGAAACAAGGGAAAGTTGCACAGATTAAGCAAGTTGGCGACAAGACTACATTCGTTTGATTCTCTACTCGACAAAATGTAACACATAAATCACCCAAGGCATAGTTCCACAGAAACGGAGTGTAGCATTTTGTTCTGTGAACGCTAATGGAAATGCCCCTAAACAGGCAAGCTTATGAATTTGATCATAGAAAGCCCCGATTCCTTAATTCGATGTGTCCATCTGATTCTGATTATGCACCATTTCTTTCCGTTTGCCAGCCAATTTCTCGGTCTTGAAAGCCTCGATCTTGGCCTTAAGATCGGTATCTAGAGGTGTTAGTTAATAGCGGAACAACACCTAGGAAATCAAATTGCTTACCAGGCAACACGTCTTCCATCTTCAATGGAACACGGTTGAATGGATCGTGGGGATCACTTAGGAGATGCGAGCGGATTGTAGCGCGGTCGATGGAGATCCGCGAGCCCGGAAGGATGACTGGGTCATCCATGAGCGAATACATGAGGGGATCTAAACAATTAGCAGATATCGAAAAGCTGTGTCAGACGACGGAAACATACCAAGGAACTCTTCAGGAATCTCGCCCATGTCCTCCTCGGCTTGATCATCGGCCTCCTTAGCAGCCTGGACCTTCTTCTGCAGTTGACTCCAGTAGCGAAGCTGCTCAGGCGATTTCAGGGACCATTTTCGGATGATGTCAGCCGCCTTCTCGAAATTGGCTGGCTTATAGGATCGGCCATCACGGGCAACAGCCAGGATGAAGTTTTCCTTGTTGATAAGGTTAAGGTAGACGTCGACAATTTCACTTAAAAGAGCGCGGGGGTTGAAGCCATATTCCTGTAGGTTGTCCACTCGAAGGTTGGAGCTCTTGGGTCCCACCATTGCATCCAGGTTGTAGTCCAGCATGTCCGCGAGTCGCTGCACAATTTCAGGCATTGTGAAGGAATCAGCGAGTGCCTCAGTGAATAGTTTGAGCATTGATACAGTTTGGTTGGTCAATTGCATGTAGCTTTTGGCGCTACGCTGTGCTGATGACAGATGCTCTTCCCGCTGCTGACGGGTTGCAGTATCCATTGAGTGGCCCTGTGTATTCAGCTCGGTCTGAGTGTTGTGGATAGTCTTGAAAGCGCCGAAAGATTCATCAAGTACGTAGGTCACATCATTCAGCAGTAGATTGACGAATCGGACGAAGAAGTCCAGGTTTTGGTTGGCTTGAAGGGACAACTTCTCCCGATACAAAGTGTTAGGCCAGATGCATTTAATGATCTCGAAGATCTCGTAACGGATGTTGAACTTGTCGTAGAATTGTGAATGTGTTCCCGTAAACTCGGCCTCAATGTAGAATTTCATGATCGCATGAAGGAGATACTCGTTGGCAAATGGCATTGAGTTGAGCAGATCAACCAAAACACCGCTGGCGCCACCAGGGCGTTTCCAGGTACCTCGGAACAGAATGGAAATCAGTCCAGCCTTGAGGTAGGGGTTCTTAATATAGGCTGAGCTCTCTAGGAATGTGATGCACAGCATTACCAACTCATCGCCCTGGGTGGCGGTAATGATCTGGGGCATGCACCACATGATAAACTTGAAGTTGCTCACAACGTCCTCCAAGAAATACTCTGGCAGACATTTGAAGACTTCAGGCTGCTCCTCTGGAAGAGGAAGGGCAACCTGTTCCTTAGGGAAATTCTTTCCCGAGACAAGTCTCAAAAGCCACACTGTGACATATCGCATGAATAGCATGGAACGAGCTTGCCATTGCTCGTCGAATAATACACCCTGGAGACTGTACTTGAGAGCAATACCCAAGTCGAGCTTGTCTTTGTACTTCTTCAGGGCTGTATCAAAGGTGCGCAATTGCACTGGATTGTTGAGCCATCGAACCCGCTCAAGTTCGAATTTAGTGATTGTACTCTCCATCTGTCGCACATCTTTCTCAAGTTGCTCCATCTTTGATGTCAATGATTCACTGCCGTAGTGGTGGGCGGCGACAGTCAGGAAAAAGATTTCAGTGATAAAGTTTGAAGTGCCTTCGACCTTCTTAGAATAGAAAGCATCGGAAGCGTGCTGATCGGCGTTGATCTTAGTCTCATCCCGCATGTCAACGCGTGAATTGCGATGGAGATAATCTGCATCAATTCTGTCGATTTTGGTGAATGCTGCATCCATAAACGGCTCACAAAGCTGGTCGAGGCACGTTGTGATATTAAACATGAAGCCGTCGGACGACACTTGTTCAGGGTCAACCTGCATCGCCCGTCGTTTGTGATTGATGTTCATAGCAGTAGCGAACCAATCCAAAACACGATCCCGAGCCTCCTTCGAGGCCCGGATCAAGTGGTTCACAACATCCAGGAGATCAGAGCTGAGCATCTGCTGTGTCATTCGAAGCGATCGCTGTGCATTGGAAATGTATGCCTGGTCCCGAGTCTTGGGGCTAGAGAAATAAGACAAGGTGACATTAGCTTGAAGGGGCGAGAGGCGAAACCATGGACCCAAAAGGGTGGCTTTTTCAAATTGAGCAGGGTCCCGTGAGTTATTGAAAATAGAAGATTCTGTGATTGCAGCCGCAATGGAACCATTGCGAACAAGATTTCGAAGAGCCTGAACAAACTGGTCAGACGTGGTCCAGGGGAATTGTGACGTTTGACTTACAATGGCGTAGGGCTTGTAGTCATCGTTAACATCCATGGAAGAAAGCTGCGCGCTCAACTGCTCGACAGCAGATATGAAGGCAGGCTTGACAGAGTCGTCTTCGTCGAATCTCCGGACAGCCTCGTTAATAAACTCGAAATCAATTCCTCTATCATCCTCGGGGTCAATGAGAAGGTACGAGGCTAACGATGATTGCGGGGACCATTCGCTCCTATATTCCAAGTTGTCAGTATACAGTACCAATGCAGTGACACTGCATCAAAACGCACCCAAACATTTCTGGCATTGTAATCGCAAAGATACAATAGCTCATGCACAGGCGGCGTGCCTCACACAGAACCTGATACTTCGGGTCATTATCTCCCGTCCGCCTCAACCCCTTGTACACCTTTGTGATGCGCTTCCAGCATGGCAGCAGATAATCAAGGGGACGCTGTCTCTCGGTGCTTGATGCAGCTTCTAGAAGGGCTTGGTCTAGAACTGCGACCTGGATGCGCAGCTCCTGGCGCTCATCCTGCAGTTCATTCCGAAGTCCGGGCAAGTATGTGCGCATGCCATGGCTATCACGCTGTCCTTCCTCCTTGAGAGTCACTCTGAACACAGCACTTAGTGTTCGGTCTTCGAAGGCCTCGATGCTTTCAACTTTCTGTGGTGGAGGGGTGCTCGGGGTTGAGGGAGCAGCGGATCGTGGTCGCTCTGGTGTGGCCGTAACTGGTGTGATCTTGATCCGCTTCCCTTCTGACTGCTGCGGGGTTGGTGGCGCATTGAACAGACGGCTCGGTGGCTGAGCAGACAGTGGTGAATGTGATGGAGATGTGTTGGCTGAGCTCTGCGCCGACTCCGAGTTGGCGTCCACTGGGGACTGAGCTGGGTTTGAGAGTTTTGCAAGTCGCTTGTTGCGAATCTTTTTTTTTTTTCAAGGACAGATGTTAGACCTCGAATTACTACGGGGGAGGGATGGCTTCATAATTTGACACCAAGCAACTAACCTTGTCCGCGTCGGAAAGAGTGTCCGACATATTAGCTGAAAGTCAGACAATAAGCCGCTTTCAAAGGGTTGGCAGGACCGCTAATCTGGTGGATCGGGTCGGCAGAATCTCAATATTGTGACCGTGTGGGAATCATAAGGGAGCGTCAAAGCGGAATCACTTCAAATCCTCGATGTGGGGGCAACGGAGTCTAGAATCCGCGGAAGATGAACGTCGCAAGATGAACACTTGTTTCCGTGATGATCGCCGAGATTCGCTTTTTGTTCTGATTCGAGATTCAGCGCCGTGATCAATTTTGACTAAGCAAATTTCGTCTTCCACGGTTACTGGTGAGATGTGGGGTACAACGAAGGTACTTCTGAGTTCGCGGGGACTTTCCGCTTAGAATTATGTACCTTTGAAGTCACTGTTTACAATGTGCTATTGCGAATAGAACATATGTTCATTACAAGGCCTGCTCTACGATAAAAACCCTCCTACATATAGGGTTACTGGGCAATTTGACATCAACAAGCTGAACCCTCTTTGTGTACTTTAGAATTATGGCCACAACCTCAAAGAACAGTGGTGGTATCGAGTATATCCTGGGATACATATCTATTCCACACAGGAACATAATCGGAAATGAAATCCAACGATCGCAATGAATCCTCATGCTATTCAGGGAGACAAATCCAGCAAGATCTTAGATGCATTCAAAACTCTAGGAATAATAAAATGTACAGCCAATGAACTAAAACTCCCATTGACACCCACCTTGGTGGATGGGCTAATGATATTAGAGTAGGTCCTTCCGAAAAAAGAACCCGCAAAGGAACAAGATGCCATAAGAAGGTGCAGTGTAAGCCCCCAAAGTCCAGAGTGTATTTAAAATCTCTTCGTCTTCAGCTGGTCCAGACGCCGGCAGCTCGGCATCTCCATGGCGCGAGCCTTCTTCATCTTCTCAACATCAGGGAAGAGCCACCCCTGTGCGTCCTGCAGCCTCCGTTCCCGCTCATGGGCTTCGGCATCACATTCATTTCGCAGTGTCCTGACGTATTCAACCTCCACGCGCGAGTCTAGCTCCCGGAAATTTCGGGCACTGAAGTTATCCACGTCGAGGGGATTCACAAAGTAATTGAGGTTGAGCTTCGGGGTCGTGCGGCCTAGGGTATGCGGAGAGACAGGAGTATCAAATCGATAAGAGGGTCCGGATGGGGTCGAGGAACCAGAGAAGAGAGAGGAGAGGAGCGGCAGAATGAACAAAAGAATAAGCGGCAATAGCTGACGAAGGAAACTGCGGCCATCAATTTGAGCTTCCTGCTCAGTGGTTGTGGTGCGAGGCCGACGGCGGGGCGCCTGGCCTCCAAATTGATGCACTCGGAACCCTGGGCCACCTCCCATATTGAAGACGAATTGCGGACCGCCTATAATAGCAAAAATCAGTTTAGGTCAAACAAATATTGGAGGAACGCATAGTCGTACCGAATCCACCACCGCCCATTCCGCCAAATCCACCGTTGAAGAACCGGTTAAACATCTCCTCGGCTGAGACCTCCTCGTCGAATCTTTGACCTCCGCGGGGGAATCCACCACCACCGAAACCACCGAAGGGGGATGTGCCGCTTGAAGCGCTCGGTCCGGGCTGAGACCTGCTATCAGGATCGCCGCCAAACCTGTCGTACTTGGACTTCTTTTCCTCGTCGGAGAGGATCTGGAAAGCACGCGAGACCACTATCATTGCGTGTAAGAATCAACATGTCAAGAACAGTACCGGGTTTGATCATTGCTCACTCTTGAACGCCTCATCCGCGCCTTCGTACCCGTTCTTATCGGGATGCGTCAACAAACTCTGTTTCCGGTACGCTTTCTTGATTTCATTGTCCGTTGACGAGCGCTCGACCAGCAAAATCTCGTAAAATGCTGTAGGCTGACATTTTCGGATTCGGAGCACAGCGGCCTTCTGGTCATCGGTGTACTTGCGATCCTGGTTGCCCTGCTTATGGTCGCGCGACGTCGCTCCTCCGCGTTTGGCATCAGAGCCTGATGCCGATGCGGATGGCATACCGACCGTAGCTCACGGTAAAAATTGGATAGATTCTGGACGGCGCTTGCTTGCTGTGGGACGGAAGAGGGGGAATCAAGATAATCTGGAGGGCCAAGAGTGGCGTGTGAGAGCGGATAAAGGAGAACCAATCCCGCACAAGATATGGCCGGGCTGGCAGATTAATCAAACGTGTGATGGTATTTGCAAAGTAAGATATCGGCCTGATGAAGATGCAGCGAGATCAGAGCGACAGATGTGGCTGATTCGGCGGGCATAAATTGGGGAAAAAGCGTGGTGTTAGGTGTCTTTGCCAAGCACCGGAACGTCGATTACACTCCGGGCTGAACATTGCGATAACATCACTGCCGAACTGACAAACCTGCCAACATTGCCAAGTCTCTGATATTCAATTGTGAGTTGTGTTGAAGTTCACCATTTTCAATTAAAGCACGGCCTTATTGATATACCTGCAGCATAGGCAATCCTTGGCTGTCAAAGCTCCCCAATCTTCCGCTTTCATTAAGATTAGGTTCGAAGCTCAATAGCTCATCATGGCGGCCGACGATTCAGTGGTCGAAGAGACCAAGCAGACAGTAATCCAGCGTTTCCGGGCCTGGGGTGGTAAGTGGCTTCTGTACCTTGCTTCATCGGCCAGCCGTCGAGGCAAGCATTCCTCCAAGTAATCACTCACTAATGACGTTTCTCAACACAGAAAACTCATTTCCACCCACGCTGCTCGCCTCCCTGATCGCGGCCCAGCACATGCGCCCCTTTCAGTTCTTCCCGATGCTTTTCCCGCCTGTGCTGATCTTCTCCAGCTATGCCAACCTGCAGGGCTTCAAGACGGACACTGCCGGCATCAGCGCGGCCTTCTCGGGGCTGTACCTGCTTCTCGCAGCCCGCCGTCGACAGCCGATCATGAAGAAGCTGGGTGTTCGGGGCGTCGTGCGCGGTGCTACTATGGGTTTGGCTTTGGTCAACATGGTCGGTGGTGGGTTGGCGTACACTCTTGGTAAGAGGGAGGAGGAAGAGGATGCGTCATGATTGAAGTGAGAGCTTATAAGGATGCGAAAACCGCGGCACCGCATTGGTACCGCGCTCTGTGATGTACCATATGTGTATCAAAAGTGGTTTAGTTGTACGTTTGGAGGAGACTCAAGGCCTCCGGAGTCAGTCGGCAGGGATTTGTTTATGAAATTAATTATGCATTATCATTACACAGGCTGGAGAAAATCCGTAGGAGTATCCAGTGGCTACTCCGCTGATGCTCATATCTACACTTTAGAGTCTTCAGAATATGGGTGTTCGGACAACACAAACTGTCGCACCTGTTCGGGAACCAGCCAGTCTAGGTTCCGGGGAGCGGTTTTCGACGCCTCTCGGGCTCTAGTTGAACTCACAGCGCGCTCCGTAGGAGCACGGCCATCGACGAGCTGGATCCGTTCGGCCCATTCCCTACGCATGCCCTCGCCATCTCGGTCACCTCTAGCAATGGCCGCCACATATTCGAGCTGCTCTCTCTCTCCCACCCCACTCATCGCTCGGCCGCATAGTCACACGCAGCCGGTGTTTTGACAAGAAAGGCTCTAATGGCTTCAAAGTATGCTCAGGTGGATAATACTTGGGATCCAAGATCCGGATCAGAGTATCGTATCCCGTAAGATGAACCTGCTCCAGTGCAACGGGATAAGAACCCGATGCTTCGATAGCAGCCGCCTTGTCGACGAAATAGGGCTTTTTCGTGACACCGATATCGATCAACGGGAGAGTTTCGATGCCGTGTGTGAAGCCCGAGCCGGCGAAGGCCGGTGATGATTCGAGGTGGGCACGGAGGTCCCGAGCGAACAGCTCCATCATCACAAGCCGATCCTCGAAGGAAGCTGGCTTGGATGGCTTGTCTGCATTCTGGGTGGCGAGAAGAAGGAGCAAGCGAGGGCGGGGCTTGGGATTTTCGAGAAGTGCCGTGCTGGCAATGCGGAGGTGGGCGCGGGGTGGGGGGATTGAAGGACGAGTCTAAGACATAGAGGGTCTCTGATTCTGCGGAGTGGTCGGGTGGGATAGTTGTTAGGACCTCAAAGTCTTTGATCGAAGTGAGAAACCGCTTCAGCAATGAGGAATATTGAATCCGAAGAGCTTGAAATGAGGACATGTCAATTGCGTAAGTGCCATGCACATGCTCTACAAAGTTCTAACCTCTGGAAGGTTGCGATGCGGCCCGTTATCCGATAAGATACCATGTCGTCACCGCCTTCGATATAGCCCGAGGGGGATCGGCATTCCGAGATTGAATAATTCTAGACATTAACATTCACCAAGGTTCACAGAATTGAGATCTACCTGCGCAATTCCTAGCCATGCCTTACAATTCATATTCATCCAGGCGCTGAGGGGCGCCGACAGGGGCAGTGACAGGGCCAATCGAAATTTCAAGCGGGATGTTTCATCTTGAAAAGCTTCTCCGTGTCGAGGACTAGGGCCGAGATAGGTGATTTTTTTTTTTTTCAAAAAATGTCTCCTTTTCTACCAAATTTTCGTCCTAGTTATGAATTCAAGCCCTTGAGCACGAGAACGCTCTCGAATAGTGCAAATCTCGCTTCACTACCGGGAAATGAGACTATATTGTATGTAGTTAGGCAAACGATAGACCAAAAGTCCAAGGGCCGTGCTTGGCCTAGGCCTCCTTTATCAAATCACCCTAGACTCTGTGGTCCGTACTCCGTATGTTGTACACTTGACCAGATTTTATGTACTCCGTACCCCCACTCCGTATAGACGGCATCTAAAGTGAACCAGGTACATCTTCATTTTTGTATATATGGAATACGCAGATATAATGCCCTGTAGAGTCCAGAATGTCCTTCTCAAAACTAATTTATATCCCGAGAAGTGGGTGGAAGCGGAGACCTGGGACACGGGTGCCTGATTTATATGAAACCTTTCCGGTGTATCGTATGTCGTATTATTACAAGTCGGGGGGCTTAACATCAAATTTTCCAAATCCTTCCCGAAAGCCCCGGGGATCTGGCCGTACCTTTCTCTTATATGATCGCCCAGATTTTCGGATTGTGTTTCCCTATTTGGCATCTAAGTACTCCGTATGGAGTACGGAGTACATTGGTACAAGTTATCATCTTAGAACCTGTAATGGATTTTCTCAACCATTTCTGTGTCCGAGTATTGTCCCACGTTCATGTCCGTGCCCTAAAAAGCCGTTTGGCGACACTACAAAGATAATCAGTTCGATGGTCTGATAGCCCCTATTAAGCCTAAAAGATAGGGGACATGTCAGTGACGCCACCGACGCCACATCACATTTAGAAAAAGAGGCTGATAGGCATCGCCAATATCAAATACAATTTGTGTTTTGTTTCGTGAGATTAAAGGTCACTGCCCACGCAGCCACGGGCTATGGCTAAATTCAATCCAATCAGATTCCTGTGCCTGAGACAGTGGATCTCGCATATTCCGTCGATCCACCAGTATTACATTTGATAGTTTGATTATACTCCGTACGGAGGTACTATGTAGAAAGATATCATATTAATTTAAAAAGGATAATTTAATTTAACGAAATTAAGGAAATTAAAGAAATGAGTTAATTATCTTGGCCTCCATCTTTTCTCTTTCTTCATTCCTTCTTCAAAGCTATCTTGACCTACTTCTTCTTCTTTTTTTCCTTCTCTGTGAGAAGCCATACGTTCCTTCCCTGCGAATTGATTTCGCACTTGCTCTGTCGCTCTTTCCAAACACGCTCACTTAAACACACTCGCTAACCCTTGGGCTTCTTACTCTTCTCCCTCTCATCCCATCCTCACTTTCTCTTCTTGATTACCACCGTCGTTCCAATAACTTCATCATGGTTGTCTTGAACAAGTTCTCCGCTGTCCTTGTGGCCGCTCTGGCTGCTGTGGGTCAGGCCAGTCACGAGGGTCTTCACGCTCGTCGTGTCCACGCTCGCTCTAGCCAGCCTGGTGTCGGGGCTTCCACCTCGACCGTCCTCGTTGTGCCCACTGCTCTCGAGCCAGCTCCTACGACTACTTCCTCTTCGTCTGTGCCTGCTACTAAGCAGACTACCACTGTGCAGTCTTCTTCTGCTCTTCCGGTGGCTTCCAGCTCCACTTCTTCCGTTGCTTCCTCTTCGGCCGTGTCTTTCACCACCGGTGCGAGCTCCTCCGTTCCTGTTGGTTCTTCAAGCAAGCCCGTCGCTTCTTCCAGCAAGCCTGTGGTGACCCGCACTCCCGTTAGCTCTCGCCCTACTGGCCGCCCCACCAAGTCTTCTTCCGGCGTTCTGTCCAGCTCTGTGTCTGCTCCCGCTGGAACTGAAGTCCCTACCACCAGCGCCGTGACTTTGACTTACACCGTCACCTCTGGAACTTCCACTAGCGTCATCACCACCACCATCTACAAGACCACTACTGACCAGCCCACCGCCACTGCCGTATGTGCTTTATCATTTATCCTATCTTTGGTGAATTGTAAACTAACTTTTATATAGACTCAGTCTAGTGCTGATGCCTCGGCTACCAAGCCCACTGAGGACACCACCAACACTCGCACCTCTACTATTCAGGCCACTAAGACTGAGACTGTCACTCTCATTGAGGTTCCGTCTCCTACCAGTGAGCCTGGCTCTGGCAATGAGTCTGGTGCTTGCAGCGCTGTTACTGTTACTGCTACCGTCACTGAGACTGTGACTGCTGTATGTCAATCTTATCTCCTAACTGCCATGTCAGAAACTAATGTTATCTCTGTAGGGCGCACCGAGCACCTCCGCTGAGACCACCTCCGCCGCGTCCACCTCTGCTCAGACCGGCGCTGAGACCACCACCGCGGTTTCCAACTCCGAGACTGCTACGACTTCTTCCACCCGCACTCCTGTCGGCTCCACTCGCATCCCCCTCACCCGCACTCCTTCTTCCAGCGGTTTCGCCACCCGCACTCCTTCCGCCAGCCCTAGTGCCAGCGTGACGCCTACCCCTTCCTCTAGCGGCCAGGCCTCGTCCACCGGCACCCCCACTGGCAAGGGCTTCCTGCCCAACTGGCGCCGCCGCTTCATCTAAACACACTGCTAATCTGGGGAGAGTCTCCACCTCCACATGGCAGTGAGTTGCGGGCCCGTCGATGATCTGAGAAAGTTCCGATTTCCTTCTACTCGCGCAGAGGCGTGCTGGTACTGTACCTATTTTTTTTTTTGCCAAGTTTCGGTACAAACGGTTTCGATTTCACTTCTTATCTACGCTCCATTTTTTGCCATGTTTCTTCTTTTCGACTTCTATTCTTGCAATGGTCATCTCGTGCTAGATTGTTCCTTGGGCCCAAGCTTTCCTTGCCTGCTTGCTACGTTTCGCAGGCGAATCTCAATACTGGACCATGGCCCCCAATCTTAAGAACTTCTGGCGTGATATCCCCTTGCCTTACATTTTTACTCCCAATGTGAAATTGATCCATTCATACGACCGGTTTCCATTGGACTCGGAAAATTCTCTCACGTATCGTTTTGATGGGTGGTGACACATCAGCTTTGAGGACTGGATCTCGCCTATTGTCTATTGTGTTTTGAAGGGAAAAATTCATCTTCTTTAATCTTTACAGATCTTCATTTTGCGAATGATCTCATAGTTTGCGCTGTTTTTTGTCTTCGTGTTTTTCGTTCCGTGTGGAGGGCCGATGGTGGTGAGCAATATCGGTATCCTTAGGAATTGACCTGAATTGACCTGAGGCTTTTGCCTTCTTTTAACAAATAAGTTCGCTTGTTACAATGAGTGAAAAACATAGAAATAGAGTGCATAAGGCTCTCCACCTGGGAATCCTGAAGGAATAAGGTAAATGGTCTACGAGATATGAGATACCCTGCTAGCGAGTAAAATATGTACAGCCATGCTGGTGTGCAGAACAGTAAAGGCAGCAAAGAACAGCCCATGGCGCCTCCCGTAAGCACTACCGCAAAACCTGCTAGTCATACTTTAATGGATGTAGTAGGCTGTGGATCCAACCCGTCGGCAAGCTACATTCAATTCGATGAGAATTCGTCTAATTCATTGTTGCTTGGATATTCCTATTTGTGGCTTACAAGTGTCTTGTCTCCTATGATCAAGTCCAAATGGAATACGACATTGCAGCGGGCTGAAAGACGGCGGGATCCATGGCCATGCTATCTATATAGGACTGGGCCCCGGATGCGCTGTGTGCCCTGGCTTTTGCCCCTCCCCTTCTATTCATCGAAGCCTATTTTGTCATCGTCCAAGAAGATAGACTTTCCAAGACTAGACACAGAGAATGCCGCGTTTGCTGTCAAAGAAAAACACTGTGCAGCGCTCATGTCGCCAGGGGATGACCCCTTCTCCAAGCCAACAGCAGAAGAAATAGACCCGTCCCACAGCTTAGTTGTGCCTTGTGCCGAGATATCCGGATGCTTGAGAGCCTCTTGCAAGAGTCAAGGGCCGACAAAGCCAAGAACAATGAGACGAGCAGGAATGCAGACGCTCAAGGAAATCTGCAAACCGGAAACCCCGGTGGCGATACCATGGCAAAGTGCCCAAATGGCAGGGTTACAATAAGAAGAGAAAGGATTCTCGACTAACAGGACTGCGAGGTATTGCAGATAGTCCAACCGACTCTAGGCTTAGGGACGCAACCGCCTCCGGCCCTTCCAACCCCAAGTTCCGCTAGACGAAGCCCGGAGATATCTGGTAATGACATCTGGACTGAGCTTACGGGTCATGAGGTAAGGGCACCTAGTGCACGTCCTCAACATTGTGATTCAGAAGCATTATTCAACTCTCGCTAGATGCATGACCCGTGGAAAACAAATGGCTTGGAGCTGTGTTTCGGTCGGGTAAGCGAGGGAGGGTTAGAGATAAACTCATTGCGGCGCAAGGAGTCGGTAAGCAACGGGTTCAGCGCTCTCGGCCTTTTGGGCATTGATAATCCGTTGTCCTCAGCTTCATGTCACTGCCTCGTGACAAGCTTGGAGCAAGCAATTTATGCCAGGTATACCTCCAAAACGTGGATCCAATAATCAAAATCCTACACCGGCCCAGCCTCAGCGAATGGATGCTGGACGGGGCATCAACATATCTGGGATCATCCGAGGATGACAGTTCGGTGAGAGCGCTGGCGTCTGCGGTTTGCTATGTTGCAGCCAACACCATGACAGAAGCACAGTGCCAGGCCACGTTTCAACAAAACAAGTCTAGCATCACGACCGTGCATCGCAAAATGTGCGAAAGCGCCTTTGAGAAGGCCGGCTTGCTGACGACGAGAGATATGACTGTCCTTCAAGCCTTCATTTTGTATCTTGTAAGGATTCACACTGCTGTTTCTGACTGCCACTAATCCACTGCAGATTGCTAGACGATCCGAAGACAAAGACACCGCTGTCTGGGCACTCGTTGCCCTAGCCGTTAGACTTGCGAGAGCCATGGGGCTGATTCAGGAGCCAAATGAACAAGCCAGCGGTCGGGAGTCTTTTCTTTCAACAGCATATGCGACTGCGGTTGTGGCTCACGGTTTGCCTTGTCGACATTCAGGCATCGTTTGCGCAAGCATCCGAGCCACTTATCACCCACAGCGGCGCAGCATGTGCAATTTCAAACGTGGCACATATCAATGAATCCGATTTCGATATGAATACCGAGCACCCAGTCGCTTCGCAGGAGCAGCTCATGGACACGACGTTTGCTCTGGTGACATATCACGTACAAGTAGCCGGCCGGGTCCTCAACTTTGGCTCACCCGAGTGCAGCACTGCCGCAGAACGACATAGACTGGCTCAAGAAGTGTAGCCAAGCTCCGGACCGAAACCACACTACAACTTGTGGTGTTCTCCAATAGCCAAACAGCGTCAACAGCAAGTGTTCACCTTGCTGCACTACTGTGATCCCGAGTCCTCTCCCTATGCCTGGTTCACCTGGCATAGTACACAATCAATTGTATCGGCGATCCGTCTTTCAGAGTTGCTACCATCCCGATGTAACCGACCAGACAGCCGTGTCTCAGTGCCGGTACCGCGAGAAGAAGGCGAAACAATTCTGTTGCAATGGGCCCTGCGAAATCTAGAAAAGGCACTGCTGCTCTGCACCGATCCTCGTGGGAGCGGCTTTCGCTGGTACATCACCACCCCATGCCTCGCACTTTCCACGGCAATTGCAGAGTGTAATACCTGCAGTGACGTGGAAACTATGCGACGGGCGTGGCCAGTCATTGAACCTTCATATCGACAGCACGAAGAGTTTCTGATTTCGCATGATTGCCAATCAGCGCAAGGACACCTGGTGCAAATGATGAACGAGACTCGGGAGAGACTGTCCTTATTACTTCAGGAGAGTGGTATTGGATTCAGTGCAGGCCAGGCAGGCGAGATCCCTGCTACTGACACATTGTTACCCTTGGTTGCTGCGGGGAACAACCCAATTGATCCTCTATTAAGTAGCAGATTGCCAATCACTGAATCCGCTACACCTACGGCGTCTTTCAGCGTATCCCAGCCGCAATTCGGTCATCAGAGCTGGGACATGACGACGATGCCAATGGACGATGTACCTGCGCGAGACGGGATCCTGCTGACGACGGACGTATTTGATTCTCTGCAGTCGGATTATTTTTGAACCATCTTCCATGGCCAGCCAAAGCCTAGCGCCGGTGGAAGAAGAGTTTCTTGACTGAACGACTAGAACAGGACACTGGAATTCAGAGGTATTATGACTATGGGTTATCAAATGTAGTCGCTTACTACACTTCGTCGCAGGTAACAGCAAAGCACTGGATTGGCTGTAGCATTGTAGCCCAGCTACTTTGGGGCCACCTTTCGGGACCCCCCAGATAGGCGTCAAAGAAAGGCTCTATCACGCGGTTCCTATGATAATTAACTCGAAAGATTTTCAGTATCTATACAGTCTCCACCTTCACGGTGTCTGATACTCTCGCTATGACAAAGTAGCTTTCAAATTGATCGACCTCTTTCAGTCGACGGTAGGATCCTTTTCCGAATATATAATTCATCACCCCAGAAGGGTAGGCTGTCGGATTCAACTTCGTCTTGGGCGGATAGTGATCTCTTGCCATCTCGGGTGCGACGGTTTTAAACGAAACCAGTCTAGGGCCGCTGGGGTTTTCTCGCGCGGAAATTGCAGGAACCGGAAAAAGAGCTATCCAATAATGGCCGATAAGTTGTATCTTCGGGCAACGGGTTTAATTTTGCTAGACGATGATGCAAAAACAAAAAAACACTGCAGCTGGACCTGCATCGGGCCCGATCCAGGGCTGTCTCCTATTGGAAAACGCATCGCTTGACGGGCAATCCGGGCCCGAAGCAAAATCCGGCTTCGCGATTGGCTGGTGTACATCACTCATTGGTCTGTTCAAGAGGTATATAACTAAAACAGGTTGCTCCAAAGGGTCAAGTCTTGCTTCTTCAAGCTCTCCCAGTCCATGATTTTCAACCCCAAGATCAGTGAGACGAGCAAAATGAGCGAAAAACATTCAACGGCATCCGAGCCGTCCATCACCGTTCCAGAGGACAAGAGTGACCTTGAAGCAGGCCCCAAAACGATCGTCACCCCCGAGCCTCTCATCGACGCCGAAGACGACAAAGATCCAAATCTCGTCACCTGGAACGGACCCGATGACCCAGAAAACCCCAAGAATTGGCCGACAGGACTGAAGTGGAAGAATACCTGGACGATTTCTCTTTTTGTCTTCATCTCGCCCGTATCGTCATCCATGATTGCTCCCGCGCTGGCTGATCTCGCCAAGTCGCTGGGGATGCACAAAGAAATTGAGACATACCTGTCATTGAGTATCTTCATTCTCGCCTACGCCATCGGCCCCATTTTCTTCGGTCCGGCGTCTGAGCTGTACGGTCGAGTACGTTTACTTCAGGTCAGCAACGTGTGGTATCTGGCCTGGAATCTGGGATGTGGTTTCGCGAAGACCAAAGCTCAGCTTTTTGCTTTTCGATTCCTTGCAGGCATTGGTGGTAGTGCGCCACTAGCTATTGGAGGAGGAGCTATCAGGTAAGAGAATGATAAGCCAGCATTTACACTCCCGCAGAAGCTGACCCTCACTGGCAGCGATATGTGGTCTGCAGAAGAACGTGGTAAAAGCCATGGGTGTCTATACTCTTGGACCACTCATGGGACCCGTCATTGGACCCATTGCTGGCGGGTTTATTGCCGAGTATTCAACCTGGCGCTGGGTATTCTGGTCCACCTCCGCTGCGGCTGTCGCAGTGCAGATAGTTGGGTTCTTCTGGTTGAAAGAATGCCACCCGGGCACGCTTCTACGAAAGCGACGCGACGCCCTTGCCAAAGAAACAGGCAATGAGAACCTTCACACCGCGGAGAAAAATGAGACCCTGGCTTACAAGCTTCTTCATGCATTTGAGCGGCCGGTACGGATGTTCGCAACACAGCCTATTGTCTTCTGTATGGCTATCTATATGGCCTACTCTCTTCGGCGTCACGTATCTCATGTTTGCGACCTTCCCAGCAATCTGGACCGTGGTCTACCACGAGAGCCCCGGAATTGGCGGTCTCAACTATCTCTCAATCGCGATTGGATCCTTTATCGGGCTCTTCTTTAATCTCAAGCTCGTGGACCGTATCTACAGAATTCTTAAAGCCCGGAACAATGATGTCGGCAAGCCCGAGTTCCGAATGCCGTCCTTGGTTGTGGGATCGGTGATCAGCACCATCGGGCTCTTCTGGTACGGCTGGAGCATTGGGAACACCCACTGGATCATGCCTAACATCGGTGCGCTGATCTACACCATGGGCACGATCTCCTGCCTGCAGGGCATGCAAACGTACATTGTCGACAGCTACCAAACCTACGCGGCCAGCGCCATGGCTGCCTGTGCTGTGCTCGGAGTTTATGCGGCTTCGGATTCCCGCTCTTTGCCCCCTACATGTACAACACCCTGGGTTATGGGTGGGGCACCAGTGTGCTGGCCTTTCTGACCATGATTTTCGGATGGGGGTCGCCATTTATTTTCTGGCAATACGGTCCCCGGCTGCGTGCCATGTCTGCATATGCCTCTGGCTAATTAGGCAGGATTTGGCACGCGAGGGGGGCTGAGTGAGAGACCTCAGCGGTTGCGAGGTGGAACTGATTTCCGCCTGGATTGAGTTCGCCAGACGGAAGTTGTCAATGGGCGGAAGGAAGGACGAGCGGACGGATGGTACGGGGTATTTGTATTATTATCCAGCTGCCATAGAGAAATTGCCCCTATCGAATACGAGGTTGTCATGATTTAATTTGTTGATGACCCGTTCTATGAATTATTCGCTCTCATTCAGATAGGAACAGCCCATAGAACCGGACATTCGTAGAACTCCGGGTCCATGGGAGCCCGCATATGTATTTCTTGGAGCATACCTATCTATACCTCTGACCCTGACCCTGGCTACATTGGGCTTCTGCGCGGCAGGGCACCATAGATATTGCATAAGCGAGGAAGTCCCGAGTCCTAAGGGAGATGGAAGTTTGCTACAGTATCCAGATGGGATAAATGCTCTTTTTGGATTTATTTAACGCCCATCTAGCCCGAATATTTTCTCTGCGATTGCCCACCTAAATTATACTCAAGCTAGAGCGGGCCAGGATAGATGTGACAACGCATCCAACTATGGAGGGAATTGGGGTATCCACACGCCCCTACCTCAATTAACGTCGAAGTCAGAAATTACCTAAGGTCAATGATCAAGAGACTATTAGCAGGTCAGCACATATTAAAATTCTTCTGGAGCCGTGACTTTGAGACCCTCTAACACCCCCTTGCCAGCTTCGCTATTACCACCATATCGCGCACAAGGAAAAATATATTCCAGTTGATGATATCTCGGGCAATAACACAATTCATCGGTATAGTCGATCCACCAGTGCATGGTTGCCGCCCTCGCCGCCGAAGATCGGCATCGCATGCCACGAGTCCCCGATGAACACCACGCCTGCCTGTGCAGCTTGCAATGCATCCGCCGTCGGCATGATCACGCATCGACTGATCCAGTGGAATACTGAGTGCTTTCGGATGGTCTCCGGGTTGATGTACCGTGCCCACGGCTCTGCGAGCTGCCGCGACGACAACTCGTCCAGGAGTGCCTGGGGGTGGCTCTCGCGTCTCGTCTTCCGGTTTTTTGACATTGAACAATCGGTCATTTTCGCCGCACGCTGGTCGGAAATACGACCGGTCGAGGTGCACCCGCGTCTTCGTGATATTGCAGGCCGTAATCGGCGTATTGAACCCGTCGCCCACGCCAGCAAGAATATTAGCATTGCCGATGACAGGACGCATGTACCGGTCGTACTTGTCGCGCGACACCTCGAACTCGCCATGGTAGACCACCACAGGCACCACTTCCGGGACGATATGTGGCAGAACTTGCGAACGCACTGCGTTGGGCAGGTGGTCAGTTAATATGTGTCAGTCGAGTTACGACCGAACATGCAGATGGTTTCAGCCTTGCGTACCCGTTGAATGCACACCGTCAGCGGCAACGACCACCGAGCCGTCATATGCAGCTCCATTCTCGAAGACTGCCCGCACGTTGCCCATTGACCCCGAGATGCTCTTGAGCCGATGTCCGTAACGCACATCCAGCTGGTCGTCCCCGCAGTCGGCAATCCAGGCCCGCAATGAATTGCGATTCGCTCGCACGACCGTTGGCGGGGAATCTGCGTCCGGTTCGACGAGTACCTGTCCCGTCATGTTATCGCGCATTGCAAGGTCTACCCATCCAGTGCCGCCGATGAAGCGGTCCGGCCCAACAGCCTTGATCATACTTTGGGATAGCCCGCCGAGGGCCTCGAGCAACGGGTAATAGCCCCAGTCATGCATGGAAATGGCAAAACCCTGGCTGCGTTCCGGCGGAGAGGCTTCGAAGACGATGTTTGCAATATTATTATTTGTCAATAGTCGCCCAAGGGCAAGGCCCGACAGACCCGCACCGATGATGAGGACAGGGCGTGAATCGTCCATCTTGTGCATAGCGTCGGGCGGGGAAGGTAGCGGCACGGTGAGATGCTGAGTGATAACACAGCTCATAGATCATAATCTTTTTTCCATTAGTTACAGACCCGTAATCTTAAAGTGTGCGCTCGCTGTTGTCGCGTGCTGCCTAAGTCCCGGCCGAACAGTCCAAACCCGCAAAATCCGAGGGCCACCCGCTGAGAACAAAGCCCGTGAAGGACTCCTTGCTCTTAGCCCAGACAGTTTCCTCTACACATTTGGTCCCAGAATAGCCAATCGGAAGACGAATCGAGATTGAAGGCGCTGTTTATATTCGGGTCGGTCCTGTTTATGTCGTCGAAAAGCTCGTTGAAAGAAAAGCCCCATCCGCAGCTTGGTCGACCGAAAATACGCTGTCATCCCGCTTGTCGATACCTTTGGATTCGCGTTGAGCGCGCAGTGCGGTAATGAAAGCTGGCTCGGGAGATGAATTACGAGGCGAATTTACTAGCCAGGCCTTCAAAGTGACCTTAGCAATCGTAACGTACAGGGTTCTTCGGCCCTGGACCAGTGCTTCGTGATTCGCGTAGACCTCTGAAACCCTTTTCCAGGCATCATCGAGCTCTGATGGCGAGTAAAATCCAACCTTCGCGATGCTTCTCAGAATACAGAGGAGGGAATCCCACAAGAAAAACGCTTGCATCTGCCACCGAAACTTTTGCGTGGCGGGATTGCTAAAGATAGCACTGCTGGTGTCGAGTACCTTTTCGGCAAGGGTGCAGAGTTGTCTCCGCTGTGCGTCGGTGATGGTTTCTTGCATGAGCAGCGGCGTCCGCGCACGCAACCGGACGGCACAGATAGCCGATCGCATAACGCCGGTGGTCAGAAAGTGTAAGGGGTTCAAGATGTCACAGTACCGCAAAAACTTCGTCTCAATGATGTCTTCGACCTCGTCGATCAGCCGCTCAATATCCTCGGGATCCCGGAACTGGATTGTACCCCCTTTTTCCTTCAGCTTGACCCCTGTTCGAACGTAGAAATTTGACAGCTCCATCCGAGACAAGCAAAGATCATCTCCGATGCGCCTCGTCGGTCATGAGGCGGCTCGGTCATGCCAGGGAAGATCTGGTCATCGTTAATGTTTAACGGTTGCTTAGTATCCCAGCTATCGGGTGAGAGGGATATACCCGTGCCAGATGTTTGACCCACGTAGCCGTCCAGGGGTAGCAGTTGCCAAAAAAGCCGCCGGCGCATCTGGACCTCAAATGGGGGCAATCCGAGGCTTTCGCCGTTCCGGTGCAGTCCTATGCGTTGGGCTAGGCGAATTGCAATCCCAGTCAAAATCCAGAAGGTATGAGAATCGATCTGAGTGGCAGCAAAGCGATCAGAAAGAGTATGTAAGCCTGTAAAACCGGCATCGCGGTCGTCTTGAGCCAAGACACATTTACTAATGCCTGGGTGACTGCGGTCCGGTATTTAGATATCAAGTGGGTCCTCGAATTATCGAGTTCCCGTGAACACTCGTCGTCCGACATTGAGAATACGGCGAAATGATAGATGGCAAACAGCACGCATTCATCGTTCTTCGAGGCGGTCGCTGGGTGCTTGAGACGGTGTCAACCATCTTGGCGACCGTCGGAACATGAAGAACCTTGCAAAGTGGCTCGACGTTCTCAACGTAGGTATGCCAGAGCTTGACCGCATGCTCATAGCTAGGGTGAAGGTCGGTGAGGCTTATCGTTCTTCTGAGAATTGCGTCCGAGATAGAATGCGCGGCAAGGGCACCGAGAAGACCGGTCGGAGTGGCTTTGTCGGATCCAGGCTCGTCTTCGTGATAGTTTTCTTGCTCGGACCCGGACAACTCACATAGGTCACCTTCCCCAGAGTCGAGGAACAGAACATTGTCAATGTAGCGAGAATTACCATTAATGGAAAGCAGTTTATTCGCCGTGGCGTCAACCTGCGAATTCGCTGGCCCTGGAGTCGGAGCCTGTATGCTGTTTGCTGAGGCCTCCAAGTCTCTACTGCTGGTGATCGAGGCAGCGGCGTGGTCGGAAGGAGGTTGTGGTCGTGCAAGATGCGCTCGTAACGTGCCAGCCGTTTATGTACGTCTTCCTCGTCCCGGCTACGTTTCCTCTTGCGCCGTGGCAGCCGTGGCTGATAGACACATTCGAGCTTGGTCTTGATGCAGCTGGCGCACTTGGGCACCGCGCGGTCGCACTTGATCTTCTTGCGCACACAGGCTTGGCAGTTGAAGCTGACTGGGGTCAACGGGTCGGCTTCGGAGGAGCCATTGTGCGCGTCAAGGGGGAGGGTCCTTGCGGGGGCGGAAGCAAGTGGGATAAGATGGGGGACAGCCTTGGTGTCCCTTGTATCCTCCATTTATGGGGAACCAATGTTTCCGCTCTCTCATGTGTTTATCAGTATCGTTTCCCTTTCGTAGTCTGTGTTTGTGTCGCACTGACTTGGGGAGGCACTTCCCTGTCATTCCTTCGCATTAAATGATGTTCCCGCCCACGAGACTACCCGGCGAGTCATTGAGAAAGAACCCTGGTCAGTTTCCGCCGAGACCTCATAACCCCATTACCCTTAAGCAATCGCGGTTTGACCTCGAGGGGCGAAACGAAGTTTCTCTTCACCCATGTTATCCCCCACAACGACTATTACTCAGGTGCCTAAGCGTCCCATAAGGGAAGAGGATATTTCCAAAATATGCAGCCACCCCAGCCTCAAAAAATCCCTCTCTCGAACACATTTGGCCGAAGATGGAAAGCGACCTCACCATATGTCCCAATAGCGAGAGTCCGGATATCTACATCAAGCGTCCTCGCCTCACTGGCTACAAGGATTCGGCATGTCTCAGTCTGTAGCTACTCTCATCTTGATAAGCATCAAGAACAATCTGAGGAGCGTACCATCTTTAGTATGTAAACCAGAAATCAAGAATGGGGATAGAATGTGATATCGTGGGTTGACTGTGCTGCAGCTGGAGGAATATGGACCAATAGAGCGACCCAGATGGCTACTTCCATACCCCAAAAGGTGAAGCATTTTAGTTTCAAGCCAAGTTTGAGACAAGCCACTTCTAAAATTGGGGTAGAGTGTTCCCAGCCTTCTTCCAACGATATCCTTCGTGCGGCGGGGGATTCTTGAGGGCCTACGGTTCTAGGTCTATGATATTCCGAATGGGCCAGAAAGATTATTATAGGACTTGACGTAGGTTGACCTTCAGAAATTGTAAGAAGACTGTAGAATAAGTTACCAAGAGACTGTTTTTGACTTGTCCAGCCTCATACATGATGCGGCTTCAAAAATTACGACAATAAGGTAAGCGAGTCTCGAAGGCGCTGGCCTTGAGTGATGGGCCCGAAACCGCTCCTGTAAATTGCACCAAAGCCAATCGGAAAGGCAAGGTTCGCAATGCAGCCCATGATAAGATATGAGTATACAAAATTTACAAGACTCCTCGTGCCGGAAGATCCGCGACAGCCATTGTTCCAGAATCATGATCTTGACCTACGAGGGTATGAGGCACTTCCAAGTGGGCTTCGCTCCTGGGTTCCGAACTATTCTAATGGGCTAAATCTCGCCATGGAGACTTCGCAATCAAACTTGCAAATAATGCAGCAAAAGGGCTCCCCTATCATCTATGGTTGTGCGACGACCCGATGGGCTCGTACTCAACGCACGGGAAGTTGATGTTATTGAAGACAGGGTTATTATCTACAATGGCATATGCGAGGGCTCCTGGAGTGCTCGGACACTCCCGGATATACTCAGGTTTCTTTGCGCCTTTAGACCGGTGTACTTCGATGGTCAACCCCGAAGCCAGGCGTTATGGCTTAACGCATCTGGCTTAATTAAGGCGGGCGGACTTGAGAACTACGGCTGCTCTAGAAATTTACCGCCCCATGTTTGGACTTTGTGTGGGCGAATGTCTTTCTACTTTGGCAGCAAATGACCTTGCCACATACTTCCGTATTCTGAAGGATCTTCGGGGGCCGATAGAAACATTAGCCCAAGCAAGATGGATTTCTTTCCCAGGCCTCTCTATGCTTGGCGAACTTTCCCAAAGTGCGTACACCACAAAGGGATGTAACTCTTGCTCGTGAGAAACTCCGCAACATGATGAATGAACCGACGAATATCAGTCGTCCAGTACTCTTTCGAGCTCGGGAAGGTCTTCCAGGCAAAGGCACCAAGAATCGTGCAGGAAAAGGCGATGAGGTGTGGCTCATTGCTGGAATGCCGACCCCAGTTGTGTTGCGAAAGACAGAGCGTGAGGATTGTTTCACAAGAACTGATATTGTCTATGTTCACGGGATCATGCATGGAGAATTGTTTGACCAGAAAGATCGTATACAAGAAGAGATTGAGCTCATCTAGATGTAAGATCGCGTAACTCTTTTGTCAGACTAGAACAGAAGGAGTAGCTAAACCGGCTCTCAGCCTAATCAACAACAGCACTGATCATGGCTACTGTGAGTGACTAGCTGCGCATACATCATACTTGTACCTCAAACCAGGGTCTCAACCTCTAAGAAATGCGTGGCCATTATAGGCAATTATGAGGGACTTAAGCCGCCAATTATACCCGAGTGTAAGCGTCAGAGGATTTTCTTCCAAAGTCACTGTACACTTACGCTACAGGACAAACATTCCCGGGGTGGGAAATCACTCTAAACGTCACGAAGGAAAAAGGGCAGAGTGATACAGATGTACCTTGCAAATTGGACCTCTCATATCCAACAGGACCACTGGGCATGTAGGGTACTGGGCAAGGATTCGTTTCCTCTTGCGACCGGGAGGGCAGGGACCCCTGCTGCAGTACATTGCAAACAGATAAGGCGTCTGCGCCGACCGAAAGTGATGCCACCTGGTCCGCCACATCCTAAAAGTATATTAAGATCTCAAAATCGGTCCCAAGCGTGCGTTTCTTTCGGCCTCTCTAGCACTATGGGACTCGCACAATGAACTGTGAACCGCATGTTGCTGCATTGGTTTGTGCTGAGAACATTGCTCTCAATTACTTGCTGCATGAAGTTCCTGAGCCACCGCTAACAAAAGCCCACCGAACGGGCCTCGAGGCTCTGAAAAGGAGTACATACTTTCCTTCTCTAAAGAAAAGGAACTGGTGGAGGTCCTCTCCTCTTCTTGCTAAGACTAAAGATGGGTTGGATTATATTCCTGCCATATGTGTGTCGAGCAGGACCTCAATGGTGCAGCATTGAAGGCTCTGCTGGCGATAAATAAAAGATCATATACAGATGGAGATGGCTTACTTCAAAAGTTTGAACATTTTGAGAACATTTTTCAAGTATTTCGAAGATCACTATGTGGTTGGTTTATCTCTGACATTGGATGTAGCTTCTGATTCGAGTTTAGCTAGGCCGAGGGCAGCTCCACTGGGATCAGAAACAACTTCTCGAGATGATTGTGCAAATGTGCTCTTCTCGAATTTGGCTTCTAGATTGCGGCTCACTGGCAAAAAATGGGGAAATTCCAAGGCGTCCATCAAAGACATTCTGCATTACCTAGCCTGAGTTTGCTCCGAAGGTTAAAATGAATGATACCTACTATGGTATCCAATCCAGCGCCCTCAACCCTTCCTCTCGCGATCCGCTCCCGCATAATCGCCATTCAGCCCATGTCACACCTTGCAACAGGCAATCCGCCAGATCATCGAGTTTCCTAAGATCAACCGCAGCCACCTCGTCCATACCAGACTGAGCAGATAAGGGTGATGACGAGCGAGACCTCCCCCTTTCCCCTTCGTCTGCGTCTGACCCTGCCATTTCCGCATATATGCACCCGCAACACCATACAGAGCAGGAGACACAGATTTATCAGCCAGCAAATCTTATTGACGGCAGCAATGCCTAGCTCTAGTTTCCGAAGACCGTCGTCCGTGTCTGACAAGCATTGGTGTTCATTCACCGCAGCAGAAAGCCACCGTCCAATAATATCGATCTTAGCCTTCTTCACTCGCGCGCATTGGGTTTCTTCTCCTTCTTTTCCTTAACATCTAAATTTTCGCACCCTTCACTTTCCCAGGAACCGACTCAGGCCACCCTCAAGCCAATACTTGACTACCCGACCCGGCTCAAACCAATACCTCAAACAACCAAGTCGGCGACATTGCCGCCTCTCCTGCCGTAGCGTTTGGAGAACGGCATACAACATGCCCTCCATGATGCCAACGCGCATCGTCCACAAGAACGGCCCCCGCCGCCTGAACGAAGCGCTGGCGCTCCTATGAGCACGCGGCGTGGGGCGGTAGGCAGCTATGAGTGATGTAATTAGGAGTATACACGCATTTGCGGCGTAGATGTCGAGGGCTGTATAAATTTTTTCATCTTTGTAGATTTGGCGATCTTGACAGTCATATCATTTTCCGTTTCTTTTGGGAGTATAGGTTGCGATGATTCTGTGACGTCATTAAGACCTTGATGCTGATGCGGCGAGCCAGTGCCATTGTTAATCTCTCTCCAGAGCATTAAGATTCAAGTTTGATATCTCGAAACGGCGAGTCGATGCCAGGCTGTCAGTATAGGTGCTTGAGTGCGTTACGCGTCAATCCCGACATCTAGGGAATCAGTGACCCACGAGCAAATGTGCGAATGCGACGTTCTGAATCCCCATATCGATACTGAGGATACTCCATGGTTTGTCGTGTGGGTTTGGTTTTGTGGAATCTGTTGACGGTGGTCTTTGTCTTGAGTCTGTGACCAATTGTTTGCCAGAGCAGCCTGTCCCGATCGACCATATCGATTTGGCTTATAATTTTCGCTCCGCATTAGTACTGTGATTTGAAATACTGATGACACCTTTTTGCAGCACTGTCCACAGCAGCCAGTGATTGCAACTGCGACTGCGTCTGTGACTGTGGATGCAACGTCAGCTCTGTTGCAATGCGCTCAGCCAGAGAACGCCCTTCATGCCGGACGATTGGACGCCCGTTGCGCGCGCGTGCGCTGGCGGTGTGCTGATTTAAGCATGCGAGCCAGGGGTGGGTTGGGGGTACAGTGCTCGAGAGACGCATTAGGGGGGGTTTCTTTCTGCCTGCCAAGGATGACATTTGGGAAGTCTAGGCTTTCCGGTACAGGCACGAAGGAGCACAGCACGAAGTACGAGTAAATCCCTCTGACTTGGATGACCCGTTATGGTAATTTTAGACTGGACCATTTTTAGGGGCATTCTTCACGGTCAGCGCACGGACCCGATGGACCGTTTGCGTCGACCATGGCACTAGGTCGGATTTGAGTTTGTCTTTGTTTTCCAAAGGTCAGTGGAAGTTTGTAGAAAAGGTAAAAATGGAGTCGATCTGTTTTGGTCTACTCGACAAATAGGTATTATATGCGCCTTCTATTTCCCAGACACCGAGATCGGTCAAAACAACAGGAATAAAACTCCTCAATAGGCGGCAAAAAGTAGGCGCTAAACCCATATCAAACACCACCTCGAACAGCAGTAGCTCAAAATCCAAGCAAAAATAGATAGCAAATCAACCAAATTATATCAAGGTAACATGTTTAATCCACATTGCGATCTCATCTCAGAAATACAACAATGGAGACCCAAACACGCCAGTGTAGAACACCCATATGAGCAGACGCATCCCAATACGCTCGATATCCGACTGTTGCGGCATCAAGGCCAACAGGAAGGGTTCACGAATCCAGGTCTGCACCCGCCGGTCCTGTCTGTGGGTAATAGGAACCATAGTAGCCGACAATGGAACCCTCTGCGACTCACGAATCATAGTGGCGACAACAATGATATCTACAGGCGCGGCTGGCGATGTGCCCAAGGATCTTGCTGCGCATGCTGTTTTGGGAAGAAACAGCTCGAAGTTCATTCGAAGTGCCACTCGAGGCTTCCTCGTGGGGGAAATGACCTCGTCTGCGACGACAGGGTCGACTGCGGCGCGGCACAGGCAGCGGCCAATCTCAACCTTAATGCAGCGCATGTTTGTCGCGCTTCCGCCGCGGTGGTCAGGATCGTCGTCATTATTGTCTGGATTTCCCGCGACACGGTTCTCAGAGTCCATGCCGTCTTCCATTAGGACCAGATTGTGTTCGGAGGTGGAATGGGTTTCTTCTGGGGTGGAGATACCGCTTGTGCGTGTTCAGAGGACTCGAATATATTGCAGGCGATATCGAGATTGATTAGATTTTGGACGGTTGAGCGGGTGCCGGAGGGGTCGAGTGAAGGAAGGTTCGGGAGTGGCAGGCAGGGGCGAGTGGAGGGTGCGGGGCGATTCGGAACAGGGCTCGAGGGTTTCAGGGTATATTCCTGTTTCTGGTTGAAGTTGCTTGCGGGCTTCTGCGTTTGCATGTCTTGACGGGCTTGCTCGCGCACTGAAGATACCAGTGGCGGCAGGCTAGGTAATGAGCTACCGCGGGTGATTTTGCCTTGAAAAATCTTGGAGGAAGGGGACTGTATCTTCGATGAGCAGAACATGGGAATACTCGAATCTGATGGTTACAGCGGCGTCTCGCTCAGTCACGGATTAGTTCGAAAAGTTATGGGACAGAAGGTACAAATTTGACATACCAACTTCATCGCCTCTAGAATAAAGAGAACAATGTTCGCAGACCGTTGACAATCTCGCGGGGATCCTGAGACTCTGGCCCCTTTTGGATTTGATCGACCACTTAGAAGTCTGCCCACTCGTCGCATCGGAGCACAATGCGTTTTCAGGAGCGTCATAGTAATTTTGCCAGCGTGAGCATATCGAGAACGCCTTTGCGTATTGCTGCATAAACGTGGAACTTCCAGGTTCTGCATGATGATTGGTTGATCCGTTCTGGAACAAAGTCTTGATGACATCCTGCAATGTCTCGAACGGGCGGGAGACGGGGATCGAAGGTGCGTCAGTACCATCACTCGACTCCGACACTCGGCAGTGGCATCAACGGTCGCGGCATAGAAAGGAGTAGATAGTAATCTCCACACCCCGAGGGAGTCCCAATAATCCGCAGCTTCTTTCCGCTAGTTGGCCCTTTCTCCATCTGAGTCGGGCTTGAAATGCAGGTCGCGATCGGTGCGATGCATGCGGGAGTTGATGTTGCTCATGATACGGGCAGATCCAAAAACGCGGGCGTTTCTTAATAACGGTGGGATGTGCTTCAGGCCGCAATAGGCGCTGATCGCGGAATCAACCCCAGATTATAGGAGTATGCGGATAGCCTCCGGTGACGAGAGGGCTCTCGAAACCGAGAGACAACGGCTGGTAGCAGGGATGTAGTTTGTCGAGCCCATGGGGATAGGCGAAGGCGGTTGACGACGACAGAGGATTAATGGTAGTTCGGTCATCATGGTTGTGGCGATCGACGTAATCAGTTCATTGGTTCCTCTGAGTTGATGATCTAAGTGAAAGTGTAGTTTAAAAAATGTTTATGGTGTGTATTTGCATATCTCAGAACATATTTGTACTATATCTAACGATGGTGATGGCTTTGGCAGTAACAACATGCGCGGCAGGCGCTTTTTTGTTTTTATTGGTAGTTCTCTGGATTTTGGTTTCTTTTTGAAAGCATTTCCCTCTACCTGTTTTATGACGAATGTACACCTGTTAACAAAAATATTACTCTTAAGCTATATACAGACCAAGTATTTCAACCTCCGACATCGAGACCTGGCAAATGCCGCCAACGCTGCATATGACATCTCACCCACAACCCCCGAACAGTGCCTCAATATTCAATTCAACCTGCTACGGCCCTTGCCGCCTTCTCTACAACAAGTGACTACCTAACAGCCGTCTCCGCCAACCGCACAACCCGCGGCTGTACAAACCATCTATGACATCTCATGACTGCAGCACTGTTTCAGAGCTCCATTGATGGCAGAATACTTATACGTGGGACGTGCAGACCGCACTCCACGTAGAGAATAGCGGACTCTACAGTGCCTGCTAACTCCTGATACTTGGGCACGCTACTTTCGGCGACCTCCCCGTGCCACCGAGTATTTCATCCTCCATCTTTGATTACCAAGCACAACATCTCGCTCCAAATCTATTCAGGAGAGTGGATATGCTGATCAACCACTTTGGCGCGGAACTGTCGTTTACAGAGAATATGACGTGGCGCGGTGCGCAGGGCTTCGCGCAAGCCGAAGAAACCGTTCTTCGCTGATGTCTGCTGGAAATCGGCGACCAACAGCTCCTCCTCAAACGCACGCCGAGTGTACTACGCTCTCAACCGCCACACCCGCCGCGCAGGTTGCGGGGATATTAAACCATGGAACGTGGTGTTTCATATCATTTATTCCGCCCAGGGCGGGCTGATGTCTTTGTGAAAGCCACGTGAGATGTTTTTCCTTCCTGAGAGATGTGGTTGTTGCGCGAGGGCTCACTGATTATGTGGACCTCGTGGGGTCGGTTTTGGGTTATCGGAAATATGTCATTTCTCTAAAGTTCTTTTCTATTTTCAAAATTGAGGGCCAAGTTAGTATGTGACTTTCAGACCATGCCAAGCTCGTAACAGCCTTAACAATTATGGAAGGCTTTCGGACGATGTCGACAAGATTGTTGCATCATGTGGAGAATCACAAAAGCAATGTGATCTCTGAGTTCAAATAGGTTTCTTTCTTCATTGCCTTTTTTTGTATATAGAATCCAAAAAAAATCAACTCAGTGATTACTTGCCTCAAAAATCATGGTCTCCCATAGTTATCATGACCTCCGTTTTGATTCATTGTAGAGACTTTCTTGAATGGATTATTCTGTCTTCATTTGACATACCACTATGAGGGAATAGCTTAATCTCATTGCCACCCAATTCAAAAAAACACAGTACTATAAATGTAAAAATACATCGAGTTGCCCTTCTAACATGTAATGTCCCGTCCACGCATACCCAGCTGCTACGAGAGTCTCGTCAGCTATTACAACAAGCAGATGAATAAGCATAATATGACAGAATTTGTATATTTGAAGTAGAAGTACTAGATGTTACTTGGGGGTTGGCAATAGGGTGTCGGTCGGGAGCCATCATGACCCAGCGCACCAGTCATGGTGTATCACGAGAGAGTGGAATCCAAAGGTTACCGTATAAACATAGAAAAGTCTTCTGCGCACTTTATATTTTCTATCTTTCTTCTGTGTTCTAACTATGGGTTTAGAACCGAGGAAAAGGAAGGAGTGAATATCAAAAGGATTTTCATATCTGTTTTGTTACTCAAAGCAACAACTGAATTAGGAAAGCATAGATGATCTCTTGAGAATGACATGACCTTCGAACGTTTGACAGCAGAGTTACCTTTGTAATGTGAAAAACCCCCAAGTTAAATCTACTGGGGAGGCTTCTCATGGCCATGCTTGAAAAACCCAATCTATACCGATGGAACATCGTTTTCTGTAGAATGAGTTTTTGTAACTATGCGCGATGTTGACGTAGCATCGGATAATGAATGCTTTAAGATGCGAATATATCAGTGTCATTGACTTCGAGCTGCTCGTCTCGTAGGAGCATCTTTATGCCCAGTTTGTTTCAGCCTTCTGCGCGGCTTGTGGCGCCGTACCAAACTCTCCATTTGGCATCGACATCACTTTTTAATCAACGGCAGCCTTGCACAGCTGATGGCAATTCAAATAGCACTTGAACCATTCATTCTAGAGCAATCTTCCACGTCTGCGTCATCACTGCCACCAGTGGCGTATATACGCTCATTCTGTGCATTAACATCTGCACCAGACGAAGAACGGTCCACTGACTCCCACTTCCCAGAAACTGCTGCTCAAGTGTAGTGCTGTCCCCATAACAACGCCTCCGTCGAGGTCGGACTCGCCCCATGGGCCATAAAATTTCGAGCAACGCTGGAAGTATAAAACCTGGTAGCGGCGATATACAACATAGTTGCACCAGTTTGGGAATCCTTGCGTTCGGGCATACTCACAGTCAAAGATACGCGGATAGGTCCTCATCAATGCGAGTACCATGATATTTTAGAATAGCGCGTGAACAAAGCTCAGGCGTTCAGCAGGTACCCAGCCCTGTGACTCAAGGATGAGGCGTGCGCAAGCGACACTACCACCGTATAGCCGCATAGAAAGCTTTTCAACGACCGGTTTGCCGTGTCGAGCATGCTGGAGTAGGATAGCCACAATCTCAGGATACTTCTTCTCAGAAGCAATTACCAATGGCTCGAAACCTTGAACTTCATTGAGAAAAAGCGGTCTTTTGAGACTCCTGGGAGTGCCTTGATCACCAGTATTCGATCCGCTTGATCACTTTGACATTTATTGCAGCGAATGGCAACTTTGATATCCCCAGTTGAGGAACAAGCTTGGTGCTCATATAATTGATTTTTCGATATCGCCGTCGGCTGGCGCACGACCAGGTACTCTGGATGACTATAAACGTCGAAGGCGAACATCGCGTCGCAGCGATAAATGTTTTATAAATATATGTCAACTCTACGGCGCTGCAACAGCCGGAAGTCTTATAATCTTTTGAAAATCTGTTTTTTTTATTTACAACAAACCGATGTTCGATAACCGGTGATTTGAGACTAAACCAGTGTTTATTTATATTTTTCTTGATTCTTTGATGAGATGCCACCTACGAATTCCAGTCGCCGTATCGCATCAAACTCCATTTTGTAAGACTTCAACTAACCATTTCCGCCTGCTGATGACAGACCCAGCAACGACAGTTTTCAAAACAAAATGCTCAAAATTTGCTCAAATCTCCGTGCACCTTAACAGGCGTATCTGGAAAGAGTCTTCGAAGTGCTCGACTTTGAATCCTGCCAGTATTGCTTCTTGAACCAGCATTGATTGCAATCTCCTTTTTACCGCGACTCAGACTTGTCTTCACGATAGACATATACACGTCATGAGATAAAATGGCTCCATGGGTCCTCTTGGAAATAGTCGTTTGGCAATTGATGCATGTCCCCAAAAACGTCCGCGAACATTCAGTGTGCTTTTGAATTCGCTGAAATCACTTTCATCGGAGAGTAAAACTGCTATTCAAACAGGTATATTCCTTCTAGATGGGCGTTTGCCCCGTTTCGAGGAGTATGGAGACGGTAGCTTCGTGTCCACCAACAGCGGCAAGATGAAGAGGAACTGCTTACAATACTTTGTTGTTCCGGTTTTATGTGCTTGTTGAAAAGTGGAATAACCATCGACGTTGGCTCCTTGTTGCGGCAGAATAACGTCTTCTCTTGTCCGTTGCCTGCAGCCCAAGGCAGAGCGCTGTTTCAGTATCGCGTCAGTCTCGTCCACCTCTATACCTTGGCGAAGAAGCAGTTTTACTATGTCAGATGTCATATAAGAGGCTGCCTGCAGTGCATTTCTAGTTAACCAGATGCGCCACGCCGCATGCCTGCCAAGCAGAACCGAACAATGTCAATATGCCTACATCACAGGCAACCTGAAGTGCATTACCATTTGCTGCCACCTGAATCTTCGATGTTTGCTCCGTGATCCAACAGAAACTCAACGACCCTAAAGTTCCCTCGCTCCGAATGAACCTGGAGGCATGATCCAAACATTCCCCAATGCCTATCAATCTCTGCACCGGGACAGCAACACCTCTACGACATCAAAATGGCCTCCCTCCAAAGCTGCAAGGGTTCCAAGGGTCTGTCACTTTGAGCATCGAGTCTGCTCCATGGTCTAAGAGTTTCACCACTGGCAGATGTCCCCAGAAAGCTGCGATCTGCTGCAAGGCAGTGTACGCATCCCCAGTGGTACTCATTATCCTCAGAACTAGCATCCATGGCATCTATTCGAGCCTGGCTAGTAGCATCTAACCAAAATAACGTTGCCCTTTCCGAGCAGCGGCCTCAAGTGGCTGACCAAGCTGGCGGAATGTCCAGTCTGCCCGTACCCGTCCTTAACCACTGGTAGCGCAATCCTCTTAGACCTACAGGATAGGCTACCAAAACGGATTGTACTCATAGCGTTCCCAGTTAAGCTTCGCCCCAGCGCGAAGAGTACGTTGACGATATTCTCAGCAGCATATACGGCCGCTTGCAACATCACGATATCAGATGACGCGCCATAAGTATGTTGAAGTCTAATGCAGCACCCGCTCATCAAGAGTCGAACACACTGTCATTAAAGAAGGCAGCCTGTAGCGTGTTGCCAAGTGGCCACCAAAATCCATCTGCACGTGCTCCGTGATCCAGTAGCATCAACATCATATCGACATTTCCTAAGGAGGCAGCGGCTTGGGCAGGTCTGCCGAGCTTTTTGTCTTCAGTGTTAGGGTTGGCTTTTCTTCAATAGGTATCTTTTAATCTCGAGATGACCAGATATAACGGCAGCCCGCGAAGGCCAAACGTCACGCGAGCATCAATGTTGGCGCCGGCATCGATGACAAGCTGCACGAGACCAACTTTTCGGCTGGCGGTAGTGGCGGGCATTCCGAGAAGTACCCGTTTCTCTTGTTTATGCGACCATTACCATATTCTTGTATTGTCCTTGCTTGCCAGTGATCCTGAGAGAGAGTAACTTGCAGAGCAGATCGGGCCCTACGTTTGGTGTAGATAGCCAGCCTTGCCGCTCAAAAGCCACTCACAATATCGACATTGCCTCTAAAACTTGCAGTATCTATGGCATCATCGGGTACTTCTTGTGGTCAATCTGCATCCACTATCAACGAACAATTGGGCGACCCCCGTCATGCCCATTAGCTAAAACAACTGGAGCGGACTTAGGTAATTCACTTTTTCGGCCTGGAAGTTCAGCTGGGGAGAAAGAAGCGCCTCTTTCAAGTAAAATCTTCACAATTTCTCCATGCCCAGCAAAGGGGATGCTGCCTGTAGTGCAGTTCCATGTTGAGAGCCGGGGCATCTACACAGCTGCCCCCCAGATCTAGGAGTCTGGGTCATCTTGATGTGGCCCCAACGAGCGGATTAGGTATAGTGCCGAAGTATTATCACTTATTCCTTTGATTTGGAAATCCATTGCCCGAGCAAGCTCAGAAGATTCAAAGTACTTCTTCGAGGCCAAAACAAGACATCGTAAACAATGCTGATGGTGGCGAGGCGGGCCAGTACAGTGAGCTTTCTGTGGACAGTTGCTCCATCGAGATTATTCTCAATATTCAGTGTATCAAGATCATCCAGCCAATCTTCAAAGTGTTCTTCTTCCAGTGAAACTCGAAAGTGCTGGCTTGATCAGCCTATCTTTGGGGTGATCCACTGAGCTGCTCAAATGAGCCAGCCAATACCAAGTAGCGTAACTCAAAATATTGGACTCGCGTTCCTCCCGCGAGTATAGGCCTAAGCGCGATCAGGCAATAGTTGCATTGGACTCGTCGATAGAGAACTCGGGTAAAGTTTCAAAGATCTGCGCATCAAGGATCGGGTTTTGTCTACTCCGCGGCTTGTGGAAAACATACTCTCGGACTGTCAAGTGAACTAGGCGGAACATTAATAACGCTTCGTTGTCTATCGTCACGGGTTGCGGCAATAGTGTGGATTGATCTTGCTGATACATGGGATGGCTGGGTCGAGAACATGCTGATAGCAGCCACAAGTTCGGAGACTGAGAGCTTTCTTTTCGCGCACAAAATACGTGGAAGCTTAGGTACCACTCTTCTCGTGCTCTCGCTCATAGAGGTTTATTCGTCTGTAGATGGCCTCATATGATTTGCGCAGGGTTGGAGGCGAGGTCAAGACCTGGCGAATACGTCAATATCCTTGACATGGTCTAGTATATATACTTTCGAGCTGAAGTATTAGAAAACTAAAATCGTCAGCGTAAAGGTCATATGAATAAAAAACTCCATCTAAATCTTTAGCCTTGATCGTGCTACGTTCATGTGGCATGTCATAAGTGCCTCGCTTATGTCCTCCCCAAGCATACAGCCCCAGGTCAAACTCACCAGCTATAGTGAGCCATCTTTGCGAATCTTTCGACCTCAATTTCGACAAATTTGCTTCGAATCTTCGTGATTTGATTGAAAAGTCACCTCTAAGGTTTCGCCTTTCTGAATGCCACAATATCTTCTTCCTTATGAGCTCGAAACAAGATCTTGACAACATCTGGCACCGTTGTCAGAATCTCCTCAAGAGCCTAGAAGCCGTCGTTGTGAGCTGCACTCGTCTAATGCATCATCGTAATTGTTAACGGAGTCGCTCGGCGATTTCATATGACTTCCACACAATCTTCTACCGTCACAGTGCCGGTCTTTCTCCGGTATGAAACCGCTTCTGCTTGTCTTGATTTATACACTTTCAATAACGGACACGAACACGACAATCATTTTCTTCGCTTGTGAAGATCTGCTTTGCAGTCGCATTATCTTGGGGGTCGGTTCGTTCCCGGGCTCTGCAAGGTTCAGCAAAGAAATGCGCTATTGGTGCTGTTGAGATGCGCCACAGCAGCTCTGTTGACGTAGGTGTTTGAATCAAATCGCACTAGAAAAGATCAATTCCCCCTTGGTATGATACAGTTCTCGACGTTGAAACTTACCAAGTTTTCGTCTTTTCCGCACCCCGCTAAACATCCTAATAGCTCGAAGTGTAACATCCATGCCCCATATACAGATTTTAAGTTTTATATGCTTACGCATGCCATATAGCCAAAATGTCCGAACTGCTCGAGTCTTCCAGGTCATGAAGCTTGATCTTGAGAAAAACCACTCGCCTGACCAGATATAACAGATGCCAATGCCTCCCTGTAGTGTTGTTGGGCGGCGACGGGAAATCACGATGACTCAATTTCTCTTACTTTCTGGTCATAATTAGCCTTGTGTTCCATGTTTTTCCTGCATAAAGAGTACTTTTCAAAGCACCATAGAGGTCAGATGCCTGATCTGTAATCCTAATCAGGGTCGCTCAAAACCTCCAAGTTGCCTCCAGTCTTTTTCGGATGTTTTCGACGTCTTCACGGTCCGGTGGTCGTGAGGGCATCGTCGATATGCCGTCGTGAATATCTTCCACCCTAATACAATGTCGAAAATTGGTATTTATCCATAATCAACAACGGACTTTCACCTCCAGCAGAGATATTTAAAGCTAGGGCTTTCTGCTCTGCGGCCTCCATTTGCGTCACTGACTTGAATGGACAAGCTGGAACTGATTAAGTTCCAGGAACACGCTCTAATTCTCGGTCAGCACACATAATCCTCAATCCATTGAATCAACTCACTCAAGCGCGAGGAATCCACGGTGCCTCTTGGCTCTACAAATGAAGTCAGGACAGTGGAATACAAGTTCACCATTCCGTTCCAAAGCACAACCTTGACTGGTAGTTCCACCACCCCACAGTATGAACAGAGCCTCAAAGTCCACGATCAATCCTGTGGCCTTCTCCAATCCTCAACAATAGCACAAAAACTTGACAGAAGAAGGTCAGCTGGCAAGAACGCACACCGGCCCACGGCGCGCCGTGAACAGGGTCATGCTGGACCGCGATATCAACAACCTGCATATCTTTGTAACATTACAGCAATCTTAGCGCATAAATCACGAATGATAGACTCTTGCCCCGATACCGATGGTGACCCATTTATCCGCGGCTGGCGGTCGCGCTGAATTTCGTTGCCAGTATGTCATTCAGAGTCTGTTTAGCTTCTGGAGCTGGGGGTTTGAGATTTGAAGATACGTCGATCTTTTCCGGGAGTGTTGATGGGCAAGGTACATAATTGGGAGTTTGCGGAGGTTTGCAACGTCATCACAGTATCACCGGTCTTTTGATCAACGTATAGAATGCGGATGTGTATTCAATGATCAAAATGAAAATAAAACAAGAACCAGCGCTTTCATTTGTTCGCGTTGAAGGTGAGAAGCTCGCCAGAATTAGACAGTGAGCTGTGTAGCCACACATACGTACCTCGCAGCATCCTTTAATTCATATATATAAGTTGAGTTCCTGATGACATGAATTTACAAGTCCTCGAACTTTCTATCATTATGTACAAGAAAAAAACATGTTTTTTTCCCGAACCACCTTCTATTGTAGAAAATCAGGAAATATCCAGAAAATATCAGATCCTAAAGGGCCAAAATGTGTACAGTCTAAGGTCATTTTATATGGAAATTCAAGCGCTAAATAGGTATAAATAGGGTTCGTCATGTTCCCCCCATAATATAGGGTTCAACTGTCTCTATGTATCAGCCCCATAGAGTAGGCCATAGAGTCACGTTATATAAGTCCCTGATTTGTCTTTATAAGAACACCCCTCACATCTATACGTATTAAAATTCGCAACCCATCACCCCAGATGTGAGGAAGTATTCGACGAGTTAAAGGTCAGACAACCTCACCTGCGTTCTTTATGCGGCTTCCGCACACGACAAGAAGATCACCGTTGCGAGTCACGACAAATACAAGGATTACAGTGAGTTTCTCTCTACTTCAACATGACACTCCCCGTGCATGGTAAATGCAGAACCTCGCCTGACTCTCCTGCTGGGGATGGCCAGAAACAAGCTAGTCTTTATCACCTGGTATGTAACAAACATCGCATCACCTTGATGTTTGGGGAGGAAAAGTTGATCTCGTGATCGAGGTACATGGTGCTGACTGTTGGGGATTTTGATACCGTTACCCGAGGCTGCCAGCATTCATGACAAATCTTGTTACACATCAAACAAAGATCACCTCTTCTACGCCCTCCAGGATATCAATTATTTATGTCCATGGCATTCTCAGGCCGATTTGGCTCGTACTTGCAGGTATGTACTTTGTCCCTGTGAACCGTGACTCCATGGCTAGTGTGGTGACCATGGAACTGGCAATTTTCTCGTTTTACTTAGTCTGGGAAAATTCAAGGCTCTTTAAAGGAGCTTTTGATTTCAATACTTCTTTTTGTGAATCTGAAACCCGCTGGGTGATGGGCGACTCACAGATCATGGTGATCTGGCTGTGCTGTGCTGTTTCCATATTTCGTTATAACACATCTCTTACGAATTTTCCATCGTTCACCTCCGCCGCGTACTACGTATTGAATAATTTCAAACATGTTGAAGGCAGGAATTGCATGTAATAAGCGGAAGTTCGCCGATAAACATCATTTCATTTGGGGCTTATTGTAACAAAGACCCAGTTATTCATAGGATGTTGACCCGCTAATGCAGGAAAGAGAAGCAAAAAGCACACCAACGAATGCATATGTAGTCGATAGTCAAAAAGACTCAAAAGCATGCCACAATCGATTGTTCGTAACAGTTATCTTTCAAAGGGATCAACCACCAAATCGGAAAAACAGAGGCCACAAATCGAGAATGGGATTGCCGGGACGAGTTGGTATTACAAGAAACCAAAGTAATGTGGCTGGCATGCACGATAGATTTATCATAGTCATCATCATAAGACCGACGAAAAAAGAGCCTGGGGGAATCCATCGTGACGCATTGAAAACGAGTTCTCTGACATAGAGCGTAAAGTTATTTCATAGTCATAGCGACGGAAGAACAGGCTTGATTTGACGAGGAAGAGAAGCGGAGTCGGCGCCAGAGAACATCGCCCTCGAAGAATATATCACTGTCTCCACCTAACCAGTGTCAAAAGGATAATCCGCCTTTCACTGTGTAGAGCCAACCTCTCCGCCTCAACGAGTGGCAGGATGGTAACTGTTACAGATACATATCATATTGATTGAATGGCGCTATCGTAAAAACAGATAATGAATGATGTTTAATAGTGATTATCAGGTGGCGAGGCGCCTGCAACGAGGTATATAAAAGCAAATAAATGCCAGGTGATGCAGGCAGAACTGCAAAGGATGGAAATACCCTCAAAAAACGACCTGCCTTTAGCTCTTTTTAATTGACGTAGAATAACAACATAGTAGTAAAAATTATGCATACCTTTCATTCCAACATCTCGTTAAATAAGATCTGAACATTTATAAATAATTGTATAACTCTATTAAGAACTCACATGATTAATTGTGAAACCACCACGCCTAATTATTTTTAATACCATAGTGTGACATTCACCAAGACATATCAAGACAAACTGAAATTAACACTCCCGACGAGATAAAGAAATTATTTAGGGTTTGAGTTCATCGAATCAAAGATTGTCGGCAGCCTCTTCCAAGCTTACTAATTGCCGATGATAGTGAAGTACCACCTGCATTGCATATGATATATAGCAGTCAACCAATGAAATCTTTCTGCTCTCCTTCCTCTTCAGTACCAATAGTCGATCAACTAATAATGTTTGAGCCATGAATAAACTCTCTTTTTGAAACTCACTAATGAAAGTTTTGCAACAAAATATCATTTAAGATGTTGATATTCTATTTGACCTATAACTCAACGATTTCCTGTTCACCTCATGACATAAGAGACTGTTACCAGTCAATTTATTACCGTTTCATGGTCTTTAAATTATTGGCGAGACATCGATAACCAAGTATCCTTCCGCATCGGCGCATCAATAATGGTGGGTGAATCTCTATTTGAGTGCCAGCAGTACAGATCAATCTCCGGTGCCGAAGAGAAGTAAAGCCTTAAGTAATAAGCATTTTCAACAAACATTTGATATTATAAGCTCAGGCAGTTTTTGGGAGAAATACGCAAACATTCATCAACTTTCCACAGTTTGCAACATCATCAACCCAACGTCAAACACCAAGCGCGGATGCGCGAACATCTTGGCGAAGTAATATTCGCGTAAATTCCATTGCAATAACGTAATAACAGGCGACAACCATCAGCTATTACGCGCTGGCGTATTTCTGTGACTGATGTGATTGACTCGAGGTCATTGATAAGTATTGATGCGCAGAGGCATCGTTGAGTTGATCAAGTGTGAGGAAGCATTGTAAAGAGCAAGTTCGAGGGCTGTGGCGCCTGGTGTCATCATGCTTGATCACGTTGATCAATGTCGATGGGAATGAACTTGAGCGAGGCAAATAGAATACACTGCTCTTAATTATCAGTTAGTCAGACCCACGCTCACCCTTGTGTTCAGGTAGACTGGACATCGATTAACCCATCCATCTCGCGGACGTCGACGCTCTCTTGGGGCTCGTAGGACTTGGAGAATACTGTCACTCGTAGCTATTAGCTACAGGCAGCCGCAGTCCGAAGTACTGATCCATGGCTGAGACCCCGTAGATGCTTCATTTCGGTATGGGCGCGTTTCATCCAATGTACCCAGATCAGTATTGCTTTGCGGGATGATCAGTCCCATTCTTTTCCTTTAACAGATGATCCTTGGATTATGCCCTCGCCTATTGCTTCGGTTACGTTCGTTAACGGAATGAGGGGCCGCCGGAGTCTTTGGAGACCAGGCATGTGATGAGTAGCGCCTTGTTGTCCAGAAGCCATGCGATAGTGTGATTTAATGGGATTGGCGATTGCTCGTGATATCGGTAAAGACCGAGATGAGCTTGCTGAGCTATCACCAGTGCTGGGTATTACTAAAAATCGACCACTCCAAATTCCGCTTTGAAAGGTATTGGTGTTGGTACCGGCTTAGCCTCAAAAATACCATCACTGTGTTGACACCGACTATTTGGCCTACATCAGAAACAACCCGTAAGATACACAAACCTTGCATCCGCGATGATTTCTGGCTCAGATTGTGCTCGTCTGCTGTCGCGTTTTATTGAGAATCTCTTGAGTTTGGTCGTGGCTGCAACTTCTTTCTCGTTGTCGGTCATCCAGAAGGTGTCATCGTTCTCAGTTTCTCAGAATGTCGCGCGGTGGCTTCGCAGAGGATTTCCGACACCGCCGAAAATTTGGAAGCTTATGCATCTCAGAGAGGCAGCTGGGAGGTCAACAAGGCGATTTTGCATCATTGACAGAATCACCAATGATTTCAGTTTACTGATCTCATTTGGTAATTCCTTGATCTTATTCGGCTTAAATCAGAATTTCGAGCAATGGTAGTTTGTAAACCTAGCAAGCAAGATTAGGCGCAATGCATACACAAAGCAGATTTGTTTTTGAACATACTCCTTTGGGAATTCACGGAAGTTGTTCGCTCTTATGTTGAGATAAGCGTAGATGCGAGCACTCTGCAAAGCGATACTGGGATATGGAAGAGCTGGTTATTTGACAGGAACAGCCTTTATACCTAGTCCAGTATGGATTCAGACCAGTGATACCGTAGCCTAGGAACGAGCAACGCGAAACGATTATAAAGTACAAAGCAAGGCTCCGACGTACCATTCGACTTCATCTTTAATCAAGTCCAACGGCTGGTTCAGGGATCCTCGCAATGTGTGAATGTCCAAGATCAATAGTCAGCAGAAGCCCCGGTACATCTCTGTGACGGCCTCGCTGCCTGCTAGGGAACGCTTGATATCTTGAATCCCACTTTCCACGGCATGCCGTGCTAGTTCGATGGTTTCCTCGGGGCTCGGTGTTTTCGAGCCAGCCAGTTTAACGCTGCTAGTAGTCTCCGGGGTATCTCCACAAAAGCAGTGCTTAGTCGACTCCCCCGTCCGGAGTATGGAAATCATCGCCTTGTGACGCCAACAAGCCACCTGACTCTGGAGTTCCATCTTCCATGTCATCCTCGTCTATATCGCCGTGGTTCAAGCGCAGCCCACATACCGCATCCTCGGAACGAGTCGTTGAGATGTCATGGCTGATAAAGGCCCAGATGTTCTTGATCCAGGCACACCCCAGGGCAGCACTTTCGTTGACGAATTGATATACTGCCGGAAAACGAAGAATATCAAGCGCTATTACCATTACCATATGAGCACACTTCAGGCACCTGCGCAAAGCATCATTGGTTGTGATTTGGCCGGAGGGTGGGCTATCTTCAGTGAGATGGGAATCGACGTCGAAATTTGGCCGTTGGACAAAGTAGGAGGAAGAAAGATCGAATCTTAATCGCCAAATGATGAATCGGTCGGGTATTAAGTGGTCAAATTCGAGCAGACTCCAGTTGAGACCGGGGAAATGGTTCATTGAAGCTCTCACGGCGGATGACAATGGCCGGGCGCGATAAAGAGATTAGCCCTGAGAGATCTGATGATCAGAGAATATTGTTCCGCGAGAAGCAATATAGGTCTTAGAAATTAATAAGGCAGCCACGAATGTGTACTGAATGGAGTCTTGGTCCTGGAATGAAGGGAATCGGGGACATTGAAGTTGGGCGAGGCTGGAAATCTTCTGATTAGGCAAAACACGCCCAAACACCGGACCCTCCCACCAGCTCCTGCGCCTCGACTCCGCCTGCGTCACTGTATCGCAAATATCAGGATTATGTTCGAAAAAGATAGCTCAGTTACTAGAATGAGAGGTGAATGGACCAATAATGCATGTGCTATCGCGTGAAAGAGCTAGAGAAGTACAACATCCAGGTGAATTAGATCAAATAATATACATAGACCATCAATGTGAAAGACTAGGGGAAAACTTCTGGGAAGAGTTGTACCATAATGGCGTTCGAGTCCACTCCAACATCTCAAGCTCTCACTGAGTGACAGGTCTCACAGGGTGACCGCACCTCTGTTTCCTCGGCCCCAATCTCACTTGATTCAGTAGTCTCTCCTAGATCTGGTGCACCGCTTAGAGCTGATTTCCGCTGATCTGGACCAGAGATGTTTCCCGGGCCCAGGCAACCCGGTTGTCGTACTGCTCTTCCTCCCCCCCTTCCATCTTCGTATGATTTCCATGTATGATGGTCAAACTCTGCGCCATATGCCGCGGCTTCTTCTGCAGCCACCCGACGTTGAATGTCCTCCTGCAACCGAAGTCGATAGAATTCTCGGCGAGCAGTATCATAGGCAGCACTCTTGGTCATATCCGGAACGTTATTCCCAAAAGCCACAATTGTCGCTGGACAACACTAGGACCGGAAAATAAACACATTAGCATCGGGGATTTTCCATTGGGAAGGACAAAGAATCTCAAGTGCAAACATTGGGAACACACACCTTTCACCATCTAACCGCTTCCTGGTTGCTGAATGCTGGCTCAGTCATAGTGTTCAAAGTCCTTCGGTGCTCTCAAGAAGACACGAGGGCGGGCAAGTTCCCAGGGATGGTCGCGGAAGAATTGAGTTCGCAATTGATCTTCCTCATATTTGAGCTGGACGGGTTGGAAAGTCGGCTGGGCTTCTTGGGCTTTCTGCGCTTCTCTTGCACGCGGGAGACAACCTGCGGCTTCGATGACCAGGAATTAAATCTTCATCCGCTATTGAACAAGCTCATGCTGAGGAGGCGGGTACAGGAATGAGGTTTCAGCAGGAGGATCTCGCCGACCACACCGACCCATTGGGGCAGTTTGCTGGTCTTCCACTGGCGGGTGGTTGAGTGCTGTCTGTCGTACCCGAAGGGCTGTAGGTTTATCTTCCCATAACGGTCGGATACAGCCGGTAGCTGGAATAATTCAAAATAAAAAAGAGTTGAAGCGCGACTCAGGACCGCAAATCAAGAGACAAGATGTATTGCGCTACAGGGGACGGGGTGGTTGATGCGGGCAGCAAAAGATGGGATTGGCAAGCGCGGCTCCGATTGGTCGGTGACTCCGCAGACCAGAAGTGCAGGCCGTTCATCTTCAGAAAAACACATTTACGTCTTCCAATCTTGAACCCTATCACACAATGCTGCTTTTGCGCCCAGAAAGTAGACTGCTCTCTCTCCTGTGCAGTGGCAACAGGCTTTCTTTGGATGCGGCCTACTATTTTTTTACACGATGTCTGTTATCTCATGCCTCATCCAAATAGGTCCCCCAGCTCGCCAAGCCTGCGAATTCACTGAAAGCGGGCCTTGGATGGGCTTCCTCTCTTTCAACAGCCCTCAATGCCTCCCTCAAGCCCCCTTCTCACAACTCCTCGGTCCGAAGGCTCTGTCCCCGTCCTCCTTCCGTCGCGTCAATAGCAGATATTTTTGTCGGCTCGCTGGTTCTAGCAAGCTTCTGCCACGAACACTCGCCGAGTCGTCGGGAGTTGTCGACAGTAGCAGGGTGCCTCGGATCTTAATCTTCAAGGAATTCCAGAGCAGCGCCACTAATTCGCAGACCGCTACCACCCGACGACAACCAGAGTATTCAAGCTCAAGGTTTGATCTGTCGCAACTAAAATTGATCAGCAATGGATTGGCACGTACGGATGATGACAATACAGA